TAGGGCTCTGACAGATGGCGTCTGTCTCGCTCCATGGCTTCGCATGCGAATGGAGCTAATATGGAATCCGTAGCATCGGACGAAGCGCCTCGTCCACGCAGAGACAAAGGCGACCCTACGGCCTCACTCCAATACGCCACCGCACAAGTAATCCAGCGCTTGCTGATTCTATTCTGATTCGGACTGCGGCCTGATCTCCTAATGCTAGTCGCAAAGCATCCTTCTATACACTGAGGAATGTGGAATAGTCATCAACCGACGGCACGCGCTTCTCGACCTCCAGCTTCAGACGGCGATTTACTCACCTCTTTGGGCAATGAGCTCTTTCATGACTCGATTGTGATAAGGTTAAACTCCAGTATGTCACCCCGCAGTCTCTTCAACTCAAACGTGATTACTTCTGACCCATACATTGACGGCAGCTATCGAGTAACAATTAAAGGCTTGTCGATAAGGACGCAATGAGTCGCGCCAATTAAATGATGGTAGAGTCCCATGCCCTGCCCATTTCTGTGACCATGGCCGCTATCAGGATACCCCAACATCACCCGTTTCCTCACTAAGGGAATGGATAGGGAATGGATCAGAACTAATGCCGTCTCGCGCGAGAAAGCCCCTTGTAGAGTCAATGCCAAGCGCCGTGGCAATGAATGGAGGATAGCCAGCACCGCGGAAACAGGGAGGGAGATTATCACCCGCAGCGTCGCGCTATTCAGGGTGAAACACCCGAGGAGGAGAGGTTGCGTTAGAATGTAAGTGCTCGATTTTTAGTTTCCTCGCGAATGATGTCAGCACGGTGCTACCAATGACTTCTTCTGTCCGCCTTGCAGATGAACGGGGAAAGCCAGATAAGACGATGGATAAAACCCCTGTGACTCACTGCATTGGTCTCTGATGTTGACTCCTGCGTCTACCTTGGCCTTGGGAATGGCTTGATAGTCTTAGATACCTAGACATCTGATCCCTGGGTCGCGAAGCACGATCGCCAGTTCCAATTTGGCTTGCCAATTGGATGAATGTATCTCAACCCCTTTATTTCGATCATATTCGCTCTGATGTAAGTTCTATAGCTGGTATAAAACTGACAGGCCTCAATTCTTCTGTCGATCCCTGCGTCGTGCTACTTTCCTACCGCTTCCTTGACTTTTTTTCAAATGAACTCATCAGATCATGGACCATGTTCGCAGAGCTAATGAACAACTGCCCATGTTGAAAATTGATGCGAATGATTCTAGAGTAACGTGCTTCAATTACTCTTGCTGATCCAAGTATGCTTGCTCGAAGTTCTCCTTGCATGTCTAGTCTAAGTCTGGCTCGACAGACTTGCCGAAGCTGTAGATGCTAATATCAAAGTAAGTCGTCATAATATTCAGCGTCGCAGATGCGGTAAACAAGCGCTAAAGCGTCCGTCTTTCTGGCTTTTGATGCTGTCACGCCATGGACACCATCTGGGAGCAAAGACTTGATATCCTTGTTATCCCTTGCTCGAGGTCCCTCCCCCAGTTCACGTGAATAAACCTCATGCTGGGAAACGAGTGTTTTTGAAACCAGGTAACATCTTCCGTTGGCGTAAAAGTGAAAGATATCGGGGGTCTTGGTCTATAGGTCTATACATACAGCATCGGCTCTGCCATACTTCCTCTGTGACTAGAGGCACAACGAGCATAGGTAGCATAGATTGTGATAGCTTCTTTGATTATTAAAATTCTATGGACTTGATCGTCTTTGTCACTTAAAAAAACCCGCTCAAGTTCAGCAGACTAGATACGCAATCGAACCAACACATGACCTGTGCTAGTGCTAGCAAGACGAGCTACGTAGTTAACAACAACACCAATTCAGGGAGTCAGCCCTTCTTTTTATTGAAGTGTGTGGGTATTCTAGACTGAGTATAATCTTATCAACACAGTCTGTTGCGTCAAGGTCATTAGGGATTAGGTACTCCCCTTCTATATCTATATAGTGAAGTCTACTCAAGTTAGTATCCTACACCCGCCACTTTATAATTCGGAGCTGGGTACTTTCGGCCCAGATTGTGGAAGAGAGATTCTCTTACTCGCATTCTATCCAGCTTCTAGTCCGATGACTACTTGATTGGGTGTTTAAGTCATCAATAGTGCCACGCCACAGGGCCGATATTATGCGATTGAATCAAATAGCCCCGCAAGGTGTATTCTGCGACTCTATGCGACCGGTGCATGGTATCGGTCTGCAGTACTACTGTTGTCGGGGAGGTGAGGGGGGCGCGGGGAGAATATTGGCGTTGTGCGTGTAATACCTCGCTTCAGCAAGGTCACATGATTATTAATATATGATTACCAGAATTTATTATTATTTTTTTTCTTATTGAATTCATAAATCTTAAGCCATCAAACTTCAGTGATTCCAGCGAGATTTCATCAATAATCAATGAAGGAGGGTAAAAGCTGAGAGTGGCTGTATAGGTAGAAGTTGCCTGGCAAATGCGCTCACTTTACAGTTCGCCTGCTATATCTATGTCGAGTTATCCTTTAGCCGACCGAAGGCATAATCGCTCACGTAACCCCCTCACTGGTCATTATGTAGCGGATTACATAGTCTTATGCAAAGTAGCCTGTAATGTACCGTACTGTCTGTTCTACTGAGCCTAGTCGATTTGATCTATCCAAAATAAGAAAAAGGTTCTTTCGAGCACTGGGCTTAGCACCGGTGCGCTACTCGGTAATGCGCCGAGGACCCTCCTCTACCGCTTTTCTAGATTTTATTGCTTTAGAAATACTATTGGTTAATCCTACGCTCTCGATGACTCAAAACCTCGTCATAATTCATTTCCGTATTTGAGGCGGAGTCGGCTGCGAGCTGTCACCTTTTCAGCTCCAATCAGTGGCCCTAGCCACCTACAGATACAAGTAGAATGCATCCACCATGTGTACACGATCAAGAAATGGATTCATCAGTGCTGGTTTGTTCCGGTCAACCTGTTTATGCTGGATTATGGCGATGGGATCAAGCCATAGGGCAAATGGGTGCCTTCAAATAGTCCTCTATCTATGACGACGAGGGGGTCAACAATATCGTTGTCTGATGCTGGCATATTGGAAGGGGTTCTGTTGGATTGTTGACTCTGGGTGACAGGGGAAGGTGATGACATAATAACGGGCGGGACGATTGAAACGGTCGGCTCTGTTTTTTTCTTTTTCTGGTTGAAAATACATACAGTACTCCGTAATTTTCCAGCTTTCAAGGTTATGTTCGGCGATAAACCTTTGCATCCCCACCTGCCCCACACCCACGCTAAACTCGCCTGCAGCGCCTGAATTCCGACTCGTAGTCCTTGCCCGAACTCATCCATCCATTTGCTGAGAATGCGTCAGGCACAGGGTCTGCCAGTCCACCACTCCAACCGGGTCTGCAACCATCTTTTGTCTTATCGAGACCACTATGACCATTCTGTCTCTGGAGAATACCACTATATATACTCTGATCCGCAGGGAAGGAGAAAAAAGATGACTGATATTGACACCAACTGCGATCTGACCGCAGTTCCTACCCCTGCACGCAACTTAGCCATTCCCTGCAGACTTGTCGGTTTGTTAGGACAGGAGTTCCGGGAGGAGGTAACTGCAGGCCTCAAAAATTATGCTGGGACGTGCAAACGCCCATCTGTGGCTGACAGCATCGCTTTCGGCTAAACCCTGCACAACGGGGCTTAAAGGTGGTCTATACGCAGCTGTGGGTGAAGCTACCAGTAGCTAGTCTTGCTATACAAAGAGCGCGGGCGCAGGGCTTAGTGGCGGTAACAATCCGAAAGAACATTTGCGAATAATTTCGAGAGTTTAGTAAGCATCCGGACTGCTTATGACGGAGGAGGTTGGAGTATTGAGAAAGTGATTGTGGTCGCAGGAATCTTCGTGCGCCAACCTAGTGGCCTCGCTTAAGAAAGGGAGGAAGCCTAAAGCGGCCCCGGCTTAGCCAGCTGGTCAAGGGTAAGGGAAAATTCCCCATGGGCTGTAATCGCACAAATACACTAGAAAGACAGCAGACGTCCGTCCCTTCATGAAAACGCCCGCCTGATGTTCGGAGCTCCAGATGATCTGTATCGCCGATCGATCATCTCCCTGGCTTGAGCAGATCTTGTTAGTAAGCATTGTTCAAGTCCACTGCATGCGCGGATTGCCAGCAAGGTGAGGAGTATCAAAGGCTTTTCAAGATAGACGGCCTTGCTCCTTCTTGATGTACCTCGGTGGTCAGCACTTGCGGTGGGAAATGGGGTACAGCTGGTGTAAGCCACTTCATGCAACATAAAATACCACTAAAAGGCCGTTAGCCAGGCCGTTTTTCCACTCGGGGTGGGTTTGTGTAGCTGTCTCTCCCTTCGTCAATCGAACATAAAGCTTCTCCATATTTCATCATCCATTGAGAGCCCAGAAAGGCCCTTTCCTACAACTCGGCTGACTCCGGGATCCCCGCAACCAGGCCGTTTGCCCTCTTATTTCGGTAATAGAGTCGATTCGAACTACTCCCGTAAGCCGCTTCGTTCGATTGTTCATCTGTCAGTCTAGCCTATCCCAGCCTTCCTCCGCCGGTGAAGGAAGGGGACCGCAAATTGTCCCCAGCCCTGAGGTGGGCACTGAAGGGAGTAGCCGATACCGCTTGGGCCATTCCAGCGAATGAAGCCAAGGTGGCAGTGCCGGTCCGCTATTGTGTCTTATGCGAGTGAAACTAGCGTCAGAAGGTGAGAGATTGGACTGGATAGCCTTTAATTATGCTCATTCCACGGAACTCCTAGCAATAGACAACGTGGTCAGTCCACAAAGTCATATTACCCAGTGAACTGAGTCTCTGCAGGCCCTGTCGCACTATTCATGATGTACAGTACGATTGATCGCTTCCGATCATGTCTCGCCAACCCTACAATACTATGCGTACTGCCAGTGAAGACGAACAATTGATTTTGGTTGATGCTTACAACTCTTCTGCACGGTTATGTCTATTCTCTTTGATTTTCTTTTTCATGAAGACCTCAGAGTAATCGTGGCACATCACAATCCCATGGCCCAATCTAGATAGCTCTGAACCATGCCATGACAAATACTCACATATCGAGAATCCCCTCCAGCCTTAATGCTCCACCCTCCGTGCTCAACAGGGGGGAGGGGCCAGGGGGAATGCGATGGAAAAAAAAATCTAAACATACAATTCGATGAAAAAAGAAAACAAAAAAGGCAATCGCACATCAATCAGGTATCATGTCATTTCTTCTTTCATGGTCATCGCTAAAATGCTATAAATTGCGGGGGTCAGCTAAAGAGGACCGAAGCAGAGAGAAAGAAGGAGAGAAGAAGAGAAGGATCAGATTCCCGGCAACTCCATCGCGTTGCCGATCTGGGCCATAAGATTGAGAAAGACATTAACCTGGTATAATTCGTCCAAGCGACGACAGAGTTTGTCGACAAAGCCGCGCTCGATGGAGCCTCGCTCGAATGTCTGGTATGCCACAATAATGGGGTATAGAATGCGATAAATGAAACAGCGGGGACCCTTGGTGATGTACGCCTCCAAGCTCCGGCAGATGTTGCAGGCCCACTGATACTGCTCATTGCGTGAGGGTGGAGTTGGATTGGTATTTGCGATAGTGATGCGTAGAGCCCAGTAGTAGCACATCACAGTGGTAAGCAGGAGGTCGGGGTAGGTCAAGAGCCGGGGAGTGAAAATATGTCCGTCTTCCGGGTGGTGACAGGCGAAATTGGGGAAGGAAGCATCCAACTTGTGATCGGACTCGACGATGGATCCGTGGGGATAGGTTGCGATGTTCTGCTTGTACCAGCTCTCCAGGCGACTGTCGAGGGTTTGTGCCCAGCCACTTGGGGAGCCATGCCCATTCAACAGTTCCTCGTACTTGAGCCGTCCGGATGCCAGTTCAGCTTGGTATTTCTCCGTCTGAGAAAGATAGCAGGGCACCTCTGCCCCAATATCTAGCAGCTGGTGAAGAAGATCTTTTGACTTGTGAGCCCAGGGGATTTTCATCCAATCCGGATGGACCAGAAATAGTGGGCGCCGGAGAAGGATTGAACCCGCGATCTGTGTGTATTTCCACTTAGTCAGAATGTGTTGTTGGAGGAAGGAAGTGATTCGCTCTCCTACCCAGTAAATGCGATGGTCCAGAAAGATGGCGTGAGCAATGCCAGTTTGATGTTCCTCGGGTTTGCGCGACTGTAGCAGCTGCGCGGCACCCAGCAAGTGCTTCATCAATGCGCCACTATCGCCGGTAAAGACCTCGCGTATAATGAAAATGAAGGCGGCGACAAACACGTCCAAGGGCACAGATCGACCACTACACCGTCGAAGAGCCCGACGCATCATGCGGATTGCGTACATGTTATGTCGATGGCCCGCCATCTCAATATCTCTGTCTCCCCAGGTGCGGCCGATGAACATCAACGCAGTGTTTTCAAAGGCGACCTGCAGGAGTTCCGATCGACTTCTCATCTGGGATGCATCGCTTAGGATAAATCGTTTGAGCCCAGTCTCGCGCTTGCTAAGTGGGCAACAGTCTTCGATCAGGCGATCGATGAAGATGTCCAAAACAGCTGCACCCGGGGAACACTGCATGGGTATCTTGACTCCATCGGCATCTTCATCATCGGCGTCGTTGTCCCCCTCCTCCTCGTCGCTTTTGTCATCGGGATCGTCGTCGTCGGGTCCGAGGGTCGAGTCTAAGACACCGTGAGTCCAATGGCTCCAACTGGCCCGGCATCGAGACATCCCTGCCTCCCTCCTTCAGGCCGGTAGTGATCGGTCGACACCTACATTTTCTCTTTTCATTGTCCCGTAGCAGACCCAGCCCGGTCGGACCCTGGGACTGCTCGCGGGGAGTTTCGTTGGCACTGTGCATAACCAGTTGTCGCACCGCTTCGAGGTGGGCCAATCGTCGTTCCAAGGCCCGACATCGCTCTTCCAGCTGGGTGATGTACTCAGATTGACTAATGTAGTTCTGCTCCTCGGCGGATCGAGGGAATGTGCACTCTTCCGGGAGACCACGCAAACAGCATGATTTACACGGTAACACCCGGTTGCACTATGCGGCACGGGTCCTGATAAGCTCATGTTCGTGTTATCGAGAGAGGGACACTTGGAAAGAAACAAATTGTATGATTGGTGGAGGTAGTGGCTAGGAGGTTCACCTTCACTTTTCGCTGGTGGCAAGGTAAACATGAATAGACTGGCCGTTGCTTGCGTTTGGCCTGCTGGACAGTCACTACCGGCTGGGGGTCATGGGGGTCATCCATGGTGGGGAGTCTGTCTGGAGAATGGCAGAAAACAAAATAGTTCCGGCGGGGAAAGGCAGTTACGGGAAGTCGTGGACGATGCCGTCATGCGAATTGTCGACAGCCATGGTCTATATATATAAAAGAAAGGCGAATTGATATGACCCGTAATGATGGTGGACAGTATAACTAGTAGGTACTCCGTACTGGGTACTGCAGTACACGATGGGACTCCATACACTACGGGAGACGGCAGTAGTGGTAACCAGGTTTAAGTACTACTCAAGTACTGTACGGGAAAAGGTAGGGTAAGGGCAAGCAATCAGTGAAAGGGTATTTGAGTGGGGCTGGGGCTTGGGTTCCTCGCAAGTCTCATTCAACTATGCAAAATCATTCAGTCATTCAATCGATCCAGAATAACTAAGGCACCTTCCCCCCGCCCCCCAGGTGCCTGTTGGCCACGTCATCCAGTGGCGATAAGTCGAGGGCGAAGTAGCCGAAATGATCGGTCGGAGGAGAGCGATCCATCGACCATCATCCACCATCCACCGATCCCTATCGATCCAATGGGTCTGCGTATTGATCTCTGGTGACGGTTCGGTAATCTGTGACCATTCCAAATTACTTGCGACCGCTGGGGATGGGTGGTCTTACCTGTGAATTACAGCCCGTTTCAAGGTGCACGGGAAATGGAAAACATGATCGCCCCGGACGTTTCCCCTACACGGAAATCCATAGGGGAGCACCTACGAGTATGCGAGTAACTCGAAGAAGGTTCTGGTCTTGCTTCACCCGCAAAGCCAGGGCCGAGATGGACCATGCCATGGCCGAATGGGCCCGTTCGGCCGATTCTCAACCGGAGAGGACAGAACCATGGTAGGGTCTCTTCACCTCAACGGCTTTTTCGCATTTCCACCCTCGTGGCTGGAGGGTTCCGGAGATAGGTACAGTACAGGGCGGAATATATGCATCACCGTCATCAAACTGCTGCATAGGTGAAGATAGTTTAGAGTAAAGTAGGTGCCGCCGATCTGCAGATATTTGATGAACCCAACGTCCCGCATGGATCCGCTCTCAGGAGTACTCAGTACTCACCACTAGAGACACACCCGGTATGGAGTACACCCTTGGGGCCTTTTACCCCTTCAGGCGACATGCAGGATCACCATCTTTGGTGCCTGACTATGCCTGACGCTGTCTGAAGGCGTCTGAACGGGAAGCGCTGGTCACGTGGCTGTCACTACCACCGCCTAGCTCCCTGATGCCTAAAGCAATATACTCTTCTCTGCCATTGCAATGACAAATACGTAAAAGAGTGTCGCGAGCTCATCTCCGTCGTGGCACTCGCATGCCCATGCCGATACTCTCTACCTTGCTGAATGAATCGTCGCAACACACCTCTGTGACCTCGATGCGAGCCACCCGGATGAGCGAAATGTTCATGGTCCATGGCGGTAGTCGCGTCACACCTGCAGGGTTGACGTGCTCGACACCACGAGGAATAAATTCCTCGCCTTTGGACACTCCATCTCCCTATTGAACAAGTTTTATCTGCATCATTATACTGACAAGGCGGCTTCACTGTGTTCGTCCGCAATGGCTCGGAACACAAACGATGTTCGAGTGCTGATCGCAGGCGCCGGCATCGCCGGCCTGGCGGCTGCCATCTCTCTCACTCGCCAAGCCTCCATCCCGAACCTCAAAGTGGTATTGTATGAGCAGGCGGATGAGCTGAAGGAGATTGGAGCTAGCATTGCGCTCAGTCCTAATGTATGAGGCTTCCTATCCGAAAGGATGCGAATCAAGTGCCACCGGGGCTAAGCTTCAATTGTTCCTCTAGGGCATGCGCACGTTGCAAAGGTTGGGGGTACACAATGCTCTCGCGGATGAAGTAGGATTCAGATCGCCGAGTGGCATTCCGCAGGTTTTCCGGTAGGGTCGTGTGAGGATGAGAGGTATAAATGCCGATAACAAGTCTGATTCTGACGCAAAGTCAATCGTTTGCAGGCACTGGAAGACGAACCAGGTCCATTCGGTCGATACACACAACGATGTGCCCGATCCTCGTCACGCAACCACCCGCTTCCATCGAGGCCATCTCCATAGCGCACTTCTCGAACATGTTCCGCGAGAGTTCATCCACTTGGGTAAAAAGACCGTCCGCGCCGAAGCCAACCACCAGGGTGTCTCACTATACTTTGACGATGGCACTAGCGCACACGGGGACATCCTGATCGGAGCTGATGGGCTTAGATCGGTGCGTTTCACTTGACATTGGGTCGCTATCTTTCCGGTCACGATCTGACAGGACGGTCGAATGCAGATCGTCCGACAATCATTTATCCCCGAGTATAAGCTACGGTTCAGCGGGAAGGTCTTCATGCGATCCACGTTTGATGCATCACTGGTAGAGGGGAAAGTCCCTGATCTTCCTGCAGATTCGATTCACTGGGTTTGTACTCGGCTATGGTCTCAATGGACATCGCGCAAGGCTAACTCGAAGATAGTGGGGACCAAAAGACAACTTCTTCGCATCTCGCCTGGGTAGGTGGAATTGGCGCGAAACAAGCGGAGCCCCACCTGTCTTACCATCATCCTTTCTAGGCAAACAACAATACACAACGGTCGGCGCGTACAGCGATCCACGCACCACGGAAGAGGTCGAGAAGACCGTTTCATGGGACGAGGAGGGAGGCGTGGAGTTTCTCCGTGAAAGATACAAGGTATGTCAATCCAGTTTCATGGCTCGTTCGCGCGATTTCTGTGATTCATATAACTCTCCAGGACTGGAATCCTGTCGTTAGAGCTCTGACGGAACTCACTCCCTATACCAAACTCTACCCGAACTTTATCGGAGACTCTCTTTCGACCTGGGTTCTAGCCCCTCGAGTCACCCTGATTGGTGATGCTGCCCATGCCCATGGGGGGGCTTTTGCAGCTGGCGGCTCCTTGGCTTTGGACGATGCTCTGACTCTCGGACTCGCTTTTGGGCATGCTCTCAAAGGGCTGGATGCAGAGCAGTCTCTCCCGGAAAGCAGTATTCAACTGGCACTGGAGCTGTATAGCAGGGCGAGGCAACCTCATACGGAGCGATTACTTCGCATTGTTCACCGCCAAACCTCTGAGGGCCAGTCGCAAGTTGGGGACGATGAGGAACAGCAGCTCTCACGCCGTCTGCGGAATCGGGCCAGTACGGTTTGGCTGTCGGAGCACGATTCAGAGGCTGCATTTGCAGCAACAGTCGCCAAGCTGGAGGAAGAGAATATTGCTGAGAAGCAGTGCCGCGAGGTCAAACTCTGAGGTGATTGAGAAAATAGTCACCTGTCTATAAGCAAGAAAAGAGTGATTCAACCTACAGATTCAACATCAGCATTCACTTGCTCGTGGACGGGGGGACGTCTAGCCTAATTATAGCAAACAGACTCCAAAAACTGTAGGCAACTGGGGATAAGCAATATCAGTAACCGTAACACTCTATTCACCCTGGCCCAGCTTCTTCGGCCTCTCCTCTGGTGATCCTCCCTTATCTCAGGTTGCCTTCTCACTCTTACACGGCCTTTCTCTATTTCTCTCTCCCACACACTCGCTCTTCGCCTTTTTCTCTGCATGCCGACCCATTTTTATCTCCTTCTCTACAGCAGTCAACTCGAATTGCGCAGCTATTCCTCATACTCGAGCCACTTATATCTGCAATTGCTCCAACATGGAAGTCACCAAGACTGCGACCGTAGGTTTTACCTCATCATCCTGCTAGAGGCACAGACAAAATCTTTGACTAACAACAACGCTACAAACAGTTCGGCCTTGCGCCCGTGGCCATTGAACCGCTGGGGAGCTTCTACCTGGCCGCTCTCACCGAAATCCAACAAACCTACAACCGATTGCCTGCCATTGCTGAGCTGGATTTGAGATTCACCCCTATTTCCGGTCAATCCGAGATGACTGGTGAATGTCTTGTCTTCCCATTCTTAGTGCGTCAGGTCTTGTCAGTGCCCTTGATCGATGGTCGTTTTACTGATTTTGGGCTCTGAATAGCTGTCCGCGACCGAACGCACCACTCTCGACCAAAGGAAGTTAGGATTTGCCAACGTGGTTCATGCCTTGTCGACTCAGACTTTGTTTGTTGGAATGAGCCTGGAAGTCAAGATTGTTTTCAAGCTTTGAACTACGAAAAGAGGAACTGGCATCGATGGACGTCTTTTAATACATTGGGCCTACGTCAGGTGAAATATTCAATCTCTGAGTGAATGTCTGAAAAGACAAGATATTGGTTGATTAGATGCAATGAGACTGTGAATCAATTGATCGATATAGTAAGTAAACCAGGTGACATCGCACGGAAATGGTGTAGTCGGTGCAAACCAAATCTACTCCGCACAATCATCATTATCGACGAGCGGAGAAACCTCATGGATCCTCCAACCTAAGACCATGAATGTCTTGGGGAGTCCGCTTCTTCGCCGCCCGCTTGGCCCAGGCCTCGTCGTTGGACCAGGTACCACAGGGTAGCACATTGCAGTGAGGAGGCCACAAGCGATCGACCTCCCCCTGCCACTCGTGCTCAGCGGTCAACATCCGTTCGGTCGCCCAGGGCAGCGCCATTAACGCAAAGAATCGGAGTTCCTTGCAAATGTGACTCACGACTCGCTCCCTATCATCACCAGTATAGTTACAGATGGGACAGTGGTTCGGAAAGGGATCGAGGGGGAACCGCCGCGGAGAGTCAATGTCACGAAGGGTCCACAGTTTCTCTGGGTCATGATACACTCGAACATGCTCGTAGAACTGGTCCATGGCAAATGGCCGCGGCTTCATCAAGCAGTGGTCCAGCAGACAAGTCCCACTCCCAACGTCGCTTTCGACGTGCTTCCACCACGCTTCCTTCTCCCGGTATCGAGCCGGGAGTGTGCGGAAGCAACATGGACACTCGAACTTGCTGGTGATGGGATCAAGGATCTCCTCGCCAGGCGGTTGCACGGCGGCCTCGAGAACAGCATTGGCTTGAGGGGGAGCCCGGAGTGGTGCCCCCGTGGCGAGGGCCTCGGCCTTCTCCTCATCAGTATACATCGAGGCGGACTCGGCCTGCACCCAGAGGAATCGGTTGCGACGCAGCGGATTAGTCGCTGTTGAACCTCGGTCAGTTCCGTCGGTTGGCCATCGGCGCCGATTTCGGGCTTTCCCTGGCGTGCAAGAAGCCACCGGGTTATGTCCTGGCGGAACTTGACGTGGTCCTCCGGCAGAAAGGCATGGTCGGCGACGTACCATTGCCATCTGCCACTAGGCAGTTCCCGAGACATTTGTTTGTGCTTGTCGACAGAGTACGAAGTTGCGAGATTAGTTGGCAGCAAAGCGGACGGTCGCGAAAGTGCAGCGATGCGGACTGTTTGAGTAGACCTCCGGCGAGGGCAAGTCGAGTATTTATAGTACTGATGTTACAGCATCAAGAAGAGTAAGGACGCAGAACGCGTTCTTCAAGGTAGCTTACAGAATATAACTGAGGGTATGAACACTTGGTCCGTTCACAAAGGCTTGTCTTCAAGACAAAGAGCGCCAGACACAACCAATTCATGCAGTTGATTCAAGCAAGTGGTTGAAGATTGAAGTTTACAAAGAAAGATGCCGGAAGTCATCAATCAATTTAGACACCTGAAAGAGGAGCCAGCACAATGGCAACAAATTGCCATGAACGCTCACCCACTCAACCGACCAAGCAGCTCGTCACGAATACTCTCTGCCAGCTTGAACAACGAAGGGCAGCGAAGGATCGTCAGCACACTTCTATCCACGCCAAGATGCTGCCGAATAGTGCGGATCTCCATAACCACCAGGGAGTCAATCCCAAGGCTCGAGAATGAGTCTGTGGGGACAATGCTGCCTTGATCTCTCATGAGGAAATCAGCCAAAGCCATTGCAATAGCCTCAGTGATCTTCATCACAGCTGCCTCATCTTGAAGGAGTACTGGCTGTGTGGCGGCGGAGGCGAGGGATTCTTGTAGACTGTTGGGCTTCGATGAAGCAGTTGTGGAGGTTTCGCCGCCCCCGTCAAGATTGCGGTAGATGCTGAAAAGAATATCGTTCTTCCATGCGACCCGGTTGGCCGGAGAGGAGGCAGGAACGGCCGTGTTGAGGCCCAGGACAATCTGGCTCGGATTGCTATATGTCCGCGTAGGGAGATTAGTTGCAACTGGGTGTGATCGCTGCACGACCAATGCCATCGCCTGCATAAACATGTCTTCATTGAGTACAAATGCTCCAGTATTCTGGAATCGCCGCAGTACGTTCTGGTTGCGAGCCACGAAACCGACGTCGCCCATCACGCCAAGGTCAATGACGGAGGCTGGAAGACCCTGATGATGGCGATACTGCACAAATGCGTCCAGGAACGTGTTGGCAGCAGCATAGTTTGCCTGACCCCACTGCCCACAAAGGCCACTGCAGGATGAAATGAGGATGAAAAAGTCCAGATTGGACGGAAGCACATTATGGAGGTTCCAAGTGCCTTGCACCTTGGGCTCCACAACGGTTACCCAGTCAGAATATGTCATCTTCTCAAGAGAGACGTCCTGCATATTTGATACAATCACCACCGAAACGGAGTCAGCAGGGGGGAGAATTAAGGGCACGCACCCTCAACACCATAGACACGTTCAAGACGCCAGCGATTGGAGCGGTGGCCTGTGCAACACACTTCTTAACATCAACGAGCTCACAGACGCTGCCACCCACCAATTGGACCCGGCATCCTTGAGACTCCAGGTCCTCAACAAAGGAATCACTTTCAACTGCGTGTGTGGCAGTTCATGACAGAAAGACCAGGTTGCGGGCACCATGTTCAACCATCCACGAAGCCACGGCCCGTCCCAGGCCACCAAGTCCGCCAACAAGCAGACAACTCCGCTCTTGCTGAAAGATTGGACAGGGGTTGACTCTCTTAGTCACCAGAGCCATGGGATCGTCCGGCATCTGTATCACGATCATGCCAATGTGAGAACCGGACTGCATCAAGCGGAAAGCCTCGTGGATGTTTGCTGCCGGAAAGATGTTTGAGATCGGGTCGGGCGTGAGCACTCCAGCCTCGATCCAGTTGACACAACGTCTTAGAATGCTAATTGTCCGTCAATTATATTGTTTTTTGACTCTAGAGCAAGCAGGGATACTGACTCGGTCACTATCCAGGGACGGACGCGCGATATCTCCCTCAGTTCAAGTCCAACGAAGGTTCGATTCGCTTCAAAAAGTTCCATCGCCAGCTTAGCCTTGCGACGAAAATCACGAATGCCAATCTCGACCATGACTCCAAACTCGGCCACACATGTCCACGAGGCGTGGAGAAGGTCGCCGGCCAACGAGTTGAGAACAACGTCCACTCCCCGACCGTTGGTGGCGTCCATGACGTCTTGAACAAACAATGAATTACGTGAATGGAAGATATGGGACCGTGGTATATTACAATTCCGAACCAAATATTCGACCTTTGTCTCGGCTCCCACCGTGCAATAGATCTAGGAAAAACATATCAGTCCCGGCTTCCTCGTCCGTGACGAAACTCACCTCAGCGCCTATCATCCGGGCAACCTGGATAGCAGCTAGGCCAACTCCACCACACGCATAGTGAATGAGGACAGCCTGAGAGAGCGCCCATCAGTCACTATCAAACGCTTACCCCTAAAATTGTAGGCTCACTTATCTCCGTTGCAAATTTGCCTTTTCAATCAATGCCATTGCCGAGGTTGCATAGACACTCGGCAATGCAGCGGCTTGCTCGAAGGACATGGATTTCGATACCTGAACACAACAGGATTCGTTCAGTGTCATATAGGTGGTAAAGCATCCAGTACCCATGTATATAACGTGGTCCCCGACCGACACATGCCGGACATCGGGGCCGACAGCATGAACTATTCCAGCTCCTTCTAATCCAAGCAACGTGGTGCTTTCGTCGAGGGCACCGGACGCAATGAGCACATCCTATCAATTGATAATCTCGCAGCAAATAACTGAAGAGCGGAATGAAGCATACGCGGAAACTCAGGCCGACAGCTTGGGTCCGAACCAGAACATCGCACCCCTCTAATTGCGCGTCCCGGCCATCGACCCATATCACAGTTCGCAGGAGACCAGGACTCTCAATGGCAAGATGTTTGATTGACGATCGGTCAGGCGAGCTATACTGTTCGAAGGAGTGTGCAACTGTCTGCCAATGCATCCTTGGAATAACAATCTCGTTCTCGACGACGGCATATTCCCAGTCTGAGCTCATCGCCTCTGAAGTGTTCCTCACGGCTACCCAACAGAATATCTTCGTGATGCAGTCAGCTGTGGCTTGTGAGGGATGGTTGTGATCGATTTCGACAGTATATAACTTGGCTGCGAGTTCGTTCCGTGCAGTTCGAGCCAGTCCTAGCGTCATGGCAGCCCTTGGATCTGAACAGCCCACCTGTGCTGACCGCGTGACCCATATCAAATTGCTCTTCAGTGTCTGCAACATCGACATCGTGGATCTAAATTCCGCTTCTGGCATAGCATGTATCACCGGGTAATCCAGGTCGATCAACGAGATGACGTCCTGATCAAGCGGAGGTAGATTTCCCAACCCGAGAGGTTCGACGCGGATGCCTCGACGTTGGAGGCTATGTGATATTCGTTGGGCCCACGGTGCCATAGGGTCATGGCATAGCAGGGTTACTTCATGAGGCTCAGCACGGGCATTTGCGACCGATGCAATCATACAGGCGCTGAGATAATACGGAGGGATATTATCCAGCATAGAAGCGTGTGGTGTTTGAAATCCTGCTTCCACAAGCTCTCTTGACCATTTTTCCGGGGACACATACGCCTGCTCACGGTAATCATCATCTTGACCATTCCACCATCCCGGTAGAAAGCCCTTGCATCTCAATTAACCAGGGGTCGCGGAAGGGGAACGCATCGCAGAGATCAAGCTTCCGCACCACAAACTTACCATGACATAGCTTATGAGATTCGTCTCTTTGAATGCAGACATCAGTACAGGAGATTAGCTGTGATGGGGCAGCCACTGACCTGGGCACAATTCCTGCAGTAACAGTCGGCCTTCCTGCTTAAGCAGCATGCGGACGTTTTTAAAAACCTTTGTAAACTCGGCGTAGCATGCACGACCTTCTCGATTAGCCAAGATCGTGATAAAGAGCCGGAATGCCTCACATTGCTGGCGATAATCAAATCGTAGCTTCCAGGCTCCAAGCCTTGCTGCATCGGATCCCGACTTATGTCCAACACGATGTATTCTAGGCCCTCATATTCGGCAAGTCGCTCTTTGGCCGCCGTGAGATAGGCAGGGGAGATGTCAGTATAAGTGTACGTGCTGTAAAGACGTTCTCCGAAAGGAGATCGTAGGGCTTTCAGTATCTTAAACGTTGTGGTGCCGGTCCCAGCGCCGACTTCCAGCACCTGCAGTCGTGGGTTTGTGTGACCTATGAGTTGAAATAATCCATCATAGTCCCAAGCATCTGCGAGTGTATAGAAACTCCGGAGTAGGTTGTCTTCTGATAGAAGATGCAACGCATGTTGTGCACCAGCAATTATTGCTGCAGATGCTTGGCACATCCGATGCACAGCGATGCTAAACACGGCGTACGGGGAACCATTGATTTGAAGGATGATGTCTTCAATCCTATCTTGTAGACCCTCACCGCGTAACTCAGAGTCGAAGGTCCTGGGAGACTATTCGATTCAAGCCGGTCTGATATACTTGCAGCTGCGTCTCTATGCAAGCAAGGTGCTTCTGTAGGTGTTCCGGTGAATCATTCGTCCGATAAGCTCAATTTCGAGTCTAAATCATGCACGCAAGTACCAGCTCTTCCAATAAATGCCACTCTTCTGTGCACTGCTTTGCGCAGTGCAGGTAATCGCGCAACTCAGTGAAATCAGCGTGAGGTCTCCACTCAAATTGCGCGATCAATGGGAGGTCCATTGTCGACTCATCTCGTTTGCTCAAGGCTGAAACTCTGAGGCCCTTCAAACTCAAGAAAATCTGTCCGGCCCTCTGTGCTACAATATCTGCAACATAAGAGCCTCTCTCCACAGCTCGCACCTCGGCTGTGATGCTGAGGCTATTACGTGTTGGCGAAATGACCATCTCCTCAATGAAAGTGGGAACGCCAACTTGACGATACCCCCGAAATATGCCGCGGTGGGCTGCAACAATAGAAATCTGATAGCACTGGTCAATTCGGGCGGGATGCAGGGCGTAGGTACTTGTGATTCCTCCCTGCTCAGCTGGAATGACGGCGGCTGCTCGGGTCTCAGTAGTAGCGGCAGAGATATCTGCAGGTCTTGGAACACTCCGTTATACCCAAATCCAACACGGCGGAGAACTTCATACCAGGTATTCACATTGAGTTTGCGAGCAAGACAAGGACGTGATTCCGGTACGGCCATGGAGATTGATTCGTTGACGCCGCATCTAGTCTCCCCATAGCAGTTTCTAGTCCACGTAGTTCCATCGAAGGAATTGACACCAAAGCGATACCATGTCGTCTTCTCGGTGGGATCAGGATCGAGGGCGCTGAGGATGGTGATAAACTCGGTTGCATGGTCTAGATGCATGACAGCTGCAGAGGCGAGGGTGACATGGCAAGGCTGTAAGTCCGGTCCCCTTCCAATTGTCGCAAGGCTTCCCCAATCATTGCTATGAACCCAGCAGCAGGAAATACCGTCTGTCCTTCCATTTCATGGCCTGCCAGCCATGGGACATTCTCAAAAGCCAGGATATTTCTCCAACAAGGCTCATTTCCAGTCTCGGCTACCCCCAGGCGCTCATGCGGACGGAATTGACGGAATCGCCATCGCGGGCGACGCGTGGCTCATTCCAATGCGAAGAATCGGGCTGCCAACAGTATTGAGGGAGGTCCGTCACAAGCCTTCCAGGAGGACAGATCTGGTGGTAGTCCAGACGAACGTTCTGCTGGTAAAGTCTTCCGGCAAGGTCGAGAAGACAGGGCTCACAGCTTTGCTGTCTAACCAATGTACTGAGATGAGCGTCTGACCGACCAAGCTCGCGGACCACCCGGCCCATCCGGGGCTCAATTAACTCCGTGGGGTGCACATGGTGTGACTCCACATATGGAGGCGACTAGGGGCGTCAGCTTGTTATGTGACATTCCAGGCTCTGTTTCAAGATTGCTCATGATCAAACATCGTATCGGGCAAAGAGTCATGATTTGTGGGCTATACTGCAACAGTGTGCCTAATAAGCAAGCACAAAGCCGCAGGCCGAACGTATCGAGCTATTTGCGAGGAGACTACAATCAAGCAGGCTCGTTCTACATTGAAGCATGAAATAAGCAGTCATGCAGTGCGGCCCGACATCCCAACGGTCGCTGCATTGATCCCTGTGCTTCTACTACCGGGCTACTCCATATTTGGTAAACAAAGGATCAGTTAGCAGTCGATCCAAGCAACTCTCTTCCACTCCCACCAAGATCTCCATCCCGCCATCCGGCAGTACTGGAAGCACAACTTGAGCGCCATTGATGCATCCAATGTGCGGCACGCGAACGGCCTCGATGCGATGACCTAGTAGAGAGCCCCAGTCCAGCCCGTACAGTTTGAAGTTCAACCAAGAGGTCTGCACACAATTATACCCAGGAACATCCAGGAAGGCGGTTGGGACCAATCGATCGACATCTTCGAGCCGGTCCACCAGAGCAACGACATCGTCCGTGAATTGCTTGTCAGCCCGCAGGATAGCCTTTCGGATCTGAATGGCTAGGTCGGCCAGGCTCAAGGTACTCAGCATTTTGCGAATTGGAAGGATAACAGCAACATACTCCAGGAAGCATCCTAGAGTGTCCGGGTGAATTGGGGGATCCGTTCGTTAGCGCCCATCGATAGCAACATTAAAAACAGAGACAGGATCACCCTCCAGTGTATCCAAGGGTGACTGGACTGCCATCACGGTTCGCCAGAGAAGTGCGGAGAGAGCGTCGTTGGTGGAGATCCATTTCTGGTCGGAGGGCTCGGTAGCATTGCCAGGCGATGCCTCGACCTTCAAAGCTGCGAGTGAGTCCGGGGAGAAGTAGAAGACCTGGCCACGATGGTTCAAGGAGGTCATCTTGGGTGGTGCTCCTGACGGTGTGAAAGGAAGGAGGGTATATTCAGGATGATGTTCCAGTTCGCCCGCATTGCGACCTGAGGGCTTGGTCACTTGCTCCCGGTCTTTCCAGACGGCGTCAGGGAGTTGAATTGGGGCCACAATTTCCAGCCCCTGTGCACGGCGAGATTCTTCTGCCCAAATCGCCGTCCACGTAGAAAATGAGTTACCATCTCCTGCCATGTGTAAAATGCACCATGTGAGTACCAGTCCCCCGCGGATGAAGTTGGCCTGCACAAGAGAAACTGGCATTCGTTCCCCAGTTGAGGGCCAGACCGATCGACGGCAGAATGTATCGGCATCGAAGGCAGCCACGGGGAAATATTGATGTTTCAAGTCGGCGTAGTTAGAGACATAGGAGTCACGCAGGTCTTTAACAAGGATATGTGTTGCGTCGCGGGTGTCCAGCGTCTGAAATCTCATTACGCCCTTTTGCTTCGTCTCGAGGTCGAGAACTGCCTCACACGCCACCACCGGGATCCGTTGTGAGAGCCTCGTACCCGGCCTTCAGGGCTCCAGCGACTTCATCCAAATCATAATCGTCTTGCAGCTGGAAAGGGAAGACGTAGCGCAGATATCCCTTAGGTCCAATGCGCTCCAAGGCCGTGAGCCCCAGGACGGGTTGTTGATTCTTGATTGACCCCATGGTTATCACTTCGGTCTGTCAGCGGAGCTCGAGGGCAAGCCAGGGATCGAAAGCTCAGTAAGGGGACGAAGGCCAGATTATTAAACCTTTTAGCGGAGTGGCCCGGTGCCAGCATTTTGGACTGTGTCACACTCCGGCACACAAGTTCCTCTTCCATCTACCAGGGGGCAATTCAATATCAGCTATCTAAGGATTAAGGAGAGGAGTGTCCTGTTTCAACCCCTGCCGGTCCAGGAGTAGCGCCATGCCGGACAAGATTCGAATAGTGTATTATTGTACGTCTTCCACTAGAAGATAGTACTGATGGCCAGCCCCACCCGCAATTGCGGACCGTTGATCTTGCCACTTCAATTGAGAATGGACCTGGCAGAAGCTCATTCTTGGCCAGTGGCCATGTGAATGGCACAATGACGCGTCTGACATCTGGAAGGGAGGAGATCTGCTTCTGCCCTGAAGCAGAGCAGGGGGGTCTCAGGAGTTGTGGATTGAGTCAGTTGGGCCCCTTGGAGCAGCCGTGCAGCGCCTTCCGACGGGCCGCGAGCCTCTCTCTTCTTGGCTAACCATCGGTGACTATAATGACAGCAATTAAGCATGAATCCTACACTAAGGCTTCCCGCGGTTCAAACACCCGCCAACAAACAGCCTTGATTATAAGACACTTGACCCACCTGTTGGTCCCGCCAACAACCGTCGACCATTCATAATGTGGCTAGCCCTTAGGTGGACTGGCAAGTAATATCCGATAGTCTCGGGGACAACAGGGTGGCCATGACTGGCGCCTCCTGAGGCGATTTGATCGGATTTCGGAGTGTCGACTACTTTGCTTGGTCCGTGGCCAGAGGTCAAGCATTGGCACCTGTCACTCTGTGGAACCCATTCTTAATACTTAAGAGACTCCATAGACTGATGCGTGGCTTAGTGACCACATACGCAATGCTATGGCCGAGGATCCAGCGATCCGCGCGCTCTTTGGACCGGCACCGGCCAATGTCGACCTTATTGCGAGCGCTGTCGCCGTGAACAATGCGGCTGTTGTTGCCATGCTCGTTTTGGCTGCGGTGGCGGTGATGCTCCGCTTCACTGCGCGACTGGTCCTTCGAAATGCCCTCATGGCCGACGATTGGGCCATCATTGCTGCCCTGGTGAGTGTGATGCGGCTGGGATTGAGCACCTCCTCTGACTCAACGTTTCTAGCTCTGCATAGGTGCCACGGCTGGGTTAAGCATCGCGGGTGAGTTTTGAAAATTGACTGGGGATGTGACCACCCGACTGATGAGCCCTATAGGAGGTATGACTGGTGCTGGGAAGCACATTTGGTCCGTCACACTGGAGGAACTGATGCACCTTTACCGGGTCAGTCGAAAATCCCCCTTTTCCCCAACAAGCCGACCCTCAGTGCTGATGGGTTAGGAAGTAGCTTTTATTCTCCTATACCTTCATCTACGCCTCCTCCTGCACCTGCACCAGACTCTCCATTCTTTGCTTCTACTGGAGAGTCTTCTCGCCCCTGAAGCCGATATTGAAAGTTGCACTGTGGTTCGGCGTTTTCCTGACACTTGCCTACCCGATCATCGTTTGGGTAACCATGAGCAATTCGTGCAAGCCCGTCACATACTTCTGGACGCAATTCAGCGGGACGAGCGGCAATTGCATCGACGTGGACCGATTCTTCCTGGCAGCGGGCATCCTCAACATGCTGAATGACTTCATCATCTTGATCATCCCCTTTCCTCGGATTGTCAAGCTGCAGATGAGTGTGCAGAAGAAACTGGCCATCAGCGGAATCATGGCGATGGGTATTTTGTACGTCCTCCTCGGTCCCCCTAAGCACATCCACCATGGATCCAGCTAAGCCGGTGCATGCTAGTGTGTGTGTTGCCAGCATCGTTCGCATCCGATACCTGTCGATCTTCATGAGCTCGACGGACCTGACCTGGCTGATGGGACCCGTATTCATCTGGTCCAGCATTGAGCCATCGGTCGCCGTCGTCTGCGCTTGCATGCCTCATCTTGCACCTCTGGCACGGCTGGCTCATCGGTCCTTCGTGTCCAGTTTCCATTCCCGACGATCGACGATCGAGTTATCGGGACGACCACGAAAGCTACCGAGTGGATCGAGGCAGGGTGTTCAAAAGGGCCACCGATTCAGCCAGCGAGGACCAACGTTTGACTTCGGGTTTGAGCAGCTGAAGAAGACGGCCAATGACGACGAGATCGGGCTGACGAATTATGTTACGGCGGGGCCCAACTACATGGGCAAGCCCTCGTCCATCGAATCGGTCTCCGAGGTGGAGGGTCGTGCTCGGGAGATCGCGGTGCAATCGAGTTTTGTGCAGTCGTCTTCGCTGAAGAGCTCCCTGTAACGAGCATTGCCTGCATTGAAACTTGTGTCACCACGTGTATCTTGCTCAAGTAGTTTCAGGAAACAGTCAATTGTGGGCAGCTGTCCGTAGAAACTTGTGAATGATCAACTCAAACCTGACGCGAATGGCCTGCGGCTGGGCCCGTTTGGGTGGGGCCCCGAATCATACCGCAGCCTCCCATAGCATTGTAGATAAGACTAAATGAGATGCGAACGTTCGCCTGATTGGTTGCCCTCGACTCACTAGAAAGTTGTAGAGACCTAGAAATAAAAAGATAAAATCGCATTCACACGGGTGAGAATTCATCATGGTCATGATTATCACCAAGAGGGTCGGGTGGAAGAAGTGCGAAGAAGAATGAAAACAACGACGACGCGGAAGCATCAACAGCCGACTGATGACTCATTCCTTAGTCATCCGGTAGCCGCGCGGATCTACGGAGAGCGACAGAGACCGGGTAAGTTAGTAGCTAGGTAGGTAGTAGGGAGGGACAGCTCCAGGGCCAACAATTCAAGCACTATGTTACTCCTGACTTGCGGGTATAGCTACGGTAGTTTCTAATAAGTAGCCTACAGCGAAGAAATAAGTCTTTGTTTCAATTCCATTCACCAAGGGTGGTTAAGTAGTAATGAAAGATGTGCTGAGGGTCCATCCCTTCCTGCACCGGAAAGAATATATCTTGCACCGATTGAGTCACATGCACCTCATTGAAAACTGTACTGTCCCAGAGAATCACTTATCTGCATCTAGAGTACTGGAACAACAACTAGCAGGCAATACTGGAATCATCTTTTATCACTGGTTCTTAGTTTTAGCTTTCGGATATTCCTCCTTCCAACCTGGAGTGATTTGGTGCCAGCATTGTCAGGTGTCAGCCGGGCGGGACGGTACGGGACTGTACGTGTAGACCGACCGATTGATAAGAACTCCCCGGGGAGGGGGCGGATCAGATTATTTTCGCCGCGATCATCTTCCTCTCCCTTTCCCCCACCCATTCTGGCTCCTCTCCATCATCACTCACTTCTTTGTGAACACAATCCTGCTTCTCATCACAGCAGTCCTTTGAAATCGATCATTCATCATTCAGAATGCATATTCAGTCTGCTCTGGCCTCGCCCAAAGGCCACCCTGGTATCCTGCACCCATACGTACTGTACCAGTCTGCCCTCCCCGTCACCCCCACGGCGCTCGCTCACCGTGCTAACATCCAAACACCATCTCTTAGGCCCCCCGACTGGTCGCCTTCGAGTACATCCGCGGCTCTCGCACCAAGCCTCACACCCTCATCTTTATCGGAGGTCTCTCCGATGGCCTACACACGGTCGATTACCTCTCCGATCTCATTCTCGCCCTCCAAGATACTGAATGGTCCGTCGTCACACCGCTGCTGTCCTCCTCCTACGCCGGCTGGGGCATGAGCTCGCTTGCGCAGGACATTGACGAGATGGCTCAGTGTGTGGGCTACATACGCGACCACAAGAAATCCTTATATGGGCACGGGAAGGTGGTAATCATGGGCCATTCCACCGGAAGTCAGGACGTCATGCATTACATCAGTTGCGCCAATCCGCGCCCACGCCACCCAATTCTGGATCGAGACATTCCCGAAGGACAATACGTCGGTTTAACTCGACCGTCAGTGGATGGGGCGATCATGCAGGCGCCGGTGTCCGACCGGGAGGCTGCTTTGTGGCTGAGCAAGCTCGGGACCGAGTACGATACTCCGGAGGAAATTCAGGAAGTGTATCGGAAGACGATTCAGGAAGCGCAAAGGCGGACGTATGAGACCGGGGGCGGGGATGGGACCACGATCTACGACACGATTGTGCCACTGGCCACTACGACGCGCATGTACTACCCGGCTGATACGCCCCTGAGCAGCCGTCGGTTCTTGAGCCTGCTCAGTCCCCAGAGCCCCCAGCGACCGGACGAAGACGACCTTTTCAGCTCGGATCTTGCGGACGAGCACTTACAAACCACCTTTGGCATGATCCGAGACCGAGGGGTGTTACATGGAAAGGGCAAATTGATGGTGCTGTATTCTGGTCGCGACCAGTCGGTTCCTCCGTGGGTCGATAAGGTGGCGTTGTTGCAGCGATGGCGGACGATTCTTGGGGATGAGACGTGGCACCGAAACAGCACAATCATCCCGGGCGCATCGCATGCTTTAAGCGATCCCGACCAGGCTGAGCCCCGAAGAATCTTGGTAGAGAGGGTGACAGGGTATCTGGAGGATGTGGAGACACTCTAGTCACTGGGTTTCTAGCATGTTTTGCACCTAACAGCTGCAGACGCCCACCAAACGGGGTATTGATCTTCATGCAACCTTGAGAGGAGCCATGACGAACCTCTCGAATCGACTGACTCGGTTATTTGCTCTTTCTGGTACACGGAGCTTATTCCCCTTCACGGCATCTGACAAAACCCTGGCATTGAATCAGTCCATTGGATCTCCAGTCCTGCCACTTGCATCAGGCCAGGGATAATCATTCCTGCACCGTGCACACATCCACTCCGACCGAAAATTGAGATTTCCATCGGGGTGGGTGTGAATGGTCATGATCCCTGCATGGCCGAGAGGGGAAATGCAATCCCCCGCCACGAACCCCGCCTGACCTTCGTCATGGCTGCTCCACGATGGTTACAAAAGCTTTCTCTCCGACCACCATGGGCTACGACTTGCACCCAGTGGGATTTCTAGCAAAGGCATCATGGGTTCCCTTGGATATGTCCACCGACGCCCATACCAACCAACTCCGGCCGACATTACTATCAAGAATCGCGGCCCTCAAGATCCACCCAAAATTCTATTTCGGAATGTCCGCATTCTCGACTCAACCGGCGCAGAGCCATTTTGTGGTGATGTACTGATTGAAGGTGAGCGCATCGTCTCGGTCGGCCAAGTTGATACCACCGGCACCCAAGGAGTACTGGTCATCGACGGTGGTGGCACCAAGACACTCATGTCCGGACTGGCGGACTCGCATACTCACCTCAGCTGGAACAATGCGGCTACGCTGGATGAACTCACCAGTCTTCCGCTCGAGGAACATGTCTTGCATACCGCAAACTCAGCCCGAATCTACCTTGACCACGGCTACACAATGTGTTTCGGAGCTGCTGCGGCCCAACCGCGACTCGACATTGCCATCAAAGCTGCAATCAAATCGGGATTAATCCCCGGCCCACGCACTTTGGCCAACTGTCCAGAGTTGACCAAGCCTGACGGAGCGATCGTTCCTCAGATCTCGCGCTATGCGGATGGGCCGGAGGAGATGCGCAAGGTGGTTCGAGAATTCGTCGAACTGGGCGCCGACAATATCAAGTTGAGTATGACCGGGGACAACGTACATCCTACGATGCCCAGTGAGGAGACATACTTCGATCTGGAGGAGACGGTTGCGGCAGTGGAGGAGGCACATCTCCATGGTAAACGGGTCTGCGCCCATGCTCGGAGTGCTGCATCGGTCAAGCAATGTGTGCAGGCCGGGGTCGATGTCATTTATCATGCAAGTTTCACGGATGAGGAAGGTATGGATCTTCTCGAGCAGCACAAGGGCTCGGTCTGGGTCGCTCCGGCTATCAATCTCTTGTACGCGATGGTGCAGGGTGACGCAGAGCCTTACGGAGTGTCGCCCAAAGTGGCCGAGCAGAAAGGGATCACGTACGAGGTCGAGGTCGCTTGTCAAGCCATGCGCGAGATGCGTCGTCGGGGGATCCGCGTCCTCCCTGGTGGTGATTACGGGTTTGCCTGGGCCCCCCATGGCACCTATGCACGTGATCTGAAGCACTTGGTGGATCTGTTTGGATACACGCCGATGGAGAGCATTCTGGCTGCGACCGCGATGGCAGGCGAGCTCATGGGCTATCCGGACGAGCTTGGAAAAGTGCAGCCGGGCTATTTTGCCGATGTGATTCTGGTAGATGGCGATCCTTTGCACGACATCAGTGTCTTGCAGAACAAGGATCGTCTACACACGATTGTAATCAACGGCCACATTCACAAGAATATTCACCCGACAGGAGAGGTTCTGGCATGAGGACAAGGGAGATCATGGGGCTCAGGAGGGTTTATGCGATCACCACCCTCACCACACAGTCATTGAATGCATCTTCAGGCCGTTGGCGATTGTATAATCACTCAGAAGTAACCAAAGTTGTGTCTCATAAAAGCCAAGCAAAGCTCGAAGTATTTCTCCACCAATCATCATGCAGAAAGCTTCTCCGCATAAAATGGATATTCCCCCTCATTTCCGACTCCAATGCAAGGTGGCATCTCCAAACCACTGCGTCATGTATACCAACCCAATCATCCCCGGGTTCAATCCCGATCCTTCCATCGTGCGGGTTAACTCTGACTATTTCCTGGTCACCTCCTCGTTTGAATATGTCCCTGGAGCTCCAATCTACCACAGCACCGACCTGATCCAGTGGACCCTGATCGGCCATGCACTCACACGCCCGAGCCAGCTGCAGATCCAAACCCCCGAGCCCGGTGGCGGTGTCTGGGCCACCACACTGCGTTACTACGAGGGGGTCTTTTATTGTCTCGCTGCCTGTTTTCAACGCTATCGACCCCAAGAAGACGACCGCGTCTGGCCGCGGGGGTTTTACGTGAAGACCGCGAACATCTGGGATTCCGACTCGTGGTCGGATCCAGTCTACTTCGATCAAGTCGGCTTCGATCAGGATGTGAGTGTCTGTGTCTCCTTTTGAATTTCGGTCGGGGCTCATGTTGTACAGCTCTTCTGGGACGACGATGGCACCGTTTACCTGTCATCGACCTACCGCAAACTGGATCGCACCCCCCACACCGATCTGAAAGACTTCGCCGTGCACATCGTGCCGGTAGATCTGGAGACGGGCGCCTCCTTGGCTGAGCCGCGCTTGATCCGGGAATCAGCGTCTGGGGTGGCTGAGGGCTCGCATCTCTTCCGTCGCGGAGAGTACTACTATCTCTTCACGGCCGAGGGAGGCACTGAGAGTGGACATTGTGAATGGGTATCGCGCAGTAAAACCAGCCCGCTCGGTCCCTGGGAGGTCGCGCCTATCAATCCTCTGTGGCGGAATGGACTTTCCGATGAAGTCCAGAATACTGGGCATGCAGACTTGGTCGAGGATACCGAGGGGCAGTGGTGGGTGGTGCTGCTGGGGGTGCGGCCGGTCTGGCGGGATGGCGTGTGGGAGGAGTCTGTGTTCGGTGAGTCAATCCTCTCAGGTATGGGAGATGCGCCCCTGTGATTAAGTGTGTGATTAGGCCGTGAAACCTTCCTAGTCCCGATGAATTGGGAGAACGACTGGCCGGTCATCAACGGGGGCGAGAAGATTCCGCTGGAGTACGCGGGGCCTCAGCTGTATCAGTGGCAGCCCCCGGTCGCCTGGCGCGATGAGTTCACGCAGCCCCAGTTGCAGCTAGGGTGGTACCGAAAGAATACGCCGGTCTTGCACGACTTTTCGCTCATCGAGCGAGAGGGCTGTCTCCGTCTCTACGGTGGGCCGTACAATCTGTCTGTCCCGACGTGTCCGACGCTCTTCTTACGCAAACAGACCCATCGCGTCTGTACCTGGGAAACCCGGGTCTCCTTCGATTCGAAGCAGAAGCACACCGAGGCCGGCACGGTGGTGTGGTGGAACCACCTCACGTACAGCAGCATGGGCGTGCGAGGGTCGGACACAGGGGATCGAAAGGTGCGGTTCCAGCCTGCGGAAGGGGAGGCTGTGGAGATACCTCTACAGAATGCGCAGTCGGACGTGATCTTCGTCGTCGAATGTGGCTTATCGTACCGATTCGGGTTCCGTGAGGTTGCTCCAGATGGAGACCAGACGAGGCTGCAGTGGGTGGGAGACGTGGGAAATGGTACCATGACAAGGCCCCCAAGGGTTGGGGCGGCGTTTACTGGGATGATGCTGGGAGTCTATGCCTTTGGCGAACGCCAGAGGTGTTTGGCTCCAGCCGACTTTCATTATGCAACGTGGCGATAAGCTGGGTGAAAGGAAATATGGTGTTACTATATCATCTACTAGATTCGATGCCAGAAAGCAGGTGTAGGGTTCCTTTCTTTTGTTACTACCACGGTTGCAATAGAGGCAATGCATGGATAATGACTTCCGGTCAATCCATTGTCTGGGTTCCTCATCATCCACACAAGGAATTTGTCCTCATTCAGTGCTCGTTCTCAAAGGCATAAGGGTGTGCTCTAGCCGTGATCCTTCTTGAAGATTGTTTTCCTTGTCGCGTCTCTACCACTCGGATTTCAGGTATTCCGATATATATACATACACACATACATCCATATATATATGCCCTCGCACTACCACACCTCATCTGTCGATATACTGATCTCATCCGCATGAGCCCTAAGTCACAATCACAAGATGTCATGCCGTGTACTCACCCCCATATCCGGGGGGGATGCCACAGAGAAAACAGTCAGATCCGCTGCAATACTTGCAAGGTCATGTTCTACTGCAGCGAGGAGCATCAAGCCAGCCACCGCCAACAGCATGAGATGATTTGCCGATATGTCGCAGAGCATCGCGCCGATGTGGGGGCCGCCGAGGCCAAACTCCGCGCGCTTGTTCCCAGCGGAGAAGATCCTTTTGTGGACCAAGACTTTCCCTTCCCAATGCACAGAGAAGGACTCCAAGGGGCAGTGATGGGCGTCAGATCCGCGCGCGAGGATCTGCTAGGCATGCTGGTCTACATCCGGAGCCTTGAGGCACGAACCGAGATGTTGGCTCACTCGCTAGGGCTGCTGAGAGGGCCCAAGTGGTCCCGGGGGAGTATCCGTCGGACTGCGGCGCTGATGTTGGATTTAGGAATGGATCAGGAGTGTTTGGACCTCCTTCAATGGTGGGGCATGGCCGACGGTGAACCGGATGTTGAACGGTTAAGCATCGTCAGCCCCAGCTTGCCGATACTGAACTTCCCGCGTGGGGTCAGCGTGATGGAGCCATTCGATTCTATGAGTCGTTGGATTATCTTCGACGGTGTAACCCCGTATCTTCTTCTTCTGAAGCTTCAGGCGTTGCTCGACTTGACTCGCTTGTCCTTGTGCACCCCCGCCTTTGCGGCCAAGGTGCCCCCGGAGATCTCTGGCGACATCCGAGGGTATATTCCGGTGAGCCCCAGGGTGATAAACCATCCGGCTCTTCGGTGGAAGCTGACCTATACCGATGAGATCAAGCAGCTGACCAGGCAGATCGAGAGACTGTGGGATGATGTCGCGGCTGGCCATATGTGGGAGGTCCGGGGGGTGCTATACGAGGATGAGGATGAGGATGTGCACCATCGGGACGAGGACCAGCCTTCATGCTTGACTTGCCTTTTCCGCCGGGATCCCCAAGCGGTGGCTTACATTCGGAGCTTCATTAACTGGGATGTGGTGGAAGATCAATGATGTAGGGATTCTATATGCTTCTGCCACACTTACGTTCAAGGATCAAGGTGAACCACGAATTATTGTGCTCTGCTAGGCATTTTAAAATATGGACCAAGTAAATGGAATCAAACGTCAAACACATTAGTATAACTTGAAAGAAAGTACCATGTCAGGTGCATTCATCACATGACCATGACCCCCTACCGGGAGAATTCTTTATAAGAAAACTTGGATCTGGTCACATGACTCAAATCGGGCTCGGCGAATGGTTCTCTCCGCAATCCCCGGCTCCCCGGCATTCCGCCGGTGATCGCCGACCATCGGTGACTGCTTTCCCCCTCAAGATACCAACACTTCATCATCCATCCCCATCCCCCCTTACAACACACTCACACCTCACTTCATGCGAGGGACCCCTCCTGTTAAGGCAGCCTGTCTGGCCTGGTGTGTTTCTCCTGCGGTATAAACTGACTGACTGTACTGTACTTGCTCACACCTATCGTCAGCCGTGCGTCCAAAACCCGTTGCGACGGACAAAACCCTTGCAGGCCGGTAGGGCTGATCCACTTTCCTTTGTACTGTCTGTAACAGGACCGGGGAATAATTCGTTGCAATAGTGCCTGGTCAAAGGTCGCAGCTGTTCGTATCAGCCCAGTAGACGAGGTGGTCCTCGCCGACGCGCCCGCAGCCTACTTCCGGGGCCGTCTCCGCAGCCCCCGACGGTGGTAGATCTCTCCGAAGACTCGGGCTCCTTGGTTGACGATCCCGGTATTTGGCATACTTTGGCTCTTCTGTCTCCGTACAAGAGGGCTCAGGATGCAGAAAGAGGCTCCCAAGACAGGCTGGAGGCGCTCCATGCAGGGACTGCCTGTGAGATTCAAGGGCCGCTCTTGCGAGTCTATACATCCGAGCAAGATATGTGCGTACACCCCAGCTCGCCGAGCTGCTCCATGATTATTGACTCTGTATGCATGTGGGCTCAGACTGAACGCATATTACATCTTCATTCATCCCTATTTGCCGCTGTTGCCCCCGCCCGTTGAGCCTCTACGACCAGACCACCCCCAGGTCTACCAGCCCTCTCCCGGAGAGGCGGGGACAGTGGATCACTCCTGTCTATCATATCGACCGCTCTCTTGTTTGAGCTTGGCCCTCTCCGCAGTCCTCGCCTTGATCCCGCCTCCGCAAGATGGAAATCCCTCCGATCCCTGCTGTGCGTGGCTGCGCCGGTCATACTCCGGTCTTTTCGCGCAGTCCGCTCTGGAGAGCGCCGAGCAAGATATCGTGGAGCCCGACGCCGCTCGAATCTCCCCTCGTCCTCCGACTTACAGCCAGCGTTTCCATCCCGATCTACCCGTCAGGCTCCACCCGATCTTGACCTTGATGGTCCTTGGCGTGTATGACTCTTGTCAGAATGGGAATATCCATCGCATGCGGATGCGGATCAACCAAGCCATCACAACTGCGATGGACAGTTCACTGCATCAGTTGGGAGAGAATGCTTCGGAGGCTCAACGACGCGCATGGTGGATCGCGGTGCGTTTCGTCCATCTCTCACGGTTACACGCAACGCTCACGGCTCTACAGATTATTCTTGGATACCAGTCTTCTGCTGTCAATTCATCGGTACGTTACTTCGTTGATTATCAGTTACAGTGATGTTCAGCACCGGGCTAATGTCCCACTGCCAGTCCCCAATAATCACCACAAATGATCCTAGGATCACAACGCCCTACCCAGCTTTCGAATTGGGGACGAACGGCCCGGAGGTAACGCTATCTGTTTTCATATAGCAGGGTACCTGTCTGCTAACCGCTTATAGCCGTGGTCACTTATTCTCAAGGCTCATAATGCTCATGACTCAATCAGCGCCCTTCTGCGCCTGATCACTACGCAGAGTGCTCAATACTCAACAACCCCGAATCTAAGAGATAGAATTTCCCGGTTAGATCGATCTATATTGTCATTGGCCTCGGAGTGCGATCTGATTTGTACACCGATGCAAGGCAATAGTACGGAAGGACTTGCAGGCCGCAGCTTCGGTTTGATTGCCTGCGCACTGATTCACTCGTATGATCCCCAAGCATTCAACCAAAGCTCTCCTCAAACTTTCCCCACGCTGACCAACTCACAGTGCGCGGATCAAGCTACACCGCTTCAGAGCCTTCTCTGACATCCCAATCTTCCTGGAAAAGCATTGCGATCTCTCCTCACTTCGTGTAGACGGCAGCGCATCCCAGGAAGTCTCCTCCGTGACAGCCACCGAGATCGACTCGTTCTTCCCGTTCAGCAAGGACGAGTCCTCCATGATCTGTCTGAAATCATCACTCGCTGTTGCCCGTGCCTTCAAGGATGTACCTTCTCCACACTCGGCCACTTCTCGGTCCACTGACCTGGAGAGTGCGACATTGAGTTTTCTGGCACCCGCGCAGGATGGGTACTACGGGTCCTTGCCGTACTTCAAATGTGCCGCAATGCAGGCGTCCTACGTGCTGTATATGCTGGTGCACCGGGTCCGGGCCGCGCTGTCGTCGAGACGGCTTGGCATCTGCTACCCGCTGTTGAACTGTCCCGAAGCAGGCACGGAAATCCAGGATGCATATCGGTTGATCGAGGAGCTGCGCAACGGTGCCCATTCGCTGATTCTCTCCATGAAGCGGGATCTGGTCTACGAGGGGATTGCGTCGATGGTGAACGATCTCGATGCGGCGTATATCTCTCTATTTGGGTGATCCTCAGTCTTTAGTATACTTTGACGCCAGTTGTATATCTATACATTCCTTGTACAAGTTGTCCCACCAAGTACTGTACACTTTCTAGCATCTCCAGGCTTTCATGCCGGCACAGTTGCCTTGTGTCTCGCGGCACCTTCCTTGGATCAGCTCATCACATTCCGCTGAATTGCGAGTTCGACCCCGCGCGGGCGCATCTCTTTTCCGGGTATGGAGTATAGCATGTATTTTATGTACATCCCTGGAATGTTACTTGTGTGCCAGGTTGTGACTCCGCGTCGAGGTTATATTGTTGTCCTCCTGTAACAGCCATCAAGCAAATACTTCCTCCAAATATTGCACCCAGTCCTGGCCAACATATCCCACATACAAGTCCGGTCGGACCACCACGACCGCCTCGTGAGCATCATCCACCCACTCCGCTTGGTATTCATACACAAGACTCGTGACTCGTTGCGATAAGGCATGAACATTCCAGAACTCGGCCTTTTGCTGCAGCTTGACAGCTTGATACTCCCACTCGGTTGGAGCATCCTTCCCGAGGAAGAAGACCTTGAACTTGCCATATTGAAAGATCTCATAGAGCCGAGTCTTGGACGGTTCCCACTTAGCAACCTCAGGATTCTCCACCGCAGCCGCGAAGAGCCTGGTCGGCGGAAGACTCGTAACCCAGAGATCGGGACAACGACTGCCAGCGACAAAGTCCGCGTGGGAGGATGTCTTGACGAGGGGAGTTGAAGGGAGATACGACACACCCATTCCTATATGAGCCGAGTCAGCACGAAGCGATCAGAAGCCGACCTGCGAATAACACATACCGGTAATATAGGCAGCATTCTTCTCAATGATATCGACATACTCCAGGGCCGTCTTAACGGTCATGCGCACCAGCTTGGCAGCGACATCGATCACCCCGGTGGCAGTGGCGCGTCGCTCCTCGTCGTAGCTTGCTAGCAAGGTCGAGCCCCCAAGGCCCTTGACAGCAAATGCAACGCGCCAGATCAGGTTGAAGGCGTCCGCAATGCCCGTGTTCAGGCCCTGCCCGCCGTTGACGGCGTGGACATGCGCAGCGTCGCCGGCGAGCAGAATGCGACCGTGTCCATCCTTGGAGATGAAGGTGCTGGCAACGCGTTCTTTTACTACACACACCAGGATGTCAGACAAAGTCCACCGAGCACTGGGCTATGAAAACACAAACTCTCGAAGGTGCTAAACCACTCCGTGCGCTTGAACTCGATCTTGTGGGGCGCCATATGCTCCTGGATCGAAGCCTCGGCTTTCTCCTGCGTGATCTCCCCATCGAGTAGAATATAAAATCAGCTCATCCCTTGCTCTCTGCATTCGGTCAGACACCCATTCCATCTCCCATCTGCATGAACACGCATACCTCGGAATCCACGACACCCGCGACTGCCCATCCTTCTGGAATGTAATGATCTCCGGACAGACAGGAAAGTCCGTCTCGATGAAGGTGTCCAGCACCGCCCAGACCATCTCCGGCTTGGTGCCGGTGAACGGGATGTCCAGGGCGCGGCGCACAAACGAGCGCGCCCCATCGGCGGCGATGGCGTACTTGGACACAATCGTTCTGCCCTGATCAGTGGTGACCACCACGCCTGTATCGAACTCAGCAATTGAGGTCGCGCGGGTGTTGTACGCCACCGGGATATCCAGCTGGTGGAGGAGAGCTTCTTCGACGCGAGCTTGTCCGATCATCAGGAAATTAGGGCGGTGGGTGTGCTTTAGGGAGGTCCACCAGTGGCTTTGCTGGGAGGTGAACCGGCCGGCTTCGAAGGTGGAACTGGCTATACCACGAGCGGGAGATGTCAGAGCAAGAATCGGTTGAAACTAGGCAGGTCAGGGGATGTCTCGTACTGTTACATGTTAACCCAAACGGCTCGAGTAAGGGTAACGTTCTCGATACTTCGAGATATTGCTGGGTGCGGGCATTCAAGGCATCGGCTCGACCCAGGTCAAGTGAGGTTTCTTTGGCGTCTGCACTCGGTGGATTAGTATCGTCAGGAGAGCTGTGGCCGTCGAAGAAGTACCGAGAATATAAACAGATAGGCCTAGGGACCGAGCGAGCACAGCCGACAGCAACCCTGTCGGTCCGCCGCCCACGATGACCAAGTCCGTTTGAATTGCTGATGGTGTTTCCTTTGCCATGCTTGCGTGAGCTCGTTAGGAGATTTGTCCCAAGATGGTAAGACGAATAGTGAGGAAGGGGTCCAGCTCCCATAAAAGTAGACGAGGATCAGGGGTGGAAGGTGAATAGAGAATCGGACGATTAGCATCCATCCCAATTCGTGGCGCCATGCTTCTCTGCTCGGAACTGGTACCCTCGTTCCCCTGAGATGCAGCATAGATGACAAGCATTGCGACTAGCTTGCTCCCAGTACATGGATCAATTCCGCGCTTAGAAATGCATCTGAATTGCAGGAGAACAACATAGATTAGGTATGTCTCAGCCGCAAAACTAAGAAATGCTAAAAGCAATGGCGCCACCAGCGCGCAGACCATGGCTCAGGAAGAACAAGCTCGAACCATGAAAGGCGAACAATAACCGGGAGAATTATGGGTGAAAAGTCTCCGCCGAGAAGTGGGCCTTGAGAGGAGCCAGAGCGAATGACGAAGCATCGGTCCCTGCATCGGCAGTGCGAATCGGGCATTGCGTCTGTTTCATTTCAGTAATGTAGGTTCCACTTAGGGTTACTTACTTAGTAGATGTATAGTAAATATCAACCATTAGGCTGCCAAGTTCTTCAGCCCAGCCCTACTACGTGGCTTGGCACGGGTGCGAGACACATTTTCACCCAGGTTTACTATCTTTCTATCGTACCATAACCCTTGTAGCTCTGACCATGTTGGAGATGAGGTTGCATCCACTAAGGGAGTGATTGCATGAGCAAGCTACCTGATCTAGGTACTAAGGTAGTGAATGAAATTCCGACCAAGTCATCTATGTTCCGAATGCGGAATTGAGCCGATAGTGCACCCTCATGCAATACTCGGAACTACTAGTGTCGGGATAGAATCGGGTTCCTTGACAGGCTCATATGGCTTTAAATGTCTCGCTGGACCTCGAGCAGGGAGGACTTCACCAATATAAACCATCACCAACTGCTCAGCGCTCGACATTGAATCGCGTCATAGCAATCGCCCACGATGAGCGCAGTCATGGTGCAGCCTCCCATCGCTCAATCGACCCTGACCTCGGTCGGGGCCGAGCCGATCTTTGACCTGGCTACCCTCCAGAAGGCGTGGGAGATTCTGAACGTCATCTACCGCTATCGCATGCCCGTTCCAGCATCGCTAGTGGACCGGAGCGACGAGGGGACTCTGAAGTTCCTATCCCTGATCTACACCCGCGTAAGAGCAGGCAAACCGGTCTCCTTGATCCTACCTGCTTTCCCGTTCAAGTCACCTAATCGAAAGGACAAAGTTCTTGGGTCTTTACCGGACAAAGGGGAGGACCTTGCCTTGGCCCATCTCAACGGACTATGCGCGGCGATCGCGGACATTTACAAACCAGGGGCTCAGTTGACCATCGCATCCGACGGTCTGGTGTATAATGGTAAGTTTAACCGCAACTCTCTATGGGCATGTTGGTCTTGGATAAGACTTATAGGGGGTAGACCTGCTAGGTGTTCCCGACGCGGAGGTCTATACATACGGCGAGGCGCTGCGGAAAATGGTCCAGACGCAGGGCTACCGACACCTCCAGTTCATTCGTCTGCGGGACCTCGTCCACTGGAAGATCGACACTCCCCTCGACGCTACCACCTACGAGAAGCTGGCAGGCGCCTTTCGTCAGCGGTTGATTGACAATTTCACGCCCCTGGATTACGACTGTGCCGAGAGTATCAAGGCCGACGAGGATGTGTGCACCACCTACCGAGGATATATCAAGTTTCTGGCCAAGGATTTGGAACATACCTTTGTGGAAGGGGGCGAGGTATCGAGAAAGTCTCACAAGCAGAAGCTCGAGGGTATTGCTAAGCAGATGATCGCCCGTGGAAAGGTAAGACAGACCACTTGGACCACAGTGTGCTGGTACTGTGCTGGTACTTATATTTTGAATTTGGCATCCAGGCATTCGCAGAGGCGATCAAGAAGAACTACCCGGACCATGTTCGACTGTCGATTCACCCGTCATGCGGGTCAGCCAAAATCTCCGTACAGGTCTTGCCTCTGGCTCCTCATTGTGTGACACCCTGGCACTCAACGCCGTGCTTGACCCTCGACGGCCGTGTGGAATATGGCCTACGCGAGTCATTCGATCACAACCCCAATGTTGAATTGGTTCACAAGGCAGGACAGCCGTGGTTCTACCGCTACAAGTCAGATCTATATTCCTGGCCACAACCCGTGGAAATCGAGCCTCAGTACCCTTGTGGCCTGATCATCCGACCTACGCAACCCATGTCTTGCGCAGAAGTGGACATGCGTAAGCTTCGCGCTCTGGCAGAAGAAAACTCCCCGGTCATTTTACGGGGATTTCAGGATACACGCGACCGGGAGCTTTTCGTGAAAAAGGCCGAGGAGATGGGGACTCCCGTTGGGTGGAAGTTCGGCCTCATCCTCGAGGTGAATGACCACGGCACCGACACCCAAGGCTTGAACAATGTTCTGTCGTCGGAGTGGATGCCGTTCCACTACGATGGCCTGTTCAAGGTTGTCAAGATGAAAGATGCAGATGGGCAGGAGGTCGTTCGATCCTGTCCTCCGAAGTAAGTAACTGCCTACGGGTCTAACGAACAGCCATACTCATTCCATGGCCATTGCACCAGATACCAATTCTTCACGGGAATGACCCCCTCGCCCAAAGACACCGGATTCACCCTCTTCTCCCCCTCCCACCTAGTCTGGCACTATTTACCATCAGAATACACAGTCGAATACCTGCGCACTCTGTCCTGGACGGTCGAGACTGTCTCCTTCGACCACACCAAGATCTGCGATCTCCCTCTCGTGGTGGACCACTTTGCGCACCAGCGTCCCTGTCTCCGCTACCACGAGCCGTGGCCGCAAGAGAAGACGGTGTTTGACCCGACCAAGATTACCATCCAGGGTGTGACCAACTCGGCGGAACTGTGCCAAACCCTCGATAGCCTGCTGCACGATCGTCGCGTGGCCTACTGGCATTGTTGGGAGGAAGGCGACTGGCTGATCAGCGATAATGTGACGACGATGCATACGCGCAGCTCGTTTACGGGCAAGTCGGACCGGTGTCTGCGGCGAATTCACGTCGACTAGATTAGCGAGGGGCTAGATTTCTTGGGACCTATATTAAGGATGTACTATAGTTTCGTGATTTGATTTTTGTCAAGTGTCAAGCTGAATTCTTGAGTTGCATGCCAATATGTGGTACCAATTGTGTCGTGCGCCTCAATGCGTGGGGGTTAAGTAGAGATAAAAAGCAGCTAACGTGCTGACACAGGAAGATTTCGCTAACGGCCAGACACAGTCAAGACGCCAGGGACGAAGGACGGTGGACTTCTCAGGGTCTGGTGGAGAAGCTAGAGAAAATAGTCTGTTTCATGCAGCCGAGGTTTCCACGGCAAGATAAGCTAAATATTGACAAGAGGAACAGCTTTGGGACAGTCAGCGCCGCAGTTAGAGAAGAGATCCGAGGAAAAAATATATATATAAAATAAAAAAAAAAGGAAAAAAGAAAGAAAAGACCAAGATGAAGAGACAGAAACTCACATGCAATGGATAATAAGTGAAGTGTACACCCTCACACTTCCTTATGAAGGATTTCGACTACCAACACCTGCCAAGAAGACCGCCGGAGCTAAGATAGATGCTATATTAATTCGATACTACCTATCCATCTAGTGCCAATGTCACCGTATCTAATCCAGGGTCTCTGATTCTCCCCAACGGTTGTCACTGTCCCCGAGCCGAGATTGCCTCTAAGTCCAACAAGGAAAGAAACGGAGAAGGGCTGGACAGGACCCTTGCCTACAATCCGCGCAAAGCCTCCAACCTCGCCCGCTGAAGGCCCTCCCCATCGAAATTGCTCGGGTCTAACCACTTCACAAAGCCCCCCTTTATCGCGGGCCACTCGCCATCCAGAATCGAGAACCAAGCGGTATCGCGGTTTTTCCCCTTGACAATCAGATGCTGTCGAAAGACCCCCTCGGCCGTGAAGCCCAACCGCACCGCCGCCCGCTTCGACGCCGCATTCAGGTCATTGCACTTCCACTCCAGCCGTCGAAAGTGGAACTGCTCAAACGCCGCCCGTGCGAGCAAGTACAACGCCTCCGTCGCGGCCGTCGTGCGCTGCAGCAGGGGGGAGAAGACCACCGACCCGATCTCCACGACGCGGTTGGGCAGGTCAATGCGCATGAAGTTGAGCAGGCCGACGGCTTGGTTGCGGGTTAGGTCGACCACCGCGTAGAAGACGCTGTCGGCATGGGTGATTAGCGTGTCGAGGAACTGAGTAAAAGTGGGCTTGTCCGCAAATGGCCCGAAGGGGAGGTAGTCCCAAAGCGAGGTGTGTTCGGGCTGGCCAATGTGGTGGTATAGATCGTCTACATGCTGCTCGGCTAGGGGTTCAACGCGCACGGAACGGCCTGCGAAGGGGGTGCGGGTCGGCCGGATGGCTGCACTGGTGTCAAGGGGAGAAGTGGATTCAGACATCTTGGAAAACGGAAGCCAGAGAATATTGTACCCGCGAGTTATGTCAAGGGAGAGAAGATTTCTTCAGCTCATCTCATTAGTGAGGTTAGTGAATGTTAGTGAATGTTAGTGAGGGAGTTATTAGGGCCTTGTGAGTCAGAGCTGACGGCGGCTGATTCAGCAGGGCGGAATGCTTTCCGCGATCGGAGTCTCAATTTAGCCCTGACATTGACATCTTCCCTGCAACATCAACGTTCGTTGCTACAATACTAGACTTCTCAGGGAGATTGACTTAACTCTCGAACTGTTGAAGCATTAGTCCTGTTGTTATGAAATATATCATGTCATGCTTTCGACCCGTCATCCTCAAACTTCTTGGGTTATCTCACAGAAAGTATGCTATTACTAGGCTTCAGGCATTGAGATGGAGAGCCTATGCTCTTAGCCGGATATCATCGAATGAAATACACATGTTAACCATCCGAACTCGTAAGTCTGCTGAAGGTGTAGAATACAGAAAGCGATAGAGAAGGACAAAGTGATTGACAGCATGTAAGCCGACATGAGCTTCCAACCACAGCCCAGGTGAGGACACCCAGAATCTGGCCTAGGAATCAATGCTCCATCCAACCCCGATACTCCAAGCAGCCAAACACTCTACTCCCACCGTAGCTTCGATGAACAACCACGCACTTGTTGAAGTTATCTTTGACAATATTCTCACAGGTGTACTTGGTCCCCTCTTGCCCGGTCGGCGCAATGGGCTTCTGTTTGGGTCCCTTGCACCCCTTCACCCACATGATCGTGACATGGTACTGCCAGTTCATCATCGTGGGGCTGCCGGAAGACCATTTTAGTGGTTTGCTGTCGGGTCCCATCTCGAAATCGATGGAGGGATCTGGGTGCCGCGCCAGCAGAGAGAGGCAACAGTGTCGACGACGTGGGAGTCGAGCGGTTGATGGAAGTCTTTGTTGGAGAGGCAGGTCTGATCGCTGATCTAAGGTGTCGGCGTGGTTATTGCCGACTTGCTAGTGGACGAGCTTGTGGCGCTTGTCGCGGCACTCTTTGTTGAAGTCACCAGCGTAAGATGAACAGAAATGAAACGTCCCGGGCACCGATCTCGCCGCTGCATATGCCCCTGTGGCTGAGCAACAGGCTGAAGAACCGCCGCAGGATCCCAGAAGTCGTAGTCCATGACATATTGCCCGCACAACCACAGCCGCCACTGACCCACAGCCAGAAGGTGATTGCCCGCCTGCAGGAAACTGTTGTACTTGTCGACTTCTATCACGACTTTCCCCACGGAGGAATCATCATTGTTGGACTGCCAGAAATTCGTCGGCTCGTAACCGCGGATGATTGGGGCTTTATCTGCGGGAGCTTCCCCGGTGGGGAAGTAGAGGAAGTGACTGAACTGGGCTGCGAGCCATTTGACTCGGTGGGCGTACATATATTCTTGGGGTCGCCATTCGGGCAAAAAAGGGGTGATGATAATGAGCTGGGGACTGTTGGTGCGATGCAGGGGGCCGGGGTTTGCGTCAGTTCCCCATAGTCCTTGTAGGGGTTCAATCTGATTGTTGACCACCCCGGCAGGCCCGGTACGCCCGGTACTCAGTGCGATAAATGTTTGCTCCATGAAAAAGTCGTCGGCTACATCGGGTTCGGTTGGGGTGCGGAAAATGGGGGACTCGAATATATGCGAGAGGTAGACGCCATCTTTCGCGACGATCATCAGGACAGTGCAGCCGTGGAGGCCCTTCACGCCGAGCGCGGACTGCAGATCTGGCCAGCGATACCATTTGCCCGTCACTGGCTCGCTTTGGCTGGCCCAGTGGTCGTTCTGGGTTATAGCGTGGTTGAGCTTGGGCAGATAGTGGTTTGGGTCCACGGCGGAAAGATCCTGTAGGGCTCGCTTGCCAAAGGAAAAGGTTTGTTTGGACGATTTGGCTCCTGTGTCCTTGTGAAGAGAGCTATACCGACGATGAATTCTTCCCCCGTTGCCCGTAGGCAGTGCTCCTACAGTACTTGTTGGGATAGAGGCACATTCCACCGATGAGATGGACACCCATCCCCCCTTGCCCTTCCCGGCTAAGCATGCAGCACTGCAGTTTTCCTGTGCGCACAGACGTCTCGTCGGAGTGGAGCTCGGAGTGTTGGTGATTGTGGTCGTCGCTGCGGTGACAGAGCACCCCGTGGTGGTGATGGTAGTTGTCCGGGTGCATGTTCTGGTTGTAACTGTCGAGCCACTGGCAGTTATAGAGGTTGGCTGGCAGAGAATCGTGACATGGTGTGCGGTTGACTGCGAGGTACAGGACGATGACGAGGACGAACGGCTGGAGCTTTTTTGATCATTGCTAGGTCCGTTAGTCACCGATCTTTCAAGGCCACCAGGGGGCTTTTCAATGTCCAGAGCCTTCACGATATCTTTGACCCCCTTGACGTCCTTGTTCTTGATTCTTTCCACAAGGTCATCCAGTTTGTTCTCAAGACAACCGAGCTTACCCAAAATCTGGCTGGTGGTGTCTCCGGCGAGGTTCAGAAGACCGTCAAACAGACCGCGCTTCTTTTGATTGCATTTTGGAAGCTTCTCGCCCATGTTCTTCGCCAGATCTGCAATATCATCCTTAGTTCTCTTGACGTTGTCGATGACTTGTTTATCTGGCCGTGGCTCGGGGCTCAGTTCCCAGAATGTGATAATTGTGACGACGTTGTGAAAGCGGACGGCGATGACGGACGCGCTGGAAGTTATCATAGGGCTTGGAGGCAGGCCGGTAGTAATGGAAGGTGGCTGGGTGAGCGTTACACCGGCAGGGCCAGTGACACTTGATGCTCTGGTGTAGGTAGTACTGATGATCCCTGTCCCATCACCTGTAATCCTAGCATGCGCAGTCCCGGTGGTCGCGCCCCCACTGGGCTTAGTTTTGCCTTGCGCGGAACTGGTCCTCCCTGTTACGTCGGTGGTACTACTTGTGGAAGCTTGTTTAGCACCGGATGTTCCCCGAGAAGACTGAGGCTCGGCAGTAGAAAGCCAGTTCCGCTGCTGTGAGTTCCACCAGTGAGCGCCGTTCCATGGTTCGAGAGCGAGGAGGTCTCGACCGGCGGCCAGATCCCGATCCCTGGCAAAGAAAGAGTAAAGGGAAAAGGCAAGACGGGAGCCGTAGCAATAGACGACGAGATCTTTGAGATAGTAGGGCCACTAGTAGTCGATAGAACACCTTGAGTCGAAGTTGCAGGTCCGTTAGAGGGCTTCGAGGTTGTAGAGGTAACAGCAACGGGAATGGACGAAGTGACGCTGCCAGTCTGCGAGATGGTTGCTTCCTTTTTGACAGTGTAAGTATGTGTCACGAACGTGTGGTAGGTGATGCAGGAGGTGCTCGTCGCGAGGTTGGTCGTTTCGACGATGGTGGCATCAGAAACAGAGGAAGAATCACCGACTGCAACGCCAGCAGCGACAGTAAGGCTGAAGACAGACCACAAGGTGGAGAGCTTCATGGTTTCTGTTGAGTTGGGGTTGACATACGGTACGAAAGGAGGAAGGAGAGGAGATGAGGAGGAGAGGAGGAGAGAGTGTGGGAGATGGAGAGAACAAGAGAAGAAGTGTTGAGGCCATTATAATCCTTGAGCACCGACACTATCTCACGATACATTCACTATCACCAGTTGTGGAGGGGAAGTAAGTTGATATCCAAGATGTTATAGGGAGTGAATGATGAAGTTGTCTGTGGGTGTGATTGGCTGGGAGATGGATTATGCTGCAGTTAATTCTTCATGGGATCTCTCTGACTGGGCTCTAAGTGAACCGAAACTTCCCGGTCCTCTGGTCTCTGTAGCTGTTTCTTCAACATTGAAAGTGTTGAACTTGAACCTAGGGCTATATAGCAGCTCAAGCTAAAAGAAGACTCACCGACAGGAGATCTAAATTGAGCGAGCAAACCCTGCTTCCCATGATCTGGTCTTCGATACAGGCAGAAGAACCAGTTTCCTAGGATTCTGCACGCGAATAAGGCAGATGATGGTCTAGACTCGAATTCCTCATCAGCAGCCTGTTTTTGGCTCGACTATAGTCGGCATCATAGTCCAGTACCCTTTGCGTTGCTCTGTGGAGTTGGCTGCCATGTACTATGCACCGGCTGCTTAAATGGGTATGTTAGAGGTTTACTCCTATAAGTCCCACACCTATAATTAACCGCTTCGTAGTCTATACAAGGAATTGTACCTGGCTCAGACAACGAGATCTACCACTCAAATGACTGCCGATGGGTTGCGGTCTGTTGACTATCAAGGTCATGGAACAGTTAGGCATATGCTAGACGGCAGCAGAAACCTTCCGCCAGGACCGTCCACCAATGCCTCAACGCCCAAATAGTCATAATACGCCACACAAGCAACTTGCTAGTTCCTGCCTATCCGACTACGAAGGCACTAATAAGTATTTCATGTATAGCCAACTCGATAAATAAACGCCTCTATTGCTGTGTCAATCATACTCCTACATCATTGTTGCTTGATCAAAGTCGATGATGTAGATAACCATGCGATGGAAGACGCGTACATACTATATGAGTTGAGTTGGGAAAAAGATATGCATCGCCTCGAGATCCCCAAGTCAGCGAAGCCTATTTACAGTCAACGAATTCCGCCTCAAGAATCTTGATGGCCTCTTCCGGCAGAGCCCGATACTTTCCGAGCTTTCCTGCCACCAGCAGGTCCTCAATGGATTTCTTCTCATAACCCTCCACCTCCCACATATCCGACCCGAGAAACTTCAGCTGATCGCCATTTCCCCAGTTCTTACGCGTGTACCAGCAAAGCGCTAGTGGGTTGTTGGCCTCGATCATGGCGTCTACCCGGCGAGTGACCTCTTCAAGCGAAACCGTGTGCTTCGCCGGAGTCGCTCCGAACCGGTTAGCGAGCGCTTGTGCGACCTCGTCCCCAGTGGGTGTCAGTTCTGATAGACTAAGTGTGCGATTCTGAAGCTCGCGAATTGGCGTGGTGCTAAAAATCGACGCAAAGGCTGCTGCAACATATTCACGGGTACTAAGCGGAGATATTCAATCAGTGGCAGTTAGGGAACAGCGTTGAAGTGGGGGAGGTTACCAGAGATTCAGTGGCTGCGATGCACTGTTTCCTGTGAAAATGATGCGATTATGCCTATGGTCCACCCCCTTGGCTCTGTAGACAGATGTCAGCCGCCAGCTGCTCAATTTTCTGGTCCAAACACAGGGCGGATAAAGGGTCTACTTACGGTGTATCAAGCGCAAATTCTGCGAAGTTGCCGGTCAGCACGACTGTTGTCGGCACACCCAGCCTCTCCGCTGCCTCCTCTACTTTGATCTTGGCACTGATGAGCTCAATCCCTAGTCCCTGCCCGCGGTATTTGACAGCGAGATCGGAAGGAACAAACAATTGAACTTTGGTCTTCGGGAGAGCTCTGATCAGATCGTACTGGCATTCAATTGCAGAATGGCCGACCAAAGAGCTATAGTCGTCTGGGCAGTTCTGTGAGTCAAGCAATCTTTCATGAAACAGCAAGGGCATCTCACATGAGAATATCGACATCCTGGAGAGCAGACACCAGAGCCTCCTCATCGGTGATATCAACCTGAACTGCAATCACATTTGGAGGCAAACCTCGGGCATTGGACTCTGGGCGATAAAGAACCTTGACGACAGCGGGCGATTCGCTCAGACTCTGAACAATTGCAGATCCCACCCAGCCCCGATGGCCATACACTGCGATGCGATTCGGCATGCTGGTTGCAATCACGGACGGATCTTGTTGTTTGCACTATGAACAACAAGTGAATGAAGTGGATGCTGGGAGAAGACAGAGGCCAAAGATGATGATAAAATATTAAAGAACTGAGGAGAGGACTATTCCATATTTAAGGCTCCTATCGTCCTTTACAGTTTGTTCGACTCTTCGAGGGGCATAGCGGGGGATTACTAGGTATTTATGGGCATACATTCTGTTTGTTGGATTTGGACGGTTTGCACTCGGTGGGGATAGCATCATAGGTGGACTCAGATTCCACCCAGCAGCCCAATCAAGCGCACAAACAAACACAGACAAACACGGATACAAACAAGCAAGGTGGGGCAGGCAAAAATGCTACTATACTGATGCCTGGGGCACCAGTTTGCACTCCGAGAATAGTCATGTGATCTTATGAATCACCCACGTTTCCTAATGAGCTCTTCATCCATTTCTGTCCAACGCATTGTCTACTCAATCTAGCCCAGGAAATATGGGATTCAGCAGCATCAAGTATCATGGAACTACTGCCAAATGAACTGCTTACCTCTATCGGCGAGTATAGTCGGGAGGGAAGGTACCGCTCAAGAACCGTGCGGGCGCTGTGCCTATGCTCCAAGCGGTTCCATCATGTCTTTCAGCCGCTACTTGACTCCGACATCCTTCTTACTGGGAATCCCATCACGGCCCGGGATGTCGCGCTGATCATGCGACTCTGGAAGAATCCAGCGCTCGCTTGTCGCGTGCGTCGGTTTGAGGTCCTGTGGGATGGCACTGCCAGGGCAAGGCGACGCCATGGGACATTCAATGCACAGCAGCCTGAAGCCGTGGTGTTCATTGAGCACGCTCTGACCGAAATCTTCGGCGATCAACAACCGAATCTCAAACGCGGGTGGAGAGTGCATCTATACAACCTAAACACAGAGGCCTGGGCGGCGATCCTCCTCGTCCGCTTGACTCGTTTGCGGACCTTGGTGCTGAACGGCAGTGAAGATGAGGGATTGGTGGCAGAGATCATGCGCAGAGCTGCGCAACGACAGCGACCCTTCCATCGAGCGCCACCCTTCCCAATCCTCCACAAAATCCAGGCTGAGGCCGCGTGGAGCAGGACCTGGAGGTAACCTTGATAGTAGCATTCAGATAACTTCTAGTCATAACTTAGAAGTATGAAGTATATTTTATTTAAGAAATTAAAACTGGTATTAATAATATATTGATATTTAACCCTTTTATAAATATTTTATAAATATTTCAAGGTCTCTAATCTTCTATAATACTATAGTATATTATATATATAAAATATATAAATACTTTACTCAGAGGGTTGCAGGTATATATAGCCTTCTAATCTTGCTTATTGTATTTAAAAAATATAAGTACTAAATACTAACCGGTATGCAGGCAGTAGATCAGTATATTACCACCGCTATACGTTGCCGAGATTTACGAAGATGGAGTAGAAAGAATATAGCATGGGCGTACCACTACGTACTTGCCTATGTCTTGGCGAGTAGGGAACAGTTCGCCGGGTCCAGCGCTCACCCAGCACTCAGCTAGCGCTTACCTGTGCGCACCCTCAGCCTCCTATTTCCTGCCGATCTCTCTAACGCCGATGTCTTTCAATACATGGCCCCAGTCGAACGGACAGAAAATAGGTTTCCTTGTATCCAGTAATAGGGACTATTCTTTATCATAATAAATTATACCTCCAACTCCCTAGAATCATTGTGCTTTTTCTAGATCCATCCGCTTCCCTTGTGAAGATACTCGCATCACACTCCCGCGTTTGACCTCTAAGGCTGGATTTTTTGCAACACTATATCTCTTGAAGTTATAGGTTACTCCGATCTATATCTCCAAACCGGCGAGATGGCGAGGCATCAGAATCGATCTGGCGATGGAAGCCCTTACTCCGAATCAATTCGCACGAAGTCCGAGGCAAGTGACGCTGAATCTGAAACCGACATGTCAACCCCGGAACCCCCTTCGGCGTCATTTCGTAGACGCCGCTCTCGTGCTTCCCTCGCTCATAAACATAGGCGCAGCCAAGGGTCATCAAACAGTTCTAGTTGTAAATCCGATGATAATGAAGAAAGTCGAGTTCTCCACATAAGGCGAAAATAGAAACTTAGGCTAGAAATACAGCTGAACAACAAAGCAACGGTCCAAGACTGGCGGAGGAAGGACACCACCTCGAGCGATACTGAGGCAGGGGAATCAACAACAGATCCAGATATCGAGACAGATGATACTTCATCTGATAGCGATAGTGATGGCTATGCAGAAGGGACGAAGAACCAGATTGCGTTTATCAAGGATCGTTGGGAAAGGTAAGCGAAATTGACGAATCAGCAGGCGGGAAATCAGACGGGGTTTGCAGTGACAATGCAGCCATAAACTTTGCGGGCAGCTCGCGCGGGGTAGTAACCCCTTCACTCGTTCCTCGTTTCAGGGCACTGCAAAAAGATTGAATATTAAAGTTTTTACAAATCCCCTTATCCCCTTATACAGTCGGTTGGTTAGTCGGTTGAGGGTATTCACCCTGACTCCCCGCTCGAGAGTTAGTTCACCAAACTAGTTAAGGTTAGTGCTTAGCTCCTAGATTCTACAGCCCGAAGCTCACCTCGTATTACTGGTGGTGCCCAACGGCGGAAACGCCGAATCCTTTCTGTCAAAGCGAGCTAAACCGGCACAAATGAGAGCTAGTGGACCCATCAGGTAAGGAGCGACTAATTGAAGGAAACATTGAGCTGTGCTAACTACACCGGGTGTAATCGAGCATTCAATCTGTAATACCGACGAGGAGTTGTTACCCACGTATTACATACAAACACATGGTACTTTGCACAACGCCCCATCACCTAGCAATTAAAGGCAGGTAACGCATTCAGCTGGCTGAGCTGCTACTTCCCTCCAGCACAATTTTGAATCAGAGATCGCTTTGATGATGGCCACAACCGCTACGTTTAATGCCGCTAATCATGGGCTCCAGATTGGAAACAACTCCGGTTCCATCACAGCAGAATTCCACGTGGCGCGGGGTAATTCCATAAGAGTTCCAGTTGACTGTAGGGGAGGCTAAACACTGTTTCTAGCGTACACGACCGAAGACATCGATCGAGTCTGTCTCCGCGCTCTGCGCTGCCCGGACTCTCTGGCTGTGAAGAACCGCCTGAAAGAAAGCAAGGACAGATTGATCCACCAGTCCATTCAGTGGATTTTTGACGATCCGCAGTACAAAGATTGGGAAAATGGGGACGAGGTCGGCCTGCTTTGGATCAAGGGAGGCGCTGGGAAGGGGAAGACCATGCTGTCAATCGGTCTGATCGAGCAGCTCGCCCGGGCGCAGGATGAGTCCACCGCAGTGATTTATTCCTTCTGCCAGAATGCCGACTACGAGCTCAATACGCTGGAAGCCATTCTCAAGGGGTTGATTCTGCAGCTGGCGAATCAGCAACCGGAGCTAAAAGAATCGCTCCGTCGCCGGTGGGATACTGTTCAGGAGACGTTCAGTGAGGATGTGACCTCGTGGCAATCGTTGTGGAACATTCTTTTCGAGATGCTAGCCCGGTGCAAGTACTCCCGGGTATATATGGTCGTTGATGCACTTGACGAGTGTCAGGATGACGACGTGGTTGAATTTCTTAAATCCATCGTGCGAAAGGGACTGGATCATCCCGGCAAAATCAAGTGGGTATTGACAAGTCGACCATGGGACGGCGCAGAGAGGGTGTTATTGGCTGGTCAGGACCAGGTGCAAATTAATCTGGATGGGGATCATAATTCCCGATCTATTTCAGGGGCTGTGCAGGCTTATATCACTTCGAAGGTGGAGGAGCTGAGTCGCCAGCACAAATATGGAGCGACTCTGAAGAGCGAAATAAGGACCGAGCTTACTGAAAGATCGGAAGGTACCTTCCTTTGGGTCAGCTTGGTGTGCAAGGCCCTGGAAAGTGTCTCCCGAGATGACGCTTTGTCCACAGTGCAAAGCTTGCCGCCGGGTTTACATCCGTTTTATGATCGGGTATTGAACGAGCTCAACGAAAGCGAGTTGCCTGAAGTACAGAAGTGTATGCGACTGCTCAAAGCTATGATGACGGTATACCGGCCTTTGAAAGTCGAGGAAGTCTCTAGTGTGATCGGGCTCAGCGACGACGAGGACACCATTAGAGCATTGGTCGATAGCTGTGCGTCATTTATCCGGTTGCGCGATGACAGTATCGAGTTTGTTCATCAGTCAGCTCGAGACTACTTGGCCGGAGAGAATGTGCTGTCCATACTCGACTCTCATGGACGCTTCGGACATGAAGAAATTGTCCTCGCCTGTCTGTCCTATCTATCTGAATGTCTCAAGCCCAACCTCGTCGACCTGCCGCGGCCCGATGCCACGAGAAGCTCGATAGAAACTTTGGAAAATGGAGCAAGGAATGGCATACTGTCTCGCATGGACTATGCAGCTATGTTCTGGGTGTCACATCTCATGAACGCAAGCAACGACATCGACAAGATCCAAGTTAGCGGATTCCTACACGCAAGATTGTTGGAATGGCTAGAATGCTTAAGTCTGCTGGACAGGCTCCCAAAGGCTATTGACTCGTTGAGGACACTGGAAGGAATATTGAAAGTGTGTTACAAATGTTTTCCCCGACGTCGACGTCTTTGCTAATCAAATTGATAAAGGACGACTCTCAAGCTTTGGCGTTGGTGCAGGATGCTATGCGTTTTTTGTTGCGCCATTACCACACTTTGTCGCACTTGCCGCTACAAATCTACAGCTCTGCCATCATTTTCAGTCCCGAGTCGAGTCTCGTGAAAGGACTAAACCTTGACAAAATCCCTGTATGGCTGAGAAGAGCGCCTCCCATGGAGGCCAGTTGGACGCCTATGATACAGGCACTAGCAGGCCATCTTGAACCTGTCATGGTCATTACCTTTTCACCTGACGGCAAGCAGATAGCATCAGGCTCTAGGGATGGCATAATTAAGCTCTGGGATACTGTCACAGGTAGCCTCCAGCAAACGCTTTCAGGTCACGAACACGAGCTTTCAGGTCACGAATACGAGATCGAAGCTATGGCTTTCCTCCCAGATGGCAAGCAGCTTATGTCATACTCTTATCCGGGCCTTGTTATGCTATGGGATACCACCACAGGCGAACATCAGGGCTGTATCAGCTTGCAGCCAACAGAAGATCGCGATCCTAGGCCCGCCACCCCTCGCGCCAAGGCTATCTCGGCGGATTGCAGGCAGATCGCAGCAATCGGTGATTATCGTGATGAATCTCATATCCTCCTTTTTGACGCGGCCACTGGAGACCTCCACAAGATCTTTGCAGACCCTCCAGACGAACCCTTATCTCTGGCCCTCTCGCCAGACGGTACGCAGCTTGTATCAGGCTCCATCGAGGGCACAGTCTGTCTCTGGGATACTACCACAGGTGACGTTAAGAAAACACTGGTCGGCCACAGAGACAGGGTGTGGACTGTGGCCTTTTCATCAGATGGCAAACAGATTGTATCAGCCTCTTATCAAACCATCAATCTCTGGAATGCTGCAACAGGCGAGCTTCAGACGAGGCTGGCATACCCTAACGCCTGGACCGCGGCCTTCTCACCCGATAGTAAACAGATCGCAGCATGCTTTTCCGATTGCATGATCTTCTGGGATGCCGCAGGCAATTTTCAAAAGACGCTAGCGTGCCAGGCGGATCACGTTACGTGCATGGCCTTTTCACCAAATGGCAAGCAGATCTTTACAGGCTCTGGTGACACCACTATTAGGCGCTGGGATATCACCATTAGTGCCACTCAGAACGTTGTGGGCCACTCAGGGAAGGTTGTCCGAGTGGCATTCTCACCCGACGGCAGGGTGATTGTGTCAGCCTATACTGACTACACCGTCAAGCTTTGGGATGCTGCCACGGGCGATCTTCAGCGAACACTAGCAGGCCATGAAGACTTTGTCTTTACTGTGCTCTTTTCACCAGACAACAGGCAGATCGCCTCGATGTCCGGCGATGCAACCAAACTCTGGGATGCTGCCACAGGTGACCTGCAGAACTCACTTGGAAGCGACGATAATTTCAGCGCTGTCACCTTCTCCCCGGACAGCAAGCTGATCGCGACAGGCCATGAGAGCGGCAAGATCCGTCTCTGGGATCCTAGCACCGGTGACCTTAAGAAGACGCTGGCAGGCCACATGAACAAAGTTGGGTCCATGACGGGGTTGGACTTTATGTTCGATACCAAGGTCACCAGATTGGTCTTCTCACCTGACAGCAAGCTCGTTGCATCAGCCTGCGAGGATGGAAAAATCAAACTTTGGGATGCCAAAACGGGAGACCTCCAGAAGACACTAGACTGCGACTTCGAGAGCATCGTTACTGCGGTCTCGGTGGCCCTCGTGACAGGGTACATTGGAAACACAGATATCATCTCAATGGCCTTTTCATCAGACAGCCAGCAGATTGCAGCGGTTTGTGATGATCAATCCATCAAGGTCTGGAACATCAAAAAACTGCTCAAAGCCTCACGATTTCTGGGACGCGCTGTCGCTAGTCATATCAAGTCGACTCGGCCATGGAAAGAGATTAAGACGTCAGAGCAAGTGTATAGCGTGAAATTCGCAGCAGGCAACCGCTGCCTTGAAACTGCCATTGGGCCAATATCACTTGAGAGTACCGCATCGGAGGAAGGGGAGGAGGAGAAACTGCCAGTGAAGTCGGATCCGGACTCATTACAGAACCTCTATGTCAGGGGAGAGTGGATATTCTATGGGACCATGCCCTTCCTTCGGCTGTTACCTGATTTCCAGGCTTGTCCCTGTGATGTGCTCGGCGATCAAGTGGTTATTGGATCCAAAACAGGTGTAGTTGCTAACTTCGACGTTGATCGACGGATCCTACACCAATACTGGGAACACTTCAGCAATGAAGGCAATCGCCCAGCAGCGGGTTAGGTACTCTCGCTGGAAGTCGGTGGAGAGAGGTTGGAGTCAACCAGGCGTCGGCCTCGCTTAACTGTTGAAACTTCAGCCTCTGTCAGGTTCTAGTCGGATGCGTTGATCAATATTGGTGGGCTGGTTTGTCTGTCGTTCCTTCATGTAGCAGCTGCGTGGAGATTATATAAATCGATTTCTCTCGGTCCTCGCACTGCGATTGTCGAACCACTTTCACCTTTCTAAGTTGCTTGCGTCTTATATGGGCACCATAAATGCTATATGCATTTCTAGGGTCATTCTGGTAGATGAGCTGAAAGCGAGATTCATATATTCATATGCGCAAGAGGTATTCTGTCCCTAGGTACCGTCGAAGCGAACCCCACTGATCTTGCCGGAATTGTTCCCTATCTGAAAGCCCGAGTTCGGTCCCGAAAACACCACGCTGTTGGTATAGGTGGTGGTGGATTGGATGCATTTGACAACCGTGTCACTCAGCAGCTTGTCCTGGCCAGCAGCGACCTCCTTCAGCAGCGAAAGAGCGCCCTCATTCGCGTTCAACCCGGACACCTCTTCTTCACACAACTTGCACTGTTCTTCTTGAATGCCCGGGAACAGCTCGACCAAACCGTCCACTAATTCGCCAATGTCCTCGATGAGCCGGGCAAAATTCTTCTCCTCGTATAGAATAGTCGCTTGGTCCTGCTCCAGCTCGGACTTTCCCTGCCGCTTCTTGGCGAGATCGTCCATCGTCTGGTGCAGTAAGGCTGAGACGCCATCTAGCTCCTTGGCGGGGTCCAACACTGTCAAGTTGGGATTGCGTCGTCGCAATCGCTTCGACACCGCCGCAGCTTCCGCAAAGAGCTCCAGAATCTGAGCCAGAAGATCCTGGACCTGCTCCTGATCTTCGGGGGCGAGATTCGTCATCTGGAGCTGTTTCGCGTCGCCGTCGTCCACATTCGCCAGTCCCACTGACTGACCCCACCGAGTCAGCCGGAGCCTTACAACGTCCAGTTTTAGCAAGCTGGCTTGGAAGCTCTCCCGGAGATTCGACGCCATTCGGATATACTCGAAACTTTGCACAGCGTCGTTGAACAGTCGCGACTGCTCGTCCAGTATCTTGAGCATGGTGTCTTGTTTCAACTCCAGCGCCTGGGTTTGTTCGATGATCGTCCCCGTGTCGGATTTGATGGCCTCCATTCGTCCATCGATGACAGTGGCCTGCGCAACGAGGAACTCAACGTTTCCATTCATTCGTTGGACGATGTCGTCTAGGATCTCGACGGTTCGTAGCGTGGCGAGGCCAACGGCTTGCGCCAGCTCGTTGACGGCTCCCTCCATCTCCTCAATGGCACCAGAAAGAGCCCCATCGGACCCATCGACCAAACTGGAAAACCACTTTTCTAGATGAGAGAATCTGATCAACCCCGCTGGAAGCAGGACAAAACCAGAGAGCGCAATTCAGGAAGAAACTGCTTACTGAATCTTTTTTTCTCGGCATATTCCTGCGCCACGGAACAAATGGTCAGCATGCCGGAGAAGACCCGCACGACGCATCGCTGGAACGGCGCTTGATGGGGAGTTTTATCCTCGATCATGGAGAGCCGGTCGAGGAAACGATGCGTGAAGTCGAAAAACCCCATGACCTTGTCGTAGTCGGCGGACACCGAGGCAAAAGACTTTGGGCCTAATCAGAAACGAATATCGTTCTTTTAGGTGTCAACTGGCGATGCGTACCTGCATGACCTGCCCAAAAGCCGTGAAAATCAAGCTGGCTGGCATTGCGGGGGGAAACGCCTGCTCACAATCATCAGCATCCGCATGAAGATTTCACAGCGTCCCCGCTAGTCATTCCCCGTCCGAGAACATACCGATGCCGCGTTCCCAACCACCTGGACCGTATCCACCACCTTCTGAATCAGCCATAGATTAGTCTTTAATGCAGTCCTCACATTGTCTGTTTTCGATCGGTCATGCCGGAAATCCTTAAATTCAGTCGACAAGCCTTCCGTGCCCTTCATGATTTGGTCGATGTTGCTGAACTGGGCCAGGTGGAGGGACTTCTTGGTCTGTTTCTCATAGTCGTCGACTGCGCGTTGCCAGAGTTGAGCGATGTCGGACGCCGGTGCCGCGTTGACGTTCCCCGTGGTGGCCATGTTGAAGCAAGCCTGCAAGACAAATGCTGGAGCACGATTGACTGTGAGAGAGAGGTCTGGGAATGATAGTCTTTTTGGACTTGTCTGTGGGAAAGCCCGGGATTTCATGCGCCAGCACCGTCCAGCGCCTCCTCTGCGTTCAACTGGGGAGTCGAGTTGGGCTGAGAGATCCGGAAGTCCAATCGAGCGTCCCACAGCTGTCTCGCTTACTGTAGTCTCACAGTGACAGCTGTGGCCTGTCACGCTTGCAGGCTCGCAGAGTCAGCCGTATGGTATGGTTCCCCCCCACCAACCCCACTTGGTCTCAGGTACGTGAGAAAATAATACCGCACGCCCACGTCGTCCCTTTTCGGCGAGTATGAGCATTGGAACACCAAGTTGTCGCCAACTGTATGAATCCCTACCCCGCAGAGCAGGGAATCTGCGGTCCCTTTGCTCGGGAACACCAATGCCCGTCAGCAGCCCCGCGCCAAGCCGTACGGCTCGTATGTCACCCCCGTCAGCGGAAAGGTTGAAACTGAAGGAAGGTGAGAATGGTGTTATCTCGTCCACTCGGCTGATAGTCACTGCTCTGCCTCGAGGCCCAGACGGTTCCCATTATTCTCTGCAACATTCACAGAGAGAATCAATGGTCAGGGAGTGAGTGGTTCCCGTCTACCTCAAGAGTGCTCGGAGTGACCGCCGACCTCCTTTCCCGGCCAGTAACCAATCTCTCAAAAATATGCTTGGATCGTTGCAACCAATGGCACAGCCAGCCACTGACAGTCCGGACAACGAGCCCCACAACGCTGTAGTAGCTGTGGAACTGTTGGACATACTATACGACGTTGTCCTAATAAACAATACCCTTTCCCTTTTTTAAGATGGTTATATTTAGTATATTCGTGGTTGAAAAACGCAACACTGTGGTTGGAGCGGTGAAAGGCCGCGGCTCGGTTGTATTCGCGACTCGGTTGTGGATTAGGTTCTAACTAATTACGAGACGGGCTGTCAACGCGCCTGAGCCCAATCACATGACCCGAATCGATTGCCTCTCCGAGCCTTCTGCATTGAACACGTCGGGCAGCACCTGTTCGGCGCGGAGGTATGATGATTATCATTACATGCAGGCGTTGGTGCTTCAGCCGCTTCCCGTAATTTTCGTAATGACAAAATACAGTATGGAGTAGTTGCTGTACAGGCGAGTGCCTTCCAACTTATAAACACTTCAGAAGCAACTAACTAGTAAGTTAATTTTTAAGGGAATCCTTTCGTCTGGTTGCGACTTTTTCCACGCTTCTACCTTCCAGTCGTCTGTCGTCAGCCCTTTGCCCCGTTCACCTCTTTTACGTGGTATTGTCAATAACCCGTAAAGACTCGCACAGAATTATCAATTGCTTGCTTGTTGGCAACATATCAAGCGAGCATTCCTGCCCACTGCATCCATCTTCCAAATGTCTATCCGAGCGGTTAGGGAACCGGCCAATGCCAAAGTTGAGTAAGATCACCCCGATCTGTCTCCCTCCCAATCTCGTTGTTCTCGAGCCCGGCCCAACCCTTTCGAAATCACCGGACTTACCTCAAACCACCCGATAGTATTGTGCTTGTCCACGGCTTGCACGGCGATCAAGCACCGTGGACATCCGAGGCGGATGTCTTCTGGCCGGAAAAGCTCCTCGCGGGTAAAATCCCCGACGCATGTATCCTGTCATTCGAGTATGAAGCGGCCGTCGGTCCTTTCTTTGGCGAGGATGACGAGATCACAGACATCTCCAACGACCTGATCAACGAGCTGATGGACCATCGAACTGAGAAAGAAAAGGTTATCTTCCCCACTCTGCTTTGCTATGCTCCGCCGGTACCTCTTGATCCAGCTGGTTGACGAAGCTAAAACAGGAAGAGAGACCAATTATTTTCGTTGCACATTGTCTCGGGGGCGTTGTGTTAGAGAACGTACGTTACCCTCGCTGTCGACGAGGAACCCCCATTAACCTAGGACATTCTCATGTCTAGGCCCTCATCCGAGCCGCCAAACATCCCAGGAAGCGAGAGCTCATTGGTCTTGTTCACGGTATACTACTACTAGGAACCCCCCATTTCCAGCCGGGCTCGCTCGCAGCCGCTACAAAGTATCTGCAGCTTACTCAGGCGGAGATTCCCAGCGAGTCAGACCTGAAGGACGCTTTAGATCGCCTGAGTGGCATTCCTCAGCGTTTTGCCGAGCTCAAGCAAGCCGGGGCTGAGTTCGAGGTGGAAGGGTTCTATGCTGGAGCCGCGACCAAGCTGGGCAGTACTGACCAGGACGTCAAGATCGTGGATGAGGCGTTGGCCCGAGGTCCCGACGCTCCTCCTCCTGAACGCCTGGCGCGCAATCAGCTCCGGTTGAGCCAATACGACCGGGAGGATGACAAGGATTTCAAGACGGTGTCCTGGGTTCTTACCCAGTGGGCGTCCAAGATTGTTCTTCCGGAGGAGGAGAAGGGGGCCGCCAATGTGTCCAATGCGACGTTCTCGGGTTCTCACAATTCTGGTTTGCAGCTGGGGCAGAATGTAGGAACTCTGAAGGGGTTCAGCTTTGGAAGAGGTTAGGTCGTGGGGTAGTTGATCAATTCATAGAGGAAGGCTGTTCAACTCAGATCTGCCATCCTCCTCTGGGCCTCTTCGAAAACTCTGTCGGGGAAGTACAGCAAAGTTGCCTGCAAAATTGACCCCGGAGATTCGCCAGGCGATCCTCAACGTGGTCGGCTTGGAGTGCCCTTGTGATAGATTCTACACTCTCCTCACATACAGTACAACCAGATCATCCCCGAAGGTCATAAAACCCGTGTTCGCCCTATTCTCAATCGCTACATTGAAGCACTGCCCAGGGGGTTACCTGCCGTAGATTATGGTCGTAATAGGTTGGTTGCCTTGTTTGCTCGCGCCGGCTTAGCTGGCACTCGCTCCACTGGAGACGCTTCTGACGGTCTAACCATCATTTTGTGGACTAATCGATCCTACTCGCCGTGTTCATTACGTACGCGGAATAATGATTTGCCACCTTAGACCGCTTGGCCGCACCGTTGTAATGACCTCGTTAATGTGACTCTCTACATAACCATCTGTATCGTGGTCTGACCATTATCTAAGAATAGATATAGCTAATAAAGTTTAAACGCATACCATAAGGTTGCAAGCCAGATGCTAGAGGTCTAATTAAACACTCGAATCATGGAGCTCCTTAATCTTATCTCACTATGCCAAAACTTCTTTCTGTGCCCCACAGCTGATGGAGGCCGCAAATTTCTTCATCCTTCTTGCTGACCTTCGCGTTATATGCTAACTTCTGTTTCGCTGGCTAAATATCCCGACCCCCGGCCTTTTCACGCGTAAAGTGCTCTATGATGACCTGGCGAACCGTGCTCTGGAAGAAGATTGGAGCCTTTTCGAACTTTGGATGGAGTTGGCTATTGATGAACACATTTCGATCCAAATTCAGCTGTTGATTGTTGTAGAGCACTTTATCTTCGCCCATAACACGTGCGTATATCTCGCCAATGGGCTTGAACTCGTATAATGAAATATGGTCTAGAGGCATGTTAAAAGGCTTGTTTTGATAGGCGTAGGCTGAGGGAACTTACGAGTCAGCTATTGCAGTTATAGGGAAGTAGTAAGTGCTGGCTGTATAGAGACCCTTGCCTATTTGTTCTGGTGTGGAAATACAATGGTGTTGAATATGGCCGTCTTTGAGGTCGCTATCGAAGGAATCGAGGTTGAGGAATTCCGGAATATCAGAGTGAGTGGTAGGGTAGTGGTAACATTCGTTGAAATTATTAGCCAGAATCTTCTAATTATAGTGGCCATCTAGCTCGTACGTGTGGTTAAGGTCGTAGTTGTCGAGGTTATAGGCTTTGTATCGTTCTTGCTTGTCTACATCGCGGAAGTGTTCCTCCTAAGATACTTCCGGGACTTCTTTTGCATCTAGGTTGACCTAGATGAAGCCATTAACATCGACCTTTAAATGAATTCGGAAGAGACTGTTTTGCTCTTTGTCGACACTCTCTATGTCTTTGAATCCGGTAGCCTTGGCTAATTTGCCGTTCAATCCGTAGGACCAACCGTGATATCGGTAAGATAGAATCTTCGAGTTTCTAGAGCCTTCTTTCTCGATTACTGGATAAGCGCGATGTCTGCAAATATTGTGGAAGGCGTTGAAATTGCTCTGCCGGTCACGGGTAACAATGAAGTCGAAGCCAGCAATTTCATATCGAAGCCAGTCGCTAGCCTCCTTGAGGCGCGAGCTGTGGGTGAGAAAGATCCACCTCTTCGTGAAGATTGCACGACGCTCTAGCTCATATATCTTCGGGGACGTGTACCATGAAAATGGCAAGCACGCATAGGTTCATTTTTCACTACTTCTTTGGTATAGGGAGGTGCATTGCTGCCAAAGCCGAAATAATGCATCATCGGAGTCGCCATGTCGTTTAGATTGAAAGATGGCTCGCGACAATCGTTCGAAATAAAGATACTTTCGACTTCTTGGACAATTTCACATCGACTATGGACGTAATTCCCACTATTCATATATATCTAAATATGTCCCACGTATATTCCCGGGATAGTCTATCTATTCCGATTAGATGATCTCCTTATACTCCAATCTGGTCATGTAACCTAAAGCTTGGCGGGTGAGATCGCCTGGATTAGGCACTGGAGCCGTCAAAATAGGGCAGGTGGGGCGAGATACTAGCTACGTCTTTGTGCTGATTGGGTTTCTTACTCGGCAGAGCCGACACACCCTGGGTGAGGAATCTTAGCGCAATAATTGCCGCCACTAAGTTTAGGCCTTAGTAGACTGGCTTCTGCGAAGCCTTTGATGAATGGCTAATAGGAGACTTGGTGATACGTTGCTGTGCGGACTACCGTAGGCCCACATCCTCAGATTGATAAGACCTAATGCTTCGGCTTCGAAGCCGAGCACCACGTTCGGAGTCGGCATCCCTGAGCGATATCTATTGATCTTTGGATAGCCCTGGATAGCGGCGTCACCTGCTTGTAACGCATGACTAGTATACGGCTCGGCTCTTACAGCCGAGCCGTACTTGCTAACTTGGAAATGATTGAATAGATGACTGTTGCTAAGTTTGTGATTCTGGGCAGCGATACTGGGTAGCGAAGGCCATACTTGTGCTTTATTCATGCGCCACGTAACCATTCGATAGCCGCAAAAGAATTAGATGGCGGATCTAATGGCCATAAAAGGATAGGTCGCGACGAGGATAGGGTCACGGTCTGGGGACACCTCGCGCGTTCGGTCATTACCTGGCTACGTTACCGGACACCCTTTGCCCCTAAAGGCCCTATTACCCAGAACCTAGCTGAGTGTTGACTTGAGTCTTCATTAGATGTTGATTATAAGAGGAGCCCTGATGTCTAAATTCAAGTACTCCTTATATTTTTTGATTGCCACTGTCTATTTGGACTACAAAGAGAAAGAGCACGCTTGATCACCTACTGCATAGCTTCGTAGACCTATTGCATAGTAAGCCAGTGAGTAAGTCCCGTTCACTATGGAAGAACTACTCAAACTGACCTCGCTATTCTCTATCCCTCCTCATTCTCGGCATATCGACCCTATCCAGCCGCGCACCGCTGCGTTCAAACCTAATGGTTCAGACAACGATAACGACCGCGTAGCGGTCGGACCGACTCCGCTGGCGTTCGCTGAGTGGCAGCATCTGGGTCTGTAGCTACCCCACCTACTGACCATGCGCGCGTATCGTCTATAGCGCATTTGCGATCAAGTAATGGGTCGCGACCTAGGTGGCATCCTAATGTTCGATCCACTGAACATTCGTTACGCCACCGACACCGGCAATATGTAGCTGTGGACAGCGCATATCCCCTCCCGGGCCTCCTTCGTCGCGGCTAGCGGTTACCTAGTCCTGTGGGATTTCTATGGTTGTAACTATCTTTCCGCGCACCTGCCACTAATTAATAAAACGCGCAGTGGCGCCTCTTTCTTCCACTTTGAAACCGGCAACCGTACCGATGAATATGCCGCGCTTTTCCGCGCATAAGTTGACGAATTGCTCCGAAAGCATGCCGGCAATAACCACCGGCTCGCATCGCCCACGAACATATCACCAATAACATCGAGATGGTCAAGCCTAGGGTACGCTTTACGGAACTTACGCGTAATGGCCACCGCCTGCCTGAAAGCTGCCGCGCTTAGCGCTACAGCGTCATGTTCCATGGTGTAGGCCTGTGCGACGAGTACCCTACTATCCGCTACCCCGAAGACTTCGAGTCTCACGGCTACAGCTTCCTGCGCGACTGATCCCTGAGCCCATTCTCGCTTATGCCAAGCCACCTCGCCAAAGGATGCTCTGATCCTGTAGACCTGATCGTTGTGGTTGATACTATTGCTATACATAACGTGGTAGTGTGCCGAGCGGGAACTATCCCGGACCGATGGCAGATCAACCCGCGGGAGGGCCCGAGCCCTCCCCCACAAACACCTAAAGAGGGGCACCATTGTTCTCGCTGGATAACTTCGAGCCTTCGATTGTACCTCGAAAGAGGCGAAGCCCTCGTAATGGAAATGACAGCACCACCGTGTCGTGCTCGAACCCCGAGTTTGTAGGCCTTGAAGACAACAACGGGCGGGTGACGACTAAGGAGGTCCGGCAACTCATCAACAGCCTGAAGGAAATTATCAACAACCAGACCGCGCTCATCGAATCCGCTAAAACCGAACTCCTAGAAGTGAAACACGAACAGAACGTCCTCCGAGAACAGAACGAAAAGCTTTACGAGGAAATTAGAGCTTTGTAAATATAAATCGAAACTAGACTACAGACCACACCGCCTAAAATATGGGCCGCAGTAGCAGCAAACGATAGTATTAAAAACCCTTAATTAAACCACTAACGACCAGAAAAGGAACAAAACTGCGTTCGCATCAGTATTCAGAGAATAGTGGTGGACCCGGGCGATAATAAAAATAGCGATGTTAACGCTTTTGGCCGGTACTTTATAACCGAGACCGCTAATACTAGAATCCGTACCTTACTTCTAAACGCTCTATTGATATAAGACGCCCAGGTAGCAGGGATTAGAACTACTAAGACCAGCCTTGTAATATGATTTAAAGATATAGAGTCGGCTGATGCAGCCCGCAACAATACCGAATGGTTGAACGAATTAGAGAATAATATTAAACTGATAAAACCGCGATTTAGAATCGTCGTGCACCGTATTCTAACCGAGGATTTTAATCTACAAAACGCCAAGTCGGACGTTATTAAGAAAATTATGGAAGAGAAAGATCTAAAAGGGCAAGGTTTACGAATTAAGGAGGTAGTCTAGCTAAAGAGAAAAGACAAAATGTTAGAGAAGTTTGCATCGCTAGGCATCTGGTTAGACTGCGGAAGGAGCGGAATTCATTCCCAATAGTCTTCTGGTCGGCCAACGGTATATCGGTAGCGCGGAACGTCAATTAAGAAAAAGCGGTGTTTCCGGTGTTAACGGTTTGGCCATCTCGCGTAGTCGTGTAAGGAATACCGCGCTGTGACTATTTTGCAGGCCTCCACGAGCGCTAACGGTGCCCACCAGGTGTCCGAGCCCGATGCCTTGACTGCAGTGGTGAACATGCTACAGCAGACCGATAGTGTCTAACTCTTGCAATCTTCAACCCCTGCTAATGTTAGAGACAACTCTACGTATGATATAGTTAAATATAATGAAGTCGGGCTTAAGAATAGAGGCTTTTATTAACAACCACCAGAGCTAGATCCTGGATGTCCTTTTAATCTAAAAACTATTTATTACTACTTATCGAATCTATGTTAATCATAGCGTATGGCGCCTTTACCGGCTAACCGCTAAGATAGATGCTGCCTAGTATCGGAGCCTAATCTACGTAAACCGAAACTTGTTTATCTTCTTATACTGTTAAGTTATATGCGACTATCCCGATATTACAGCTATTAAGATCTGGATAGCGAAATTATAGATTTTTATCTTTTCGGTTTATATCCTATCTGTACCGTTATATGGCTTAAATAATACATTAGCAGAGCTAACGCTCACGGTAATTTAAAATACGATTTTTAACGACATCCAAGATGACCATCGGCCCAGGAGTATAATTCTTACGGGAGATTTTAATCGCTATTACCCGATCTAGAGAGATAATAATATCCTAGCGCAGTTCATGGAAGACGCAACTAAACTGGTTTATTGACCTATAGCCTGCACGGCTGCCTCCTAAGAGGGACAGTGACTTACTGGTCCCTAAGCTATCTAGGGAGAAGCTCCACGATTGATCAGACGGTGACTGATTAACTAGAGCGACTCATTAAGTGCTACCTCTACCACGCAAATTACGGGTCCAACCATCGGGCCACGTACTCGAAATGAAATCTCTAAACCAAACGCACCTCCACTACTCAGAAAAGAAAGGCTCACACCCGCGCAGACTGGATAAAGATCGGTACGAGGTGGTTAAGCGGATCGGGCAATTGAAAGAAATCAAAACTCGCCTAACCCTGGACGCCACAATCCAGAAACTCATAAATGCGACAACGGAGGCCATAAACCAGGACACGCCTGACACACGTCTAACTCTATACTCCAAGCGGTGGTTCACACCAGATCTCAAAGCACAGCAAAGCAAAGTCAACTAAATACGCCGGAGGTGGCAGCAGAGCTGCGCAGCACTCGGAAGCGACCACCCCCACACCGAAAATGCCTTTAAAGAGATGCAGGATAGCCGCCGGTCATGGACTCGGACTATTGAGAAAGCTATACCCAGGTGAAATCGTTCAAACGTGGATACTAAAAACCAAAATGCCTGGAATACGGCGATCAGTCTGGCGAAATGTTAGTGGAGGCTGCCATCACACGGTCGCAAAGGAATATTACCGAGATAAATTGTCCGCGGAATTGCGCTCCTCAGTGGCCATCTGCGCTATATCCGGCTTGTCTATGTAGTTATGGGAAAGCAGGTTATACAGTTAATACAGTTGCTGGGCATTGATCGGAAAACCTTCAGGAAAATCAGAGCTTCTTAAGTGTACGCCGCCCATATAGACGAAGAACGCATGTCTATATGTCCATTCAAAAGTCTTGTTGAGCCTGGTCATTCTTAAAAACCTGTTGAATAGGATTAGGATTCGCTTCTTGCCGGAAAATTGTCTTAGATCCGATTTGAACGTGTCACTGTACATACTCTTACACTTTTTCTTGCACTTTCGAACTGTCTCCAAGCAATTTTAAAGAGAAAATCAGGCCTAAGTAGGCTAATACAGAAGAGGTTGAATTTGTCGACGAGTGGGTGCCACTTACTGTCGTTCCGGGAGCCAATATTAGGATATACGGATATCCAGCAGCGGATAATTGTAGTGCAATAAGATCTTAAGATAATAAGACTACCTCTGCCATCAGGGCTTGCCACCCATCCGTAAATGATACTTTCAGTGCTGTTTGCCATGTGATGAAGTTAGGTGTATGATGCGAAAGCATAGGACGATTCGAAACAAAGCAAGGACTTGCGCGACTTTGAAGAGTTAAGGCGAGACCCGCCTAAGCTCCATTATACTAATCAGGGTAGTCAACTACTGCAAGCAACAGCCTTGTGAGAAGGGGCGGTGCTGTTAACTTCAGCTCCTGACATCACCCCAAGGCTGGAAGACAGCCAAGACAACGAAGGGTACATGCCTGGTGTTGAATGTTTCTAGCAATCAAAGCCCTGTAATCTATCCCCGCTAGTTGCTGGCTACTAGAGATTCACGATCACAAGTGTATTCTTGTTGTGTATTACGGGCGTGATAAGAGGGTAGCCTGTGGTGGGGAACGCCCACTATTTTTATGCTGTCATCGTGTGAGGGGTCTGCAGGGCGGCGCGAACAATAGCGTGCTAGCTGTCTCGTCCCTTCTTGTCTACTCAATTTCCATGCAAATCATCAATGTTAAACTTCATATCCCTTCAATCGATGAGGGAGCTCTGAGAACAATATTTAGGCCTGAAAAGATATCGTTCAAAGTCTATGTTATGCAAATGCTAGAAGCTCGCCCTTGTTGCCCCAACCCACCGAGGCAGCAGCGGGCAAAAAGTGCCAATAGATTCGATCATCTACTCTATCGATCTATTACATAATTCGGACATGTGAGCGGTGTAAGGGAGGAGGTGAGGATAAGACAAAGAAGTCAAGAAGCAGAAGCGCCACAAGTGTACAATTTAGTTAGGGTAAATACTACACACTCGCAGAGACATAAGTGATTGCATCCTTCATTAGATACCAACTTCTTCATTCCCTTCCCGTTCAATTCAAGCTCTCCATCTACTAGTCTACCCCATTCCCCTCAACAAGTCACCGTGGTAGCAGGGTAAACGCTCGGCTCCGCGGTCAAGCGCAAGTGACCCTCCCAGGTCCTTCCATGGGTCATCGTACAGCAACCACGGACGGCGCCGGCGGCGTTCAGGGCAGTGGCACACTTCTCGACAGCGGCCAGGATCGTCTTTTTCTCCGCGGTGGTTTCGCAGTTCGAGCCGGAGGTCGTGGCCTCGTAAGCGTAGCCCTCGACATAGCTTTCTTCGGAGTCGACGCCGTAGGTGATCGTGCACGAGTCGGCGGTGGGATTGGCCTTGATAATCGCGGCAATATACTAATAGATATTGACGCCAGCCTCGGCGGCTAGAACGACAGTCGAGACCCCGCCGACCACCGTCGCGTAGGCCACAGCAGTGGCGATCCCCGTGCGCTTGGCGAGTTCCCCGTCCTGCGCGTAAAGACTCACGTAGTCGGCACTGACCGTGTCAAAGGTGACGGTCAGGTTGGTACCTGCCCCATCCCACTCGGTGGACTCCGGGATGTAAGCTACGTGAGTCCCGTTGTAGCCCGCAAAGCAACGCCCAGCAAGGCCAAATGCGAGCAGACCAGAAAGGACTTGGCGGGAGAGGACCATTCTCCGGTTCGGTATCGGATAACAGCCGCACAAAGATCAAGGATAAGGGTAAGAAAGATGATATACCCGTCGGCAAGCATGGTTGGGACTGCGAAATGGCGGAGGAAAGGAGAGTTGTGACTTGAAAGGTTTCAATGGGTTGTGTGGGAATCAAGGCGATTGGAGCTCCTGGTGGATGACTGGCTTTTTATATCTGTTCTGCTGCCTCTTGAAAGCCACTAGGCCCGAAGGGAGGAGGCTTTTGTGTGACCTTTCTCCAACTATCGTGCTCCACGCTCAGATCTCTTGTACTATGTCTATTTAGCGGTCGGAGGTAGTTATCACAGAAGGAACTCCTGTTGCAGCTTTGCTGTGGGTCCTTGTGGGAAACTATCAGTCGACTTGGCAACGTCAAGCTTATCTGGGCATCGGTCGGGACTCGGAAGGTGTCCGAGATAGAGTATATGCAGTTAACAGGAATGGTGTGGAGAAACTCGCCCAAATACGTATCGTGTCTCTTTGTATGGTACTCATTGTAACGCATGGATGTATAGGTCCAGATCTCGTGCTGGTCGAATCTCCGGGTCACCTCTGACAAACCATCGCCTCCTGTGTGATGGCTCTCTGGAATTGACTTAGTGGTACCACTTCATGCTATGCACAATAACATCACCTGGTGGCGGGTAAAGATAAATCCGCGGCAACCGTGGTGGAGGAAATCTCTGTTGCTATGGATATACGTAACGTGTGCCTTAAGTGGGGCCGGATAGGCCTTAAGCTTATTCCCCCTTGGTCTGCGTACGGATCATTCCCCGACCAATCGTTGACCCTTCTTGAGTTGGCGGGCGATATTAAGACACAACTTAGTCTTTTACGAGCGAACTCGGACATACTCAGAGTCTCAGAGTGACAATGCAGGCTACGCTCGGCCTCATCGACTAGATTAGTGGATGCAGCTTGAATTGCTTTAACCAATCTGATCCCTGAGTCTTTCGTTCCTGGTTGCCAACGACGCACGATTGGGAATGCGACAAGACCTTCTGCGCCATTTTGTGGACTTGAATCAGGACGGGTTGAATTATCCGTGACCGAAGTGCCACTGAGCCGTTGCCGGAAGAGGCATTGGTGCGAAGAATGCGGCCAGGAGCCCCTTATGGGCATTCGAAAGATTACTCCTCAATAGGGCTCTACAGAGGTAACTCAACCCAGGCTCATTTCGGTCCTCAGTAGAATTATGAGCACCACTCGAAGGACACTAGGAAAGACGGAATCATTTAGTACCAGACGATGTTGCGAGATGTTGACCATGGAAAGCCTTCAGTGGCGTTCTGATCTAGCTACATTTTTGCCCTATCTACCCGTTCCATAAACACAATAAGGTCTACAATATACCATCCAGGGGGAAAACTACACTACTATCGCGTTGCAGTTCGATGGAAACCGGTTTATGATTCCTTGATGCAATACTTAGTAACACTGATATCTCACATTCAAGCAATCTCAGCGAGCGGAGACATTACTGCCATATCTGCCACAGGTACAAGCGGTCTAAGGAAGATTTCACACCCAAAGTGCTCAATAACGAAAGAAACTATCCGTCTTTTGGAGGTCCGCCATGTATCTAGAGTCCATAGCCCAAGAGGTTCTCCTGGCCAGTGAGCCGCCGCTTTTGCTCCCTAGTATAACATTTGCATCTTTTGAAAACCACGGTCCCAAGATAGACCTCGATTTGGGAAGCCCGAACCTTCCTTATTTCGGTGGACTCACAATTTTAGACCTGTTCCGCCAGAGTCCGATGTGCAGCCACACTACCATTAGCCACGGGTATAAATGCGGGCATAACCATCGACTCGTCCCTGTCTTTGCTGACCACCTCTTCAGGGGATCCATAGCCACCACCACCAGGGGTCTCGATCATGAATCGATCGCCCGGTTGAACCTGGACCGAACTCTTCCCACCGACGTTCACACGGCGACCAGCCTTCGTGATCCAGGTATTCTTCCCCCGCTGGCCATCTTCTCCGCCTGCCATTCCGTACGGTGCGAAGCTCCGTCGTTCCGAGAGGATCGACACCGACATGGGGAGCCTCAGCTCAAGCTCCCGGATCACTCCATCGCCACCGGGGTACCTGCCCGCACCGCCGCTGCCGTAACGAAGACTGAACTGTCGCAGAAGCACTGGGTATCGCCGTTCGAGCGACTCCGGGTCGGTGATCCGCGTGTTCGTCATGTTAGTGTGGACGCCTCCGGTTCCCGCCCAGCTGGGGCCGGCACCGCTGCCCCCGGCGATGGTCTCGTAGTATCCAAACCCATCCACGCCGTCGTTGCCGAAAGTCAGGTTGTTCATACATCCTTGGCTCGCGGCGCATACGCGGAAGCTCTTGAAGATGACGTCCACGATGCGCTGCGACGTCAGCACATTGCCGGCGCAGACGGCCGCTTCCGGGTTGGGGCACAGGAGCGAGCCCTCCGGGATGATAATCTTGACGGGTTTGATACAGCCGTGGTTGAGAGGGATATCCGAGTTGACCATGCAGCGCAGGGCGAAAATGACCGCAGAATTGCAGATTGCGACTGGGGCATTCCAATTTCCTACCACCCCCGGGAGTTAGATCTTGATGTCTAAAGTGGACGGAATGGTCGGGGGATGTACTTACCGTATACCTCTGGGCCGGTCCCAGTGAAGTCAAAAATGGCAGACCCATCGGTAGGATTGATCGTCACCTTCAATTTGACCGGGGTGCCGTCGTCCATATAGTCCACCGCCGAGATGTCTTCACCATCGCGCTCGTGCGCAAGGCCTTTCAGCAGAGTCCGCACGGCCAGCTCCGCCGCATCTTGGATCGCACCCATGTAGACCTATTTTCTGTGAGCTAACGTATTTCTATTTTTGCATGGCGGTTGGTAGGTACCTGAACGACCGGGAAAGAGTACTCTTCAATGAGACGTTGCATGAGACGAGCACCGCAGTGGTTTGCGGCGACTTGGGCCTTGAGATCAGTGACATTGTCCTGGAACCGTCGGGACCCGCTACTGCCTGGGTGACGTGCCGGCTCCACGCATAGAACGCGATAGAGCTCATCTTCATCGAAGTGACCCGCACGAACCAGGAGATGTGAGTTGAAGATAGCACCTTCCTCTGCGAGTAGCTTTGACATTGGTGGCATCGAGCCGGGTAGTATCCCACCCACCTATAGCGAGAGGAATATTAGTGGGTGTTCATCTTGAGCAGGTTCGAATGAAGAAGACACTCACATCAGCATGATGGCCGCGCGAAGCGGCCCAGAATATTATGTTCTTCCCAGCAGCGTCGAAGACTGGACTGATTACCGTTAGATCGGGGAGATGAACACCCCCATAGGCTTTGTTGATAGTTAGTAGGAAGTTTTGACATTGGCATTTGACTGCGAGGGCTGGAAGACGTACCTGGAGTATTGGAAAGTAGCACATCTCCATCTTGCAACTTTCCCTGCCATTCATCAATCTGTGATCGTACCGCAAAGGCCATACTTCCAATCATGGCTGGTACATGAGGAGCGTTGGCAACCAAATCTCCTTCCGGTGTGAAGATTGCACAGGTGAAATCTAGTCGCTCCTTGATGTTCGCGCTGGTGCTGACATTCTGCAGCACGCGGCCCATTTGTTCAGCCACTCCCATGAACCGATGGCGGAAGATAGAAAGCTGAATGGGGTCGATCGTATCCGAACTAGTCGACTTGGGGCTCGGTGACTCGATATCAAGAATCAAAATGTCATGAGCGACGGTCGCCTTTGCATCTGAACTGACAACGATAGTCTGCGTTTTGTCGATTATCATCGCGGGTCCTTGGATCTGACTTCCCAAAACAAGCGTATCAAGCTTAAAGACAGGAGTGTCCACCCAGCCCAGCGAGCTGAAATACGTGGAAGCCCTCGAGCTCGGGGTGGCCGCCGTTGTAGCAGATGTAAAATGTGAGAGAGACTTGGCTTGGAGACGTGAGGAGCTTTCCTGGAAAACACTGCACCCAATTGCGCGGACACGGATGGTGTCCACATACACGACACGGTTCACAGGAGTAAATCCGAACTGCTGATGATGTGCATTGACAAATGCTTCTTTCGCGTCACTAGCGGAGTTATCCCAGGGGATCATGATGGAGGTTTCGCTGCCATCATATCTCATGTTCAGGAACCGGCAAGCTTGGACATTGTTGAATGGCTCCATCGTCCTGCTGCGTCGGGCTGTCTCGACAAGACTTTCCAGAGAGTCACTGAGAGCTTCAACAGTGGACTCATCAAACGCCATTGTGCAGACTCGCTCTTCTTCATGCACAACATCCGCTAGACCGATCCCATAGGCAGACAAGATGGAGGAATATTTGTGGATGAGCACGCGTCGGATACCGAGATCGCTAGCAATGGCACAAGCGTGTTGGCCACCCGCGCCGCCGAAGGAGGCGAGATGGTGTTTGGCAACGTCGTGGCCCTTGTCTAAGGTCAAGCTCCGAATCGGCCCACACATTGCCGAATTGGCGACTTGGAGAAAGCTTTGAGGCAGATACTTGTCAGCGGAAATTGCATGCGTCAAAGACGTGCGATCACTCACCCATCTGCGACTTCGGCCCATGTAAGTGACATTCCGGTCTCCTCGTTTATGATCTGGGTCAGCCCCTTGAATTTGTGGAGAACGATGTCTCTGTCTAATGGCTCGTTCTCATTCGGACCGAAGACCGATGGAAATTCTTCAGGAATCAACCGACCGAGCGCGAGGTTCGCGTCCGTCACGGTCAAGGGACCACCTTTGCGGTAGCAAGCAGGACCAGGATTGGAAGAGGCGCTCTCCGGTCCTACCGACATGAGTCCATCCTTCCAGCTCAAGATACTCCCGCCGCCCGCGGCAATTGTATTAACATTGAGTTGTGGAGCATGAATGGTAATCCCCGCCGTCGTGGTCTCAAAGATATGATCCAGGTGGCCGTCATATCGACTCACGTCAGTGCTGGTTCCTCCCATATCGAAACCAATCACCGGATTCCGAGATTCGGAATCGAAGCAGGTCCGCGCATAGCCAATCACGCCTCCTGCTGGCCCCGACAGAATGGAATGAAGCCCGGAGAGACTAGACGAAGGCACCAGTCCTCCATCGGACTGCATAAATTCCAGTCGTGTGCGGCATTCTTCAATGTTAGGGAAGCTTTGTGAGAATTGTTGAAGGTATCGTTTGATGCTCGGAGTCAGGTATGCGTCAACAACCGTAGAATTACCGCGGGGAATGAGCTTCGGCCTTGCAGATGTCTCATGTGAGAGCGATACATTGTCGAACCCAATCTCGAGCGCTAGATCTCGGATCTGAAGCTCGTGCCTCGGAAAGCTGTACGAATGCATTAGACACACTGCCAGGGAGCGGAACCCTTCGTCGTAGATTCTCTGGAGGTCAAGTCTCGTGCTAGCCAAATCTAGGGGCTGGAGCACGTGGATCATCTCCCCGGACTCTCCCACGACCTGTTCCACAGGCTCAGGGGATGACAGATGTATCCTTCGGAGATCCGAGTCGCTGCAAGCCTGCACAGTCACTCGCTCTCTGACTTCAAAGGCGTCTGAATATAAGGGTAGCGGCCGTCGGATGGTCAAGTCAAACATATGTGGCCGGCTTTGAGTACCAATTTGAAGAACATCTTTGAAGCCTTCGGTTATTAGTAGGGCTGTCTGTTCGCCTTTCCTCTCGAGTAGTGCATTTGTTGCAACCGTGGTGCCCATCCGAATCCATTCTGTTGCCAAATGCGCTTAGTACTACCACCAAACCAAACGAGAGAGAGAAACCAAGAACGTACCGACGTCTTTCAGGTCAAGCACTGTTCCTCGCGGAATGGAGGACTTATAATATCTCTCGAGGACGCGACGGATTGCCTCGGTCGGCGCATCCGCATAGTTCTTCGGATCCACCGACAGGATTTTGGCGACAATATCCTCCCCACCCTCGACTTTGCAAATACAATCCGTAAAGGTCCCGCCTCGATCTGCTCATCATACTCGAAATCAGCAATGGGGACTACTCAATTGGTAGTCCTGACCTGGAGCCCTGGTTCGAGACTCACCGATTGAGATGCGCAGTGGCTTCGTGTCTGTGCTTGTGGGCATTTTGATTAAAGGGGTGAGCGGTGAGCGATGAGGGGTGAGGGGTGAATTCAATGCTCGTGCTGCGAATATATCGGGCTTGAATGATGGAATGCGGATTAATCATGTTGTCTCATTCTTGTTGGTGAAAGGCTATATACCCCAATCTTCCCAACCCTATCATCACGATAGGAGTTCCTCCGTCCGCTCGATGGAGATAAGGCGATAAGCGAGGTTGAAAAGAGGGGGGAAGTTCGGAGAAAGCTCCGCAGTGGAGGCGGGGCTGGCAAAGTGGACTGCCGGTGGAGCTCCACCCATCGCGCGAGATGTCAATGTTGAGATCTATTGATTTCACGCGTGCTCAACCAAACACAAGGCGCAAGTCTACCGGAAAATTCACAAGACGCGCTGGAGAATCACTGGGTCTGGGGCCGAGGTCCCCGAGGCCATAAAAAGGTCACGGAGCCCAATTTTCTGCATTATATTTATTACCGAAGCACTTTTATGAACCCACACGGCGGATCAAATCTTTGACCTTGTTCTTTCGCCATGGGCTCTATCGGCGATTACACCACAGCAAAGGTTCAACCTCATGAACCTTACGAGGTCATTGACCAACCGAGTCGCTCGCGTCGCAAGATCCGCATTATTGTGATCGGAGCGGGAGCAAGCGCATTGAATTTTGCGCACGATATTGACCAGAGCACATTGGACCTCGAGTTGGTTCTGTATGAGAAAAACCCCGAGATTGGTGGCACTTGGTTTGAGAACCGGTACCCCGGATGCGGATGTGACATCCCCTCGGTGAATTATCAATTCTCATGGGCGCCTTCTCCCGACTGGACCTCCTTGTAAGCATAGACGAGACCCCATCTTCACCGACTGATTAGCTGACGTGAGCCGGTAAAGTTACTCGGCCGCCCCGGAGATCTTGAAGTACTTTAAGCGAGTTGCAGACGAGCACGATTTGCACAAATATATTCGCCTCAGCCACCGGGTCATAGGGGCCTCATGGAATGAATATGACGAACAGTGGCATGTGAAGGTGCAAAGAGGTGACAATCCCGAAGATGTCTTTGAGGATCGAGCTCACATCCTAGTCAACGCGTCCGGAGTCTTGAAGTAAGTTGAACCACTGACTCGTCAGTGCGTTGACTGAGCTACAAGCTAATCTTCTTGTGTGAATAGCAAGTGGAAATGGCCTGCCATCCAAGGGCGAGAAACCTTCCAGGGTCCGATGCTTCATAGTGCGCATTGGAATGACCAAGTCGAGTTGAAAGGGAAGCGCGTGGCAGTGATCGGCTCAGGATCTTCGGCGGTGCAAATTGTTCCATCCATCCAGCCAAGTGAGTGTACTGTACCGGGACAAGTGGTTTGAGATTCCTTACTCACAAATCAATACAGCGGTGTCGTCCCTGAAATGCTTTATCCGCAGCGCATCTTGGGTGACCGCAGGATTTGGCCAGCGGTTCGCAGGAAAGGGAGGGGCAAACTTCCAATGTCAGTCTCCTGTGGTCCTCTTCTGTGAAGCCCACGGCACGATGAGCTAATGGCTTGTCAGATACTCCAAAGCAGAAGAAGATACTACAAAATGACCCTCAGAAATATCTGGCTTATCGTAAGAAGATCGAATCGGAGCTCAATTCTCGTTTCCGATTCATCCTCAATGGCTCGGAGGAGCAGGCCAACGCAAGAGCGGTACGATTTGATTCCGTTCGCAGTTGACGCAAGAACACACCCAAGACTAACTATGGGTTTGCAAACAAACTAGTACGCGGAGAAAGACATGCGATCCAAGCTCGCCAGTCGGCCTGATATTGCTGACCACATCGTGCCCAAGGACTTTGCCGTGGGTTGTCGTCGGCCTACCCCCGGAAATGGATACCTCGAGGCACTCTGCAGCGACAATACCGAGGTCGTTTCGCAGTCAATCGCAGAGATCACCCCCAAGGGTATCAAGACCACCGACGGTGTTGAGCATGAAGTTGACGTGATTGTGTGTGCCACTGGATTTGACGTCAGCTGGCGGCCATCGTATCCTACAATTGGCAGGGAATCCCGCAGTCTCAGTGAGCAGTGGAAGGAGATTCCGAGGACCTACCTTTCCATCACCGTCCCCAACTTCCCCAATTATCTCAGTAAGGCCCCATTCACATATAATGTTTCTCTCGGGGACACAGCCCGCTAATCAGACTTGCATCATGGATAGTCTTCAATGGCCCTTTCGGCCCGTATGGTCACGGAAGCTTTCTCCCGATTACAGAAACCTTGTCGCGTCACTTCCTCCAAATTCTCGAGAAAATGTCGTCGGAGGGTATCACCTCCTTTGAACCCAAAGCCGAGGCAGTCGCGGAATTCTTCGAGCATCATAGAAAATTTATGCCCCGCACAGCGTGGACATCCCCATGTCGTTCTTGGTTCAAGCAGGGTACCGTGGATGGCGAGGTCATGATGTGGCCGGGCTCCAGAATCCATTTTTTCGAAACCATGAAACAACCCCGGTGGGAAGATTACCATCTTCGATACACGACAAACAATCGATTCGGATACCTAGGGAATGGGTTTGCCGCCCGCGAGTTTGATGGAAGTGATCTGTCTTGGTACCTCGGGACTTTAGAAGGTAACGAACAGGCCTACCTTCCGGATGAGGATTTTGCAGATTTCATGGTGTACTAGAACTGGTGGCAATCTCTACAACAGGCAACAATTATTTGATTCTTTCTGAACGCCTGTAAGATTCTGTGGTCATCAAAGAGGCCGACCAGTAAATAGGATTCAGGGGCGCACACCAAAGCATCTCCAACCCCTCAGAAAATGGTCAAGTCGATCACCCAGACGGAATTGTCTCTGATTTACGAAGCCCATCCCTCTATCAGTAATATGTTATTTGTCTCTCGAATGATGCAGATTATAGGCACGTCTTTTTCTCCGAAGAAAAGGAGCTAAATATCGAGTCCGGAGAAGCTTAATCTTATCGAGACGCGACTTCTCCCCAAGTACAATAACTGGGATGTAAAGCTCACGACAACAAATGTAGTGTTTTTTTATCAATTACACTACCAGAGCCTGTAAGGATGTGAGGCTCATGACGTGATATTTGCTATTTCAATCGAATCATAAGGCTACCGGGCCCCATAACACCTGCAGCGCTGCTTGACTCTCGTCTCCTAGGCCACGGGCCACACCCTGTTGCAATAGCTGCAGCGTAGTACCTGTCATCGGAAGAGGGTAGTTGTAGTCTTGGGCAAGAATTGTAGCTTGCTTCTAGGAAGCTTGAATGAGTAGGTGCCACAAATATGCAAGGAAGAATATACTGACCAGTATGTCCCTTGCCTGTGTAAGAGTACGTAGTGAAGCACTTTGTTGTCCCATTATTGTCGCGGCGACTAATTCAAAGCTTTTGCTTGCACCCGCTGCATCTGAAATTATTGGTTTTAGAGCCTTGAGTGAAAGACCAAGTTTGCTCCCAAGGGTAATAGCTTCAATTGCTGCAACGCCGTGAACAATCTCCAGCATCTGGCAGATAAGCTTCGACTTTCGGTCATGGTCAGCAATGCGGTCTTTTCGATATGTCGCCTCGGAGACCAGTAACAAATCCTCGGGAATAAATATTCGCACTAGGCCAGAATCATCTTCCTTGTCGTAACCAGCCAGTGCAGCAAATTGATAGAGACTCTCTGCGGCAGAGGCGATGTACAACGGGAAGTTTTCATTGAGACCTTCCGAAGTGACAATCCGCTAAAACCAGGGTTAGAAATCTCGAATGCCTCCAATAAATTGAGAAACGAGCTAATATACCATGTCTTTGACGAATATGCTGAGAGCAGAGTGAGGCGACCAGTCATCGCAAAGCATGTGCGGCACTCGGTTCTCAAACATCCAACTATGGGCAGGACTTTCTAACACACTTTCATAGAATCGCTTTGTATTCAATCCCATAGTTGCCGCTAGCCCCATCGCCTCTGCTGCCAAGGCGATATGAACGCCCGCAAGATGCTGGTTGATAAGTTTGACTTTGTTGGCGCTCCCGAGCCCCCCCTCGATTGTGTATAGCGTTTGGCTAAGCGACTGCAGAATTGGGTGGGCAAGGCTTAGGGCATCCTGGGCTCCCGATGACATGATTGTCAGCATGCCCTGAGCTGCACGGAGCACCCCGCCAGATACAGGACAGTCGACCAGATTGATATCAGTCCTCGAGAATTGATTGTGGATCTGGTCCAAGATCGTTTGTGGGAAGCTCGGGGCAACGGTGGAGCATAATATAATAATTGCCCTCTTCTTCAGACCGAACACGGCACCGACTTCTTCGGTGAAAAGTACCTCCTCTGTCTGCATGGAGTTGGCTACCATGCAGATGAAGACATCGGCATCTTGAACGCATTCGCGCGGACTTGAGGCGGCGGTGCCGCCCATGGCCAGTAATGTCTCGAGCGACATGGGATTGACGTCGAATCCACAGACAGGGAACCCATCATTGAGCAGTTGAATAGCCATTCCCCTACCCATCGCGCCGAGACCGACGAACGCGATCTTGGGTCTGACATTGACATCTGGCTTCGTCATAGTGTTTGTTCTGAAGTGGAATGGAGGCCGCAAGAAATGGGTCGGGTTCGACGACTCAAGGTCGCATCAACGCCACGGAAAGTGCAATGATGACGGTGGTTTTGGTCTCTCCTGGCTCAAGTCTGGCGTCTAAAATAGATTTTCTGCCTCTTTCTGCGCCATTTCAAGTCTCTCAGACGCACTGGTCGGGAGAAAGACAGATCAACACTGCCACTCCACCACTCCATCACTCGATCACTCCACTTCACTCCACCTCGCTCCACATCGGTTCACTCCACCCGCCGCTTATCCCTCACTTTTTGCGCTACCATGAACGCACCCTCACCTCCACCACAAACATCAAGTCCTGTGATCAAGTATCACGGAAGTATTCCAGATCCTGTGATTCCTCACAACTCACTTGGATAGAGAGGAAGGAGGAGGGGGAATCCTGAGCATGATGCCGCATCCGAATTTCTCAGTCCAACGCTAGCGTAGGGCGCTTACCATAATGATCAAGACGAGCTTTTGATCACACGGTCACTAAGTGCGATGTCCCAGGAGCTGCAAAATAAATGCTGCGTAGCTAGGTGAATGCTCCTCAGCTCCTCGCCTATACGTCCATTGATTACCTGGCGCAGATGTAGTCAAAGTCCACCGAATTGCACATTAAGCAGGAAGACCGCCAACTCGGCCATACTGTTTGACAAGAAGGCCTACCAAATAAGATATCCTTGACTCATAAGTGATTTTCTTCCTGTTGTAGAGAGATACAATAACAGCATGTTCATTTCTGAACCGCTAGAGCTATCCAAGACAGTCACAGATCCTCGCTCGATGTCGAGCACGCTTAAACACAATGATACAGACGATCCCGTCCTTCTTCGAATTATACCGCCCGTCTAATCACATCAAAGTACATAGCGGAAAGCAGGTTGTTCGAAATCCGTGAGGTCGAAGAACTCGGTGCCAACCGCCACAGTTTCACCGCCGGGGTTAGAAAGCGCCTGGCGGTCGCGTCTCTTATTTTCCAGAATGTTCACTAGACGAATAGCCAGTAGGGTCGCCGCTGCAAGGGCGTACATGATGGCTACCATCAGCTTGCCATCAAAGTACTCGGGCGCTTGGTTCGAGCGGAAGGTCTGTGGTCCAATCCAGTTTCCCGCGGCGTAGGCCAGTATCTGGAGGCCATTTACTGTGGCCTTCTTCGTGTAGCCCAGGGTATTATTGGATATCATCACCATGACCAAGCACCAGGAGGTTCCAGCAGCGCCGATGAAGTAGTAACCCACCAACAGACCAGCTTTGGCATGAAGGGGAAGAACAATCATCAAGATGCCACCCACCATCGGTATAAGAATGGCGATGATGGCAAAGATTGTGCGATCCAGGAATCTGTCGGAAAGATATGTCAAACCTAGCTTGCAGACAATATCGACAAGCCCCATTGGCATATTGAGCAAGAGGGACATGCGACTGGAGAAGCCGAAAGAGCTAATCACGAGAGAACCGAAGGTGGTGATACCCCCATTGGGGATATTCATCAAGAGCGAGAAGAGCACGTAGAGATACGTGCGTGGATCGCGAAATGCTTCGAAGAAGTGGGCCCATTTCCACGTATGGCTACCGATGCCTTGGAAATTACCCCGGATGCGATCCACGGCAATGAGCTTCTCCCGATGGCTCAGGAATCTGGCGTGGATCTGATCGTCTGGCATAAGCCAAAAATACAGTGCGCCGGTGAGAACGGTAGGGAGACCCAGCACGAGGAATAGAATCTTCCACACCGCAATGGAGGCCGTCTGCACTCCTGACAGTCCATACGCGATTGCCGCAATCAGGATCTGAGCGAAGCCGTTGCAAGCAAGCCAGAAGCCCATGCGCTTGGCCTGTTCATCTTGCTTGTACCAGCAAGAGGTGAATAACACGAAGGCCGGAGTGACTGTCGCCTCGAATGCGCCGAGGAAAAAGCGGACGCAAAGCAGGCCGGCGTAACTGTTGGTCGCGACGTGACAGAGAAGCACGACACCCCAGATCAGAATATTGAAAGAGGTATATTTCCCTAGCGGAAGTCGGCGTAGCAGATAGGTGGTTGGAAACATATATCAAAATCAGCATGGACCAGGGCACAAAGGCATGGAGGGAGGCGTGCCAGGGTACATACTCCCAAAAGATGTATCCAGCGTAGAAAATGCTCGACACCCAGCTGTATTGCTGCGAGTTGGGGTCCAAGTGTGTGTCCTCGCGGATTCCCATCAGGGAGGCATAGTTCAAAGACGTTTTGTCGGCAAATTGGATTAGATAGACCCAGCACAGCAAAGGCATCAGAACTCGATCGATTTTGGACAACACTTTGCGGGACTCTTCGGGCGTATATTCGATCGCCTCTGCAGCCAGAAACTGTAGGGCTGGATCAACGTCTCCTGTGCCTCCATGCTTGATCTCACCAGGCTGGACTTCGGTGTCTAGTTGCTCCACGTCATCACTTGGTGGAATTCGGGAGACCTTTTTTTCGCTGGGTTGGGTGGTCATACTGCCTTTTGTCACACTCATCTGATCCATTGGGGTAGAGAATTTTCAATTCCCGGACTCATCGTCGCTCCTTAAATGGCCCCTCCAGCTGACCCGATAAGAATGGAACACAAGACTCCTGGAGGTCCAAGACATCATAGTCTGCTCCAAAGATAGACATTTTGCGGGGGTGGTGGAGCTCCGTCAGCCGGCAAGTTCTTATCTTTCCTGAAACCGAGAGATGATGCGGGGTTGGCGTGGATTTCCGTAGATAAGACCTTATTCCCGACTCTCCAGCGAAGAGGTGACCTTCAAGTGGCAATGGAAGTTGTAATAAAGCACTACTATACAGGTTGAATAGATAGTACAGATTTAAACAATCTTAAGACACTCTTACTAATGATATCTCCATGTACGCACTACCTAAAATGCTAGTCCTGTAATAATCGTTCACAGCGAAATTAGAGGTTTTCGGTGATAAGAGGGAATTTACGTAACAAACGCTCCACACAAATATTAAAGACAAATGTCTTCAATTACTGTGCTGCCTTCGGTTGAAACGCTTGGGTTGAATTTCACAGTACAGTACATAGTCAACCCGACCCAAGATTCGAGATGGAGCATATCAGTCGCTTTGACATAACAGAGTTCAGAGTCAAGGGTATTCCAAGCACAGAAGATATAGGATGTACACTGCACCAGGTTTGACCGCAGGCAACAATGGATAAAAAAGCGTGCGATTTTCCCAGCTACTCTGGTGGCCGAGAAACAACCTGATGGATGCATTCGGCCACATACCGCACATTACCCTCATTGAGTCCAGCTATAGAAACTCTGGAGCTTTCGGCCATGTAAATGTGATATGTTTCTAGTTTAAAAATGTTTATAAGCTTTGTGCAGTCGTGTAGTCCTAGACTCGTGGTCATCTACTTACCTTTTAGGTGGTGAACTTGTTCGGGCGTGAGACCTAGCACGCAGAACATGCCTTTCTGCTGTAATATTCTCTTCCAGTGGCCCGGGGTACCTATAAAAGAATGAGTCACTGCGCTCACAACATGCGAACAAGGGGAAGGTCTTTGCGATACCTAGCGCTGTCAATTCATCAAATAACTGCTTCCTCATTCCAGCAATGCGCGAGCTCATTGTGGTAAGATCACGCCGCCACTGAGACGAAAGGCCATTGTTTGCTAGAATCGCCGTGACCACACGAGCACCGAATGCTGGAGGATTAGAGATTTCACTGCGAATTAACTGCGCCAAACTTGACTCCACATTATTGGCGATGTTGTGGTTGCGTGATACAAAAGCACATAGCCCAGTTCTCTCTCCTATGAGAATGAGCAGATGCATATTAGAAAGGAATGGAGCATTGGAACCGAGAACCCGGTTCGAGCTCCGTCTCTCAATTGACTCGAGTGAAATGACTTTCAGTCAACGGGAAAACATACCATAAAGTCCCATGCTTTTGGCGAATGAAATACAGACACCCATTTCCAGATTCAACTCCTCAGCAAAGTACTGGATGGCATACGCGTCTTGATCGTAGTCTCCGGACGTCAACCCCAAGTACGCGGCGTCGAACAGAGGGAAGAGGCTTTTCTCCTTCATGATAGCACCGATCTGTCGCCATTGTTCTGGACTAGGATCCCATCCAGTTGGATTGTGTGCGCTAGCATGAAACACAAAGATTGACAGTGGGTCTGCCTCAGTTAAGGCTCGATGTAGCGACTCCATGTCAACCCCCACCCTCGAGGCATAATCGAACTCTCGGATTGAGAAGCCCACTGATTCGAAGACCTGTCTGTGATTGGACCAGCTTGGATTGGTGATGTAGACGGTTCGATCACGACCAAGTGCCCGCCTGAGCAACATTCCTGCCACGTGTAGTGCTCCGGTACCCGATAATGCCTGACAAGAGGCGACCTGTAACGAAATGGTTAGCAAGTGGAATTTCCCGCGGCATCAAGACGGTTCAGGATAATTCACTCGACCCTCGCTAATAACGGTGGCCTCCTTCCTAAAGACCAACTCCGTAACTAGTTTGCGAAAAGGCGGATGGCCCAGGATTGGAAGGTATTCGTGGTTGCAATTCTTAATCGTATCCTTGGCTGCTTCAACCGCTGGGAGTACCCAGGGATTTCCATCGCCATCTCGATAGGTACCTTGGCCTAGATTCACTTTGCGAGTGTCTGGGTCGGCTACATAAGCTTTGGTGAGTTCGAAGATCGCGTCCGGCGGCGTATTGGCCACGGTCGCAAAGACTGAGGACTTCGATGACATTGCGCAGGAGAATCAAGGAGAGGGGAAATGACAAGGCGAAAACAGAAGACTTCAAAATCGGTGGGGTGATTATGATCTTTCAATGCGCGGGCGCCCTATCTTGATAGCGAGTGTGGAGTGACAAACGGGTGGAGCTCCACTCTAAATCGAGATAGGGAGCATCATCAGCGTCGATAGATAAATTGATGATCCTACGACGGATTGAGCTGTTAGTTCTAATCAAATTGTTCTAAGATCAGAAACCACAGTACCCTCAATTTCAACATTTGCCAGCCGCCATGGCTTCACGGAAGCCGAATTTCGGTGTCTACACTCCATTATTGACCTTCTTTGCCAAAGACGAATCTCTTGATCTTGAAAGCACCTTGACACATGCAAAGCGTATGGCTGAAGGCGGTGTCGCTGGACTTGTTCTTCAAGGCAGTAACGGCGAAGCACCGCATCTGGATCACGACGATCGCAAATCCCTTGTTCGCGCGGTGCGCAACCATCTCGACGGGTTGGGGCATGCGCAAATACAGCTTATCGTTGGTTGTGGCGCACATAGCGTCCGAGAAACACTGACGCATATCACCGAGGCTGAGGAGTCTGGCGCCAACTTTGCACTGGTCTTGCCCCCGTCATACTGGGTTGCAGCCATGACCCCTGCTGTGGTCGAAGAGTTCTTCAACGACGTATGTCTTTCTCGCTTCTTAGTCATTTCAGATTGAACAAGCCAGACTAACTCACTCGGATTCAACCATACAGGTAGCATCCCGCTCCCCTCTTCCAGTCCTGATCTACAACTTCCCTGGTGTCACCGGTGGTATCGACATAAGTTCCGACTCGATCATTAGGCTGGCCCAGTCCAACTCCAATATTGTCGGTTGCAAGCTCACCTGCGGCAATGTCGGTAAGCTGCAGCGTATCTCATCCACCCTGCCTGCAGACTCCTTTGCCGCGTTCGGAGGAAAGTCGGATTTCTTCCTGCCCGCCTTAGTAGCAGGGTCCAACGGGATCATCGCGGCTCTTGCCAACATCGCGCCAAAACTGCACGTGGAAGTGCTGAGAAGATATGAGAATGGTGACATCAAGGGTGCGCAAGAGCTCCAATCCCGGCTCAGTCATGCAGACGACGCCCTCGTTAAAGTGGGTGTGACTGGTGTCAAAGCCATCGTGTCTCATTATTTCGGGTATGGTTCAGGGCAAGGACGTAAGCCCCTGGGATGCCCTACCGTGGATGCCTTTAGTGCAAGTGTTCTGGACCCCATTCAGAGGGTGGTTGATCTGGAGAAAATGTATAACTAGACCATACTTCTTAGGCCTAAACACAACAGGCGTGAGATCTACGGTGCAAAAGCATTTTCAAAAATAAAATAAGTGATGAAACTCATGCATATCAACCACGATCGGAATCTGAGGCATCGAAACAATGCTGTCCGGCCGCTGCAGGTTAGAGCACGTGGTCATCCTCCAACCGGACGTAGCCCGTAGACAGCGAAAACAATCGGCAAGTAATTGCTGATTTGGTAGGGTAACCATGAATAAGATTGTTTAAGATTTTGACACGAACTATACTAGGTAAGAGATTCATTTCCCTGCCGACTATTCGCACTCCAAAATGACAGCCCCGCCTCTAGCCGGGCAATGCCGTAGATAGCCGAGCTATCCAAATTCTCGCCGGCATACTCGCGTGCAGTGTTCAGTCGTTTAGACGCCGTTTCGAGCGTGCATAGGCGGGCATTACTACTGTCAGCAATAGACAGAGCATGTTTCATGTCCTTACATGCGAGCGCGGCGGCGAACCCAGGCGCTGTGTCTATAGGAGGTGCATAGGCTCCACTCGTGATGCGTCTGCTGTAACTTTGCAATACCGGCCCAAACATGTTTCCAATAAAGTCTTCCATCTGCTGGGTGCCGACTCCTACGACCTCGGCGAACACCTGTGCTTCAGCGATGACCTCCATGAAGCTGATGACGAGGATGTTCCTTCATTGAGATGACAGGTAAGTGAGTGAAGGTTGACCAAATGAGGAAGACGTTTATGTATTTACCCTGAGATTTTGAGGAGGCTCGATTTCCGCACATCTTCTCCCATATCAATAATACTGCGTCCCATGACATCCATGATTAGAGGTCGGACTCTCTCGACTGCTCCAGTAGGACCAGCCATAGCGAATATGAGATTTCCAGCAGCTGCTACGGGACTTGCGCCGAACACGGGTGCTGCAATGAATGTCGCACCGTGGTCCTTGAGATGCCTCGCTGCCCATTCGGATGTGTCTGGGTGAATAGTGGACGTGTCAACGAAGATTTTACCCTCGAGGGAGATCCTCGTGGCCGCAGCCGTTTCCAACAGGTCTTTCAAAACATCGTCGGTGGAGATCTTTGAGGTTGTTAGTGTCTCTCTGGAAGCCGGATGTTGGGAGCCGATTCAGCAAACGCTGCACGCACCATTGTGAAAATGACATCTGATTTCTGAACTAGTGCACCGAACTCTTCTTCAGGTACAGCCCCTGCATCACGAAGAGCATCTCCTTTGGCAATGGTCCTGTTGCTGTATCGAAGCGGAGGCAAGTCTTTTGCTTGCAAGTATCGCTGGAGGTTTGATGACATGCCGAGACCCATGGATCCGAGGCCATACTAGAAGGTATCAATCATCGTGAGTGTCAGTCACGTGCATACAACTGGGATCCGCTATTCGAACCTACCCAGCCAACTCGGGGGGTATATTGACTCATTTCTGTTTAAACTGCGAGTTTTAAATATCGGTCGTCGAAAGAACTTCCGAGAGATTGTGCGGGAGATGCACCGAGTCCGCGCGGTTGTCTTAAATGAGCCCTGGCCAGAAGGCGGCCGCGCAGATAGCCAAAGCGGGGTATGACGCGGCAAGCGTGTTGGCCAAGTGGAGCTCCACATGTCCACGACTATGTAGCGTTGTCGGGGAGTTCTCTCAGTACAGCCAACATAGACGACCCAAGACTCCACACAAGTCGCTGCTGACAGAACGACTTGACTAGGTCTGCAAATAACACCTGCCCTTCCTCTAGCAGAGTAGAAACGGCTTCCCGGTCCGTAGACCACAAACGTGGATCGCGATTCCCCCGGTCTTGTCTAGTGGCCGGGGAGTACTGCAAGGCGGCTTCCAAGAGTGCGTTGAAGATCAGCATACATGGCTCGGATGTCCGTGGGAGTTCGTTGAATGTATTCAAGTGGTCGCGGATCTCGGTTGTTGCACGCCTGAGCGCTCCCCAAATACACAGAAGGATTCCGTAGCTGGTAACTGTGACCCACGGTGCTTCATAAGAAACCCTTTGCGGGTCATCGCCGTATATGCTGGCGAGTGCAGCAGAAAGCTCACTAAGTAAGGCCAGCACACCTTCATTGCCGCCAGGTCGAGGTGCCACCCAAGGCGCAGATCGTCGGACAGCGACGAAGTTACCTCGCATCAGATGGGTTGAGGCAGCCAGGCCGGCAATCAAGCTATTATCAACGATGCCTCCGATCAGTAGCTGATCAGGCCGACACAAATTGACTTGAAGGGATACAATAAAGAGCTCGTTTGCTCTCCATTGAAGGAATTGAGAACTGTCACTCGTGCTAGCCGCGTCTTTCACAATTTTCCCAATGTTACGTATGGCCATATGAACACTCTTGGTTTGACTTTGAGTCAGAATGTGGAAGGGGTTCGGGTCAGAAAAGCTGGGTGGCATTTGGTAGTAGCACCGTGTGAAGTCCCGCACCAAAGTATCTAGATTTGCCAGCACGTAAAATGCTGCGATCGGAGATGCTTCAAGGACAGAGGTTAACTCGGTTCCGGGAGCTTCGGTCATGAGTTGCTGCGTCGCCATTGTCAAGGAAGCTGCTGCTAATCCGCGAGGCTGATGGAGTAGATCGTTGGTTAACGTCAAAGCAGAGACACCGAAGTATTCGCTAAACCTCCGAATCCATATTTCAGGGTCTTTAGCCTCCCAGAGTTTGGTTGGGAAAGGAAGCTCCCATCGTAGTTCCATTGAAGACATCAATGGCCGGGAATTGCAGGGTACGAAAACGTGTGAGTCCAGGAAGAGCAGCGTGTAGAGCGCTATTCGCGTGGACTCTGCAGTTATATAAGAGGTCCATCGAGTATACACGGTTTGCGGTTGCTCTGTGCGCGGATAGTCAATGTCATACAGCCAGGACCGTGACTCTGGCATGACGATCTCTTGATGAGAGAGACCAACCTCGCGTACAGCCTGAGTTTCGATGAGCCACGGTTTGACAGCACAGCAGACAAGGGAGGAGAGCTTGAACCAACATCAACAATTTGTCGCAGCATGTCCCGTGCTGTCCGGAATTGGGATGCTTCTCCTGTATAGACCCCATGTATCATGTATAGTATCCAGGCTTGCATCACCCAGGGTTTTCGTATGTTACCGCATTGATTGGAAATCTATCTCGACATTGATTAGTATCCAAGCACATAAAACCTAGAATGAACGATGACTCATGTACCATATTTCGAAGTTCGTGTTGTCCACTTTGCCACGTATCCCGACGCCAGTGCGCACGGGCTTGGGCTTCTTCATCGCTGCATACAACTGTCGAGCACAAGCTGCCTATCACAGTCACAGCTTTGAGCAATAGCTTTGGTGCCGATGATACCGTAAATGTAGGCCGATGCAACAATGGCAGAGACGGATGAAAATGCTCAAAGTAATTCTTGACATTTACTTCCATGTCATAGTCGCCCCGATCAGTGAAGCTATGGTAGTTAGGAACGATCCCCGCGTGTATGGCTCGTTAGGAGAAGACATACATTGGCGAGGACAGTATGTATTCTCGAGGAAGACTGGTAGCAAAGGAGCTATGTTCCTCCCAGAAGTCATCATGAGGTATAGCATTTGCGGTCAGCGCCTCGGTCGGGGTCAAAATATTGGTCGCAGCTACAAGTGGGGTCGTGTCAACGACTGGCTGACATCTCTGCTGCAGGCTTATTTGCGGCGGAGATACATGATTAGCAGATGCTTCTGCCTGGCAACGACCCCGGTGCCTTCTTAATACGTCACTAGGAGCTGGTCAGTAATACTAGCACAAGATATTGTTGCAAGAAGAAAGAGACCTTCTAGTAAAAACCGCATGACAGCCATCGCATTCGAAATCATGACTCAGGGCACGATGATGACCTAAGTAAATAGCAATCACTACTTAAGAGTCTGGTTCGCTTCTCGGGCCTCAGAACTTACGAGCGCGCTTGTGCCGTCGCAGATTTTCCTGTTGACATGAGTTTGGCATTGAAAAGTCTAGGTAGTGGCGGAAGAAAATTCATATTACTTACATTCCTGGTGAATGTTTTCGGACATTCATCGCATGGGAATGGTCGGCGTGAACTGGGAGCGTGGCTCTCTGCTGGGCGCTTTCTGTCGTCACCCGCCATCTCAGTAGTTATCAAGATCCAATGGTTTCCTGGATGGTATCACGTATGTTCAGCAATACACACGTTTGGTGATTGATATAAAGAGGGGGGGGGGATGGAGACCAATCGAGCCTCAGGCAGATAAACCCCCGTCTTCTCTCCACAAGATCACATGACCCTTATCAGCACAATTCCAGGCACGGAGCAGCTTTATTCCGAGGGTAGTCACATCAGTGGTGCGGGGTACGGAGTACGGAAAATACCAACTCGGCTTAAAATACTGACAAATCAACAAGGTACAGTCCCGCTCCAAAACGATTGTGGTGATTGTCGAGACATTTCTGAGTACATCTACCATCGCTCAGACAGGAGGAGTCGTTCTGTGGGAGATTAGGAGAGTTTTGGGTTGTGAGCCAAGACGCTGCGCTTACTTGTTCAGAGAGTACTGCCTTCTCTAAGTTATTTGATTGAGGTGCGGTAGATTCCATATATATTGCGGTGGTTTTATCCGCCCGGGGGGCAACCGCTTCGAAGGTCTGAACCTCTCAAACATCAATTGACTTGTCGTGAAAGAAAGCGAGTCACCGTGTTATCGCTTCCTCGGGATGATTAGAAGATACAGCATAGATACGATTCGGTAACCTTCAAGTCCCAGATAAAGTTCTCTAACGTGATGGATCGTACTTACTATACTTGTAATGGCACAACTCCTGCATAGCTCTGCATTAGAATTTGAAATTATTTGCAGGATATATATTCATATGTCCATAGTGTAGTATATACATGTACCGCCATGTTAGCATCGCTGGTACGTATTCTTTCAAAGGTGAGGAACATAATCCTCCCAACTAACAGTCTGAAAAGCCGAGGCCGGCAGACTGCGTAGACCGATGAAGTCCTCCAACAAGATATATGTCCGCCCCACGCAGTACAGAGCACAAATTATCGAAGTTGGTATGAGCACTCGTAGTGGGAGTTCCGCCTTGGGATCGTGCGCCGGGTCAATATTGCGCATCTTGTTCGCAACACGGGCCCAGAACCCTTGGCTTGGTGTTTTGAGAGGAGGGGAGTAGGAAGAAGGGTGACTCCCCCCCTGCGAGCCCCTTGGCGATGGCGACGGCGACGGCGACGCTATCCACGCAATGTGCTGTCTGCGTTCCTCATACGCGCGGGGAAGGAGGATCTTGTCACAGTAGCCAGCGTGCAAACCCCCGACCACGGTGAAGAGGAGGTTATAGACACTGGCGGTTCGCCAGAGAAGTCGCTCCGTGCGGGTCGGGTAATGGAAGTTCCAGGCAAAGCAAAACATAGAGCCGAAAAGGAGAAGCACAGGCGTGGCGATGCAGTCCGCCCGTAAATCGGTCACGGGAAAGTTATCACTGATGATCCGGTTCTGGGGCCGGGCGGTCATGGGCCGCGAGACGAGTGGCAGGTGCAGGTTGCGGAGTATTTGCGTGTAGTAGCGCCAGTGCACGCCGCAGAAGGAGATGTCGGCATAGACAAAGTCTAGCGGGGTATCGTGCCAGGGCTGGTCTGGATAGAGGCAGTGCTATCACCCCCAACATGAGATCTGGTTAGTGTGTTCGCTGGATGGGTGCGCTAGCTTCCATCGACAGTTGTTGGTTTCTCACGAACCTCTGCACGAATAATATCAACTGGAGTCCCTGTTTTTATCGGAATAGTACCGGTTATGTCGGACGGTTTGGCACGCCAGCAGAACGATGTTACTAGAAAGACGACCACATAGGATAGGGTTGTGAGCTCGAGGGTAGTCAGGAATAATCCTTGCGCCACTCGAAGAATGCTGTTAACGAGGAACCACAACGCCTGACAGACGGCAAGTACACTGTGAGCCCCTATTAGTCTATGGATCATACGGGTCACGACCACCCAAGCACAGGTTGTCCGCACCGTGAGAAGCTGTCTGACTTGTTACGATCATTGATCTGGTCTTCTGTTAAGGGTGGGTGTTTAATGTAGTTGTTTGCTATCAAAAAATAGAGTTGTTCGGCATTGACGGGAAAAGACCTCGCATTTCCCTCTTCTTCAAGAATAAAGCCTCCCATGTCGGCATAGAAGGCATGTGCAAGAGTCCATGAGGGTGTATTTGGATCCGTGGAATCTCTCGTCAGTTGTTCGAATTTCTAGGTTCGGAGAGCTTAAACGGCCATTCATTCGAGCGTAAAAATCTGGTACAGCGCTACGAAACCAGTGGATTTGCCTTACCTTTACTGATGCCCGGGCTGAGGACCACTGACCCAGCGCCAGCATGAGCAGAAACTCGGGTCCCAACACTCCAATTGAAGCCAAATGTATTCGGTCCCGTAGACGGTGATGCCACTCGTCAGTCCGAGCAGGTATATTGGGAAAGACTGCTGTCCAACAGCAGAGAATAATAGTCAGTAAACAAGTTGAAAGAATACTCCACGATCCCCGTCCATCCGGCTCAGCAACCCAACCATGGCGGGTAGAGGCAGTGAAATTACCGGCCATCAAAAGACGCGAATGGGCAGGAACTCGGTTAAGAATCTCTTCAAAGTCATTTCTCAGAATATGCGTGTAGGATGGGGCGAGTGTCCTTATTAAAGGCAAAATACCCCTGTAAACCCGTAATGCTAGTAGCAGCCGCCCGATTGGGCAAAACCTGTGGCTGTGAGTGTTAGAGTACGCGCCCAAACGAACTTGGAAGACTAGCACAAAGGCTGTGCAACACAGGGCTTTGAGTAGTGAAATGGCCAGAGACGATGTTGTTTAACAGCCACAACCACTTCAGGCGTGGCCACGCATGTTGTTTCGTCATTGGTATGTGTAGCAGCAGGAGTAAAGATTTAAGGGTAACTAGTATCCTTGACCAGCCAAGAACTGCGTCTGGGTGGAACAAAAAAAACATACAACAGAAGGGATTCGCTGGTGGTCACCCACCCAACTACTAACCTCCCGGCGTGTGGCTTAAGTACGGCTGAGCGGACGGGAAGCCCTGTTTTCCACACCCTGTGGTCGTATGTGCTTGACGTATATGTTCTGTTACCTATGAGCCAAATGAATTTGCACTCTACCGGCACGTGAGTTCAGAGACTATTGGCTTGGCGGCAAGCCATCCGAGCTTCAGGGCAAATCATCGCGCATTGATCCAGGAAATGTGGATATCTCAAGTCACCTAGGCTTGCTGGCGGCTCAGTGAAGCGATGCTAACTACGGAGTACCTCGGAAAACATTCGCTAGTGGGTCGATGACCCTATAATAAGAACCCCTTCGATCCCTGCTTGAATGTCCTCGCCCGCCACGATTCCAGAGAATGTTATCATATCATTCGATAGAAAAGGTCGAATACTGTGTTCTCTTATGGTTCGCACGTCAAGATGAGAGATACCGATATTCTACTTACCTGGATGCTGTTATGCAGTGCTACAGTTGCCCAAGTAGCTAGGCAGCCTGAAGTCGCTGCTCAATACTTCGCGCAACAGCAACAATCTTTGGGAACTTCCGAAGGTGATGATACAAGTTCTTCGTCCAGTTATCGCGGCTTCCAACTGTGGAGCGAAAATAACAAACTCCATGCCACAACGCTCTCAAAGCTCAGCCCGGCATGTAGGGCATCTATGACGCAGAGGATTCACTGTCACCAGAAGACGCGATCCTTGCAGCGGCAGTGGGCGCGTTGGAGGCAGGATCCGGGTCTGGGAAACAACACGCTTAGCGATCTTGTCTGTGACAGCGGTTGCGGGGAGTCCCTCGCCACGTGGTTTCTGAGCGTCGAGCGCGATTGCGCCACGTTGGAGGAGAGGATGCTTTTTCCAACCCTGCGGGGTGGACAGCTGTGGGCGGGTTGGAACGAGACTTGTCTTAGGGATGAGGGAACAGGGGGATACTGTGGTGGTAGGTTCTGCTTTTCTCTTGATCTGTCCCGATGTATATAGGGCGTGGTGCTCACATCTGATATATGTGCAGATGTTATCAATGGCTTTAGCAAATTCTTAATAGATGAAATGCCGATCGAAGAACTCTGCTCCTTCTGCAACGTGCAATGGCATCGTGTCATGCAAACGTCACCCTTCTCTCTCTACGACAGAAACTACAAATCGCGCCTCGAACACATCAACCGTGCCTGTGATCTCGACCTGCCCACAGCCATCCCGAAGCTCGTGCTCTCCGAGGATCCACATATAGAGCGGGACCCGTACTGCGCGACCCTTCTTTCATACACTACCTCATCAGGGGACACATGCGACAGCATTGCGGCGCAGTTCCAGGTTGCCTCGGCGGCTGTTCGAGCCGCGAGTTGGCCGCTCATCGACTGTTTCGCTATTCCCGAGGGTACGAAGTTGTGCACTCCGTTCAGGTGTAAAACCTATACCCTCAGAGATGGGGACACGTGCGACTCAATCGAGCGGGAGCTTGACTTGAAACCCTGGCTTGGAGTCTCGGCAATCCGGGCGTATAATCCCTGGGTGAATCAGGATTGCTCCAATCTGCATGAGGCGAGTGATGCTCTTTTCGGGCATGTTATCTGTGTTGGCCACCAGTTGCCCGGCGACGCAATACTTTAAATCCAACGGGTCAGTCAATCCTGGACGCGTGAAGCTTTGTTCTGGGGTGACTCTGTCGGGTGGGCTACTCTCGCCAAAGTTCTGGTTGTTTATAATAAATATATACTACACGTAGCGAGGATGTTCCGCAACATCTAGGTGGAAAGACCTCTCAAGCAAGTCCGAAGACCAAATGTATCCCGGCGAATACGAAACGCCTTCGGAGTACCCGATAGTGCACAGACCCTTGCGGCGATCGCCCAAGACCCCGCTGACATTGACAAGCTGCCACTGCAAGCCACCTTTTCTCAGCTGAGAGAAATATCTCGGACACCGGTGAACAGCTGCTTTTGCTCTGGAAGCCGGGGAGACAATTACTATGACCTGAAGAGTCAGACCATGAGCAGAGCCTTCTCTTGGTATTGTTTGCATCATGCAACTTGTATTGCATCGCGACGAAGTATTCGTCGGTTGTAAAGCGCGTTCGTACTGGGGGCTCGTATGAATTGTTTGGCTGAAGGCCAAGACGACTCCCTGCAGCGACGTCGCACCCGACGTCCATGTACTCAAGGGCATGAGGCTCCAATTTTCTATCATTTGAATTCGAGTACTGACCACGCTTGCGCGGAGTACTTCAGCTATAAAAGGATGATGATTTCTATTCACCCAAGGAAAGAACGGCAGTAGAGAAACATCCGCAACAACAATTATCTATACCGCAAACCAATCCTCCAAACCAACTAATCCTCGACACAGTCCCTGTTCGCACATCAACTATTCGATAAACCACACAATATGGGCTGGCTCGGTACCCTTGGAGTATATCTTCATTTTCCTTCACCCTGCTACAATCTTCCCTGTAGAGTTCACTACGCTAACCTGCTTCTCTCACTCAAAGCCTGTGTACGGCGACCACGCAAGTGACAAACCCGACAACACCATTCCAGTCCTCAACAACGAGAACGGGGACATTAATGCCGGCTACGGTGGAAAGTACGCAGCTATTCTTCCCTTCACTTCCTTCCTTCCCTTACGCTGTTACCTCACATATCGAGCCCTGAAAGAAACTAAAAAGCTAAACCCCTGCAGATTCGTCTGGCTAGTCGCCCAGTACCACGCGGAGCGAGGCACGGGGATCTCCGACATCCGGGTCGTCTTCTCCGACCACGCACGCGAGGGGGCCTTGGACCTGGCCAAGGGAGCGGGCGGGCTGTATCGATACTTGGAGTTTCGCTATGGCGGCGAGGGCGAGCGACATGTGAGGCAGGTGGTGCTTGCGCGGCGGAGCGAGCCCATGAACGCGGCCACCGCGCAGAGGCTGGGCTTCCAGGACTTCAGCGACAACATCGACCACGGTCGCGGGTCGTTCATATACTTGCTGTGGAATTATTGATCCGTACTGTTGCTGAGCGGTTGCGGGATTGGTGATCGGAGGCAACGGTTTGTTGTTCGACTAGGGGGTACTGTGAGGGCGGGCAAGTGAGGTTGAAATTTCTAGATAGTAAAGTGGAGTGGGTTTCGATGCTTGCGATGCTTTGAGTCTCTACTGTAACCCTGTAGGAAACGTTTCCCAGCGCCCGACTATGCAGCACCTGCAAGCAGACTAGATTATCATTCTATTGTCAAGCTACTTTTCAAGGCCCTCAGAAGGCATTTTCAGTTCTTTCCGCGTCGTTTTGCAGTCGCCATACGACTCAACCCACGTTCCATTAGGGCACTGAGAGAGATGCAGCTGGCCCATTACTCGGGTGTACTCCAAGGAAACTCCCCATCGCCACCCTGCAAGATGATCTGAGACTGACTTCGCACAAAGAGCCTCTGGCCGGTGGGACTCGACACGAGGCGATCGAGGGCATGTACCACGCGGGACGGCCAGTGTATCTCCATCCCCAGTTCCTGCGCCAGCATATTACAACGAACCATAATACGGAAGCACTCATCCAGGTACTTTTCCAGCACCGCCCGATTTCCCACGTGAAGGGGATCATGTGGCACGGGGAGACTGTTTCGTGGTCGATCGTATTCCGTCCATGTTGTGATATCCAGCACCAACTCCTGCGGCAATCCTTTGTGTCGCAGATAAGCTTCCACCCGCGCAATATCCGATGCACTCGGATGGTAGGGAGCATCTGTATCGCAGGTCAAAAACACCTCGAACGGAACCTTTCCGAATGGAAAGTTATCTTCATTCAGAAGAAGATATGGCTCGCAGGGATCGTCCTTGTCGTCGAGCGGGATCCTGATGGATTCCCTCGCCTGTTCTTCGGCCAAAAGCTTGGCCATGACTGGCAGGTGGAATTGCCGCTCGATGGTGAGAGGCGCTTCAAAATGGTCTTCCAGCCCGAAAAACCGGCGATGAAATTGGCTCGGAGCCTCGGCCTGCGAGTGCATTTGCGTCCATCGGAAGAGGGCTTGTTGGTACATTTTCGTATCGCGGTAGTCATCCGATCCGGGTCTACTATCCGCAGCTCCCGAAAGCTGTACAGAATGTTCAAAAGGAGGTAGAAATCCAGCGTGACCTCGAAGACCTGATCCCACCCGACTTCTAGTTCCTGAGATCTATATCAGTTTGTTTGACCTTGGAAGATGCTGTGCGGAAAGATGTGATGGAAATGCGACCGCAACTCACTGTATCGTAACATTCCCGGACTTCCATCCATTCCCGCAGCCCGATCGCCGGATGGGCGCAGAGTCGTAGAACGGGTTCCATCTCACCCAATACTAGAAGGGCGTTGACCACCTGCAAATTGAAAAAGGCATCACCATTGACCCGGAAGAATTGAAAACAATCGTTATCTTGGTATGGACGCAGGAAGGCGGATCCCAGTCTTTCCCTGTAGGGCAGCGGGCATCCGCATGCGAAACCTTCGCTCTCGACATGTCGACACAGTTCTGGCGAGTTGGTCACCTTCCGGCCAAGGTCCCAGCAGTCGTTCTGGCACCATGAATAGGCCAGCGGCTGAATCTTCTGGGCTATCTCGTCGGCCAAGATGAGATCGTCTCGCCGGGGTGGGTCATACCTCTCCGGGTATGTCCGCCGCTCGCGGTCGGTCTCGATGGCGATCGCATGGGCCAGGGACTCGGCGAACTGGCCAATCTCTTGGCCCTGTTGGGGCCTGAAGCGGAAGTATAGATTCGTAGCCTCGTCTACATCGGCAGATGGATGGGATTGAAAAACGAGATTGGATGTCAAGACATCCCAGCAGATCCGGTCGATTTGATGAGCCATTCTGAGGGGGAGACAGAGGGATTCTAATGAACTCTGGTTAAAGGAACATGGTGACATATAAACATGCGAGGAAAGAAAACCGCCGGAGCATGGGCCCCCTCATTGGTTGTTTTTGGAATGAGTGCTTTACCAAATTCATGATTTTTATTCCTTATTGATTCCTTAAGCGCATTCTAAGTGGCGGATAAACCGATATCTAACATGATAGACCCGCTTACTGTGACTCATTTAGACGATAAGATGTGAAGACCTGGTAATGTAGAGATTCTGCCAAACTTGGCTTCGCTACTGCTGTAGGGGAGCCAAAACCCAACAGCCAGATCCGCGGAGATATCCGCCGGGAGATTAATGGGGATCCAGTCGACGCTTCTATTGATCTTCCACCTCGCGGCCCAGCTTCAGACCCGTGCAGACAGAATGGGAAGTGGTCTTAGTAGGGCTGTTCGGATCGTGAGGAGTTCGCCCAGTAAGGAAACCTCTCCCCGTTTCCACCTTCGCCCTGATTCAAGTATTTATCTGTTTTTATACTTTCACTATAGCCAGGAGCTCTGCTTTATATACTTTATCCGTCTTACCTTACAGCTCTGCACAAACTTCACTGATACATTTATCTACCCGATATTGACCATCAGTATATACTAGTACGATGTCCAGTAAGGAAGTCCCCTTCAATACCTAGTTTGGAAGATATCAGATGCTAATGTTCTTCGCAGAATAGTGATATTCCCGAGCTCTATAATTAATCCGACCGACTCCTCTACAGGAACAGCATCACCAAAAGTGGCTGTGCGCTAAGGCCATGAGCATCGCCACCTTTACATCCCAACCGGTTAACCGGTTAGAAATGGGGTAACTAAAAGTTATTGCGCTCTCGTCTATACTTGAAAATTGACACAACGGAAATTGACATCTCAGCTAAAGTATCCATGGGCTTGGTGTAATGCGTTAGATATCAGAGGGCAGCAATTCAGTATGTGTAAATCAGGAAATGTTATATATATTACTTGGCGGCTCGATCATGGAGGAAGGCTGCCGATGGAACCCCGGATATACCTGTTGCGTTGATCTTGGGCTATGAGTTCTTCAAATTCGGATATGGTTATCTGTGGAGACGGGAGCTATTTGTATGACTAGTCAATCATAATAGTAGCGCGGTCGAGTCACTATGACTCTGTCCTCGGCTGCGAATACTATGTCTTCGGGTTCATATCATGTATAAAATAAGGGATAAACCTGCCAGTAGAATAATCCACTTTGCTTGGGCCGGTTCGTATATATTTTGCATGTAGTGAAAACTAATCATGGAAATATACTTAAGTCTCTAAGGTGGTGGCCATGTAAGGTGTCGCTACGAGAACCCTTAGATTGAAGGGAGCTGGAGATGGCCGAAAGCAGAGTACCAGTTGTCATATTTTGTCGAGGGCCCCGCGGCCTTAGTAGCCAGGCAGGCGCTCACTGCTTACTTCAATGGTTCTTAGCTAGTTGCTCCTAGATATCCTTATGTGGATGATCCAACCATCATCCCACGTCTTTGATCTTTTCATCAGTCTACCCTACGTTTAAGGGATTGGACATGACCAATAGATGAAACCACATACAACGCGAAGACAGCCTGTCTACGAGTATTGGTCTTACAGAGCGACTCGTGCTGTAGACTGTTTCACAGGTGAGCATATACATCCGTCCCAACAACTAGACCGGCTACTGGCTGCTGGCTCGGGTCCAGGCAGTCAGGGTCGCCGCGTGCCCTGACCGAAGAGAATCGACAGAAGTCTGGATCCTCCACTCGGTGAGTGCACTCGAGAACAAGTCTCGATCCTAGGTTGATTTGCCATCCATGTGTCTAGATGGTCTTTTTTCCGTAATCAGATTCTCTCATCAAACTCCGACTTTAGCATGTAGAGACCGGCATGAGCCGGCGTGGACCGGCATGGACAAGAACGAGCTGGCATAGCCCAAGAGCCAAGAAACCCAAGAGGCCTTTTCGCTATTACGTTGACAAGAAACCGCCCCCGGCTCGGAGCAGTCTTCAGCCCTCTGTGGCTCCACAATGGGAAGTGGGGCTGGTGGTAGTGCAGACAAATGAGCATGAGCCAACCATCCTTGCGGCGTATAATGCAGGGTAGTATAGTCCCTGGGCAGGTTGGAATGGCATCCCGTTCTCTGATCCTTGCTGAATTGGTGCTAATCCTTTAGTCTAGTGGAGCAACACCATTTCACCACGAAGAGACAGCCTAGCCTGAGCTGACCCTTGAACCAATCCCCGCGCTACCCCGACGGCTAAGGACCACCAGGGATCATCCATGATGCGCACTGTGATGAAGGGCGGGAAGCCGTGAAGAGTAGTGAGACTTTGGGGCTCGAATTAAAGTAGGCAGACCGAACACTTGCTCGGGTAAACTGAGATATTCGGATAATAAGCTAAAAGCACTGCAGTTCGCGGCCCATCTTGGCGCGGCTTGCAACCTTTATCGGGCAGCATTTACGATGCCGAGAAGAACTCCGAGTTGGAGAAGCTCTTGGCGGCTTTTGTCTCCGATATTGGGACTGTTGGCCTTTGGTCTTTCAGGGTCCCCCCTATCATAGTCGTTGCCGACATGCGCTACGATTTGCAGGAAAGTCCCATGTGGTGTCCTTGCAGTTGACTTTCGGGTCCATGTGCGGGCCATCCCAGGCCGATGCTGCATTAGAGAGTCCACCTTCTCGTATCGTTCTCAACTGTGATTGGCGTTTACTCCACATTGAAAAGCAGTAGTGTCAATCATCTTCTATATCAGGTCAGTCCTCCAGTATTCTATCAGGATAGCGTTGTAGAAATTATCAGTCCTACGTCAGCCTGCTCCTCCACCTGCGCTATCCATCCTAAACAGCCTCAGCGCCGAGAGACCACTACACTGATAGTTCGAATCCTTTCGATCCTTTCTATTGCGAAGGCTACAGCGCCGAGAAATCACCTCTCTCACGATTCTGGGTCCCAAGTTTGAAACCCAGTGAGGAGAGCCTGGCGTGCTCGAAGGATACGCCGATCTCGTTGGCAGTCTCTGATAAGATGCACCTCTGTAGAGGCGATGATTGTTCATCAGACTGGCCTCGACCTTGAGAACCTATCCGGCATTGGTAATCATCTGCGAGGCGACAGATGGCCTAGTTCGACGAATTCAGGGAGGGAGACTCACCTAGCGAGATGGTTATAAAAGCTTCAATCTGGCCCGGGTAGTCGAGTCCAGAGCAGACATCTCAAGATTCTTTCCAGTTCTCTGGTCTCTAACTTCATCGTTGGCAATATCAAGCGGTAAAGGAACGTTCTGGCAGTTTTCTGAAATCATCGTGACTGACAAACTCAAAAAGGGTCTGTTCTTATTATTCGACATGGTTGGCACAAAGTCATATCTGGGCACAGCCCTTCTATCTCTGTTGGCTTTGAACAGCTCCGGGGTCCTCGCCCACCGGTGGTTCAACTGGCAGGAAGACATCAGCTGCGATGCCACGGGCTACTTCGTCCCTGATGACGAAGCCGATCTCATCAGCTTTGTGAAAAAACACTACTCCCGCAAGACCTTCCTCAAGCCCGTCGGCAACGGTCACGGCTTTGGCAACCTCACCACCTGCGTCAACGATGGAGAGACCGAGCGCGAGTCATATATCCTCAGCCTAACCAACCTGAAGGACATGCAGATCCACAAGAACAACAACACGGTCACCTTCGGTGCCGGCTGGGATCTGATCGACCTGATCCCCGCCCTCCGTGACGAGGGCCTGGAGGTGCACAACCTAGGCAGTGAGATGGTGCAGAACTACATCGGCGCGGTGACCACCGGCACCCACGGCACGGGCAAGCAGAACCAGAACCTGGCGACCCAGATCCTCGGCCTGCGCGTCCTCGACGCCCAGGGCAACATCCACAGCATGGACAAAGCAACCAACCCGGATCTCGTCAAGGCCTTCAGCATCGGCATCGGCGCCCTGGGCATTGTGGTCGAAGCCACCATCCAGGTCGAGCCCATCTCCTACCTCAAGCGCACGACCCGCGTCATCCAGGGCTCGAGCAACATCACCGAGCTCTACCAGCAGATCGCCGCGATCGGCGACCAGTACGAACAGATCAACATTCCCGGCCCCACGCTAGACTGGTCCGTCGAGCAGCAAGCCCTGGTCCTCAAGCCCAACCTCACGGTCGTCTCATGGGAGCCGAGCAACTACAGCGCGGTGCAGAACTGCTCGCTAGACTTCTGCGCCAACGACTGCGGGCCCTGCGACCGCGACTCGGTGTGCTACGACTATAAGAACTTCGCCGTCGCGACCCCGCCCCAGGGGATCTGCTACCGGGGGTTCATGGGCCAATTCGAGCACTTCCTGCCGATCGAGAACCTCGCCGCCGCCGGCGAGGACTACCTGCACCACGCGCAGGCCCAAGCGGCACGGATGATCCCCTTCCAGAACCCGGACATCGCGACCGACAAGTCGAAGGGCTACCTCAGCGACGACTTGACCGTGATCACGCGCTTCATCAAGGCGGACGACAACTGGCTGTCCCCGGTCAACGACTACAACCTGCCCGCGGGCGCGCAGGGCGTCTTCGCCTCGCTCGAGTACTCTTGGATTCCCACCTACAACAACTGGACGCAGCAGTACTTCTACCAGGAGCTGGCGAGCGAGTTCATCCCGCGCTTCGGCGAGAAGTACAACGTGCGCCCGCACTGGAACAAGATGCAGTTCCACAACGAGACCTACACCGCCACCATCTTCCCCAAGATGAACGAGTGGCTCGACCTGCAGGAGGAGATGGACCACCAGTGCCAGTTTATCAACGAGTTCTTGATCCATGCCCTGGGGATTGACCGGTGCCAGAGTGCCCTAAACTAGAGGTGGCTCTTCCTGGCTTGGGTAGGCTTTTTGGTGGATGCTGTGAGACAGCGTTACTTTGTGGTGTGATCAACTGCATTACGTGGATTAATAGAGGGCACACGGAGTGAGAATGCAAGAGTGATAGACGCGGGGGTGTTCACGAGTCATACACGTGTTTGGAATAGACCTAGTTCATGGTTATAGACATAGAAGGGATCCGTCTATATGTTACAATTGTCACGAATTATTAGCACTACGTGATCAGCAGGATCGCTCGCTATCAGTCGACAATAGTAAGCTGACCAGCCCCCAACCCTAACAGACACTACGCCTGCACCGCCACCACCTGTCGGAGCACCGATCCCTAACACTAGTCGCCCCACAACAACTACAGAGTACTGTACCCCGCAGGGAGGGAATCAGAAGGCTCGAAGTTACTCACCGCAGGAGCATGTCGGGATATATTGATGTACCCTGGCTATCGTGGATAAATGAGCCTTCGGGTGGAATTAAGAGGTCCAAAGATTACTTCCTTTTGGCCTGGTCTTCTCACGCTCGACTTGACAGCACCGATAAAAAGAGGTTACATGACTCCTCCGCTGCCTAATCAAGCCCTGATATGAAGATTCTATGGATGAAAGACCTCATAGGAGCTGGTCGGCTGTGGGCGGACCTTGGTGTTGATCAGAGCACTCTCCGCCTAGGCTAGAGCACGAATAGTGATTACATAGCAGCCAGGAGAAGTGAAGAAAAACTACTAAGAAGAAGCTCAGAAGTCGGTAAGGTATATGGGAACTCCACGGATAGGGCAAGAGGAAGCGATTGGAAGCCAAGTGGCGAGTAACTGCGGCGATGACAAAAGCGCCCACGCGTACAGTTGGTGGCTGGCTGAATGAGGCCTTAGACACAATATACATATAGGACATATATAGGTCAAATCCACACGACATGCGACCCTTACGGGACCAAGCAACAGGAATCATAGTGCCCCGGATGTTCGAATCATCAACCCACACAACAAACCAGGCGATCCTGGGCCACATCGTCGGGACCCTTGAGGCCGAGGGTCGACGGTCCGGCTGACGGGGTGATATCCTCCTCCGGGAACGCGTGAATCACGTATTCAAACAGTACGTTTTCCCCTTTGTTGCAGTACATTCTTGAAGTTTTGGATTGGCTTCGAAATTGAGATTTAACGTGACTTGTCCGTTCACCAGGGTCACAGCACTCCGAATAGCCAACCCACGGCTGGACGCGTGGGGGGCTGCGGACACGGCGCTAAAGGCCGAAAGTCGGGTGTTTAATGCTGCAGATGGGAAGGTTGGTCATTTCCCATGTTTCCTCGTAGTTATAGGGAGCGGACGCTGAAAGGTGTGGCAGGTAGCATATGAAAGGAATCTTGCGGAGGAGGTTGAGCGGAGAAGGTTGATCGGGGCTAGGGTTGAAGAAGAACTTGTGATCTAGCGGTGTCCTGCGACTGGGAAAATGAAGATTATTATATGAACCGAGAGATTGCCACCTCTTCAGGTGAAACGGTTGTTATAGTTCCTACCCAATGCTTTGATTACGAGTTTGTCGCGGCAAGCCGAAAACAAAGTGCGTGTCTATTGCAAAGGCCAGCTCTGCCAGTCTAACGGCCAGTTCTTGGTTGCCCGGGCCAACGGCCAGATAGATTCGAAGATCTCAAGATCCGCGCTCGTCACCGCTGAGCTCCATCCATCCCAGTAAGGCGTATAAAGGTTTTGTGCCCGCAGCCGGCCGGCAGCATCCGAAGCAACCTGCCACCTACCCACCATCTGGAAATTGAGATACCCGCGCGCCAGGAGAGCCCGAGAATTGCTAATACCGGGAGCCACGCGATATTGGCCGTGGTGGCCCGCGAGCGGGTGAAGGCGCAGCAGCCGCAGGCGTCCCCTACACGGCTGCGGGTGGATGCGCTCAAAGATCGCCGCGGCCAGCGCGGCGTCCATCGCGCAGTTGATGGCGCAGTCCCGGACGATCCATCTGGGTACGCGGTCCTGGTTGTGCCCCTGCTCGTATTCACTCAGCTCCCGCGGCGGGAAGGGTGTCCTGTCACCCTGCACGACCGGGAGGCAGTTGACCACGAGGTCCAGTGTCTCCAGCGCCGGGAATTCGCCGAGGGCTTCGTAGGCCTCCGTTTCGATGGGGTGGCCCCGGTAGCGCTGCACGCAGATGCGTAGCGTCTTCAGCCCCGGGCAGCGAGCCGCCATGCGACGGATCACGTCCGCGGGGAAGATCGGCCCGATGCTACCTTTTCGTGCGAGTCGGGTGGACTCGGCGTACTGGTACTGGGGTGTCTCGCGATGTAGCTTCAGCTCGACTAGCGTTAACCCATGGCGGTCGAGGACGGCAGCAGGGAGAATCGTCGGATCGTACGTGCCCAGAAGGCAGAGATACGTCAGCAGCGGAAGCGAGTCGAACATGGCCTGGATCTTCTGGAACCAGGAGGGTAGAGAGTCTGCAGGCGGGTGGAGGGAGATGGTGAGACGCTTGAGGGCGCGGAAGGGCTGCAGGTCCGTGATGGCGGCCAACGCGCCCTCCTCTTCCAGGGCACCAGCCGTCCACGCAGTCAGGTAGCCTAGGTCAGTCACCCGGAACCACGCTTGGAACTGGTCCCCTGTCATGGTGGTGCTTAACGGTAACGACAAGATCTCCAGCCTCGCACGCGCAGGGCTGGCATCGATTCCGCTCTCCGGCGGCTGGGACTCGAGCCACGTGGTGTAGCTCTCGCGCGTGCTGCCTGGCCTCTTCGAGCTGATCTGCAAGGATAGCTGCTTGATGTGGGGCGCTTGGCGGAGGAGATCTCGCAGAGCCCGATCGGGATGCTCTGTATGAACGGTCTGGTAGAATGGATCTTCGTAGCAAATAACCCGAACCGCATATAGCGCCGGGGATTGAGCCCACTGCTGCCGCGAGAGATCATCTGCTAGGTAGAAGCTGCAGCGGGGGAACACTGAGACGCGACAGTGCGGGTGCATTTGAGCGAGGATATTCAATAGTGTCAGCGGGTATTGTCTGTGAATCAGGAAATCAAACCGCTTCAGCAGAGTCAGCCGCTGCACGAGGCGGATGACGGGGGTCCAATCCCCTTCATAATCACCCAAACCGGAGACAACGACATCCTCCGGGCGGCTCTGGCGTAGATATCTACAGAGCCTCTCGTCATCCCCTGCTGCTGCGGGACGAGTTGTGTCTTTTGTAAACAGTATCACATGTTTCACATGCGGTAGAATTAGGGTGGCGTCCAGAAGCCGAACCACGCGGTCAAGATGAGCTGGCTTGTCATCCTCTAGGCGGACAAGGAGAGTTCCATAGACGCCAGGTCCGGCAATGTCGTGCCACTCGTGATTCACCTGCGATAAAGCCCGCAGGGCGTACCGCGACACATCGCCGATCTAGGGAGCAGATGCGGTTAGGAGGTTTCATAATGCAATGCAAGCGTCACTGTCCTCACCACGTCAGCAATAAGTTGCCTTATTTCGACTGGCAAGCGGTCCATGATGAGAGGTTCGTCTAGCGTCGAAGCAAGGAAGAAAAGAGGGGCAACAAGCTGGAGGAGACCAGGGCAGACATACTTATATCACGTAAGCTGATAGATGGTTGGACGGATTCCTGCACCCAATCAGCGCCTCACTTATTAGGGCACAATTTGTAGTTCGATTGCAGGGAATGCTACGTACAGTATCTGGATCTCAGAGTTTGGGACAGGAAATTAGATGTGGCGTGTCGGGTGACTGGGTCGAAGGTAGCTGTTTGGCAAGTTTTTCACCTCAGTACATTTCCTTCCCACTTCTTCGACCTGTTCAAACTTCTTGTGCTTGTTGACGCAGGAGTACAATCGGCTGACCACTGTGCACACTACCCCCCGGCTGGATCAAGACCTTTACCACGGTGGCGCCCGCCATTTCCGCAGCTACATCGACATTGATTTCCATTTTCATGGCCTCCAATATCGCGAGGGTTAGGCCTTCGGTCGCCGTAGTGCCCGGCTCAACAAGGACCTTCCACACGTTGGCGCTGGTTGGGGCTTCGACCGCTTGAATTGTCGCATCTAGAAGAAGGGGCATGAGATCAGTCAGGTGGTCTGAACGTAGAGTCAGGAGTGCCAATCAACTCACCCTGCAGTAAGCGTGCTACCTCATCGTCGTCAGGCACCATTGCATCTTTCTCCGCCAGCCATTGATTCAGGAGAGCCTTCTCCCTTGCCGTGGCTTGGGTGGCTGCCACGAGCTGCTTCTGCCGAATTGCCTCCATCTCTGCCCCGGTCTCCTTCTGCAGTTGGTGGTATTCGGCCATGTCGAAGACACCATCCTCGGCCTGAAATTTATACCGTCCCGCCTGAAGGTCCGCCACTATCCTGTCGTACTCTTCCCCTGACACTTCGAAGAAGCTGATCGTGTTCATATCCTGGATCAGCCAGGGCTGCTGCTGGAAGACTGGGTTCGTGCCGTAGAGATCGAGCGTTGGTAGAGACATTCCCAGGGGCATATACCCCCCGGGGCCATCGACCTGGTAAAGACATATTGACGAGCCCCCGTGGGCAAAGCAGCCGGCGGGGGTGTAGTTGCGACTGGGATTCATCTTGGGGGTGCGGATGCGGTGGCGGGGATCTTGGGGCACGGCAATGGGCAAGGCCATGATGAACCCCACTGCGAGGACGACGTTCTCGGCCGCCAACAGGACCTCCTTCAGCTCCTGCGGGGTCAGGCCGTTGAACTCGGCTACATACGCGAAGGGGTCCGGGAGGTAAGCTGCGGTCGCCCGCTGGGTGGTCGTGTAGCGCTCGAGCATCTCGACCAGTTTCTGGTGCTGGAAGGTGACAGGCAGCCGGTACCGACGGATGGGAAAACGGACATGGCGCATGTCCCCAAGGGTGTGTTCAATCTCGATCAGTCCGCGGACCATATCAGCTCGCTCAAGCCCCAGGCCGTTGTACCAGACGGCCAACGAGCTCCCGCACGCGACCAGGTTGTAAATCTGGCCGCCTTGGTTCCGGTTGGTGGAGACCGCCCCGGTGGCCGACTCGAGGGCGCGTTTCAGCGCTGTCGACCGACATTTCATCTCCAGGTCTATCTTGCCATCGCCGTACTCGACGAGGAGGTAGTCGTCCCCTCCAGATCGGTAGGTCACCTTGGGCTGCGTCTCAGTCGCCTCCAGGGAAGCCACCACGTCCTGTCCCGGGGCATACGCAAGGAAATTCAGCGCCGCATCATCGAAAGCGACAGCATCATCCCACGAGCCATTCGCCACACAGGAAGCCATTCTCTGCAGAAAACGCTCGTGTCGGCGCCTACACGCCAGTGCAGTATCGAGGTCGACCCGGTGGAACCGGAGGGTGTCTCCAGCGCGAAGCTGGCCGAGCTTCCAGAAGTCCGCCCGTATAACGGTCAGACTGCACAGGAAGCCACCGAAGTCCGGACAGTCCACTGGAAATAGGACCGGCTCGTCCCCAGTCCAGTTCAGACCGCCCATCGGGTATCCATATTCGAAGACGTTGCTCGGGTGGGACCCTCCATCGCCCCCACCGCCACGCGCATACTCCGGTCTCGGCCCAATGAGGCGGATGCCACCTCGTGCAGCATTATGGCTCACCCTCCAGGTTGTTGAAAAGCACATCTCGATGTCTTTGAGGGTCAGATAACCGGTCTCGTATGGGCCAGGCATGACTTGAATCACCCAGTCGTTAGAATACTGGGGAATCATGGAGCGTGGCATACTGATGGCTCGTGCTTCCGGAAGCTGGTCACGCGAGACTGTGTGCAGGAAATCGCCAGCGCGAAGGGGTCGACCTTGGTACCCGCCGACTCCGACCAGCGGGTTGGTTGATTTACTGTCGAACCAGCTCGCAATGTTAGGAAATCCGCCATAGACAGCCAGGTATACACGGCAGTGCGCGGCCAATTTCCCGATTTTGAGCGTCTGACCTGCCTGGACACTAACACGCATCCATTGGACAATCTCTTGACCGTCCAGCGTAGCAGGGACGGGAGGGCCGCAGAGCGCTACCACCGCGTCTCCGAGGAACAACAGCTCGGGGCCCTTGAGGGTGATCTCGAGCGACTCTGTGGTCGGAGGGTTTCCCACGAGGATATTGGCGGCTTGGAAAGCGATCGGGTCCATCGGACCGGCATGACCAAATCCGTGACCAACGGACGGCCGCCCGGGATAATCTTCCACGAGGGTGTATGATCCGCCAGAAATGACATCAATGGCTGCAGGGGCATAGTCCAGCGAGTCGAGGAACTTGGTAATGGTATGGCCCTTCTGGAATCGGTCGTCGTCGACAATCGCTGAGAGGTAGTCGAGATTGACTGGGGGGCCGCAAATGACACTCTTTGCCAGCACCTCTGCCATTCCAGCCACCGCGTCGGACCGGGTGGATGCGTGGTACATGATCTTGGACAGGAGGGGGTCATAGTCGGGGCTAACCGTGAGACCAGCCCTAATCCAGGTGTCGATTCGGGTTCCGGGGGGCTCGTGCCACCTCACCTCCTGCAGTAGACCCGGACTAGGCGCGAAGCTCCTAGCCGGATTCTCGGCATAGACTCGTGCTTCGATAGCATGACCACGTGGCTCCAGCCACTGTGTTTGCCGGGCCTCCAGCTCCTCCGATGGAATGCCGCCGCATTCCCCGAGCTCGCAGTCTGCTTGTTGTAACATGAGCTCGACCAGATCAACATTGTAGCACATCTCAGTGATTCCGTGCTCCACCTGCAGTCGCGTGTTCATCTCCAAGAAGAAGAAGTCTCCAGACACATCATCCACGAGGTATTCGACTGTGCCGGCGGAGCCGTACTGAATGCTCTCCGCCAGCGCCACCGCGGCCTCTGTCAGCTTGGCCCGGAGCTCCGGGAACCGTTGCGTCACAAAAGGACTGGGGCACTCCTCCACAACCTTCTGGTTCCGGCGCTGAATTGAGCACTCCCGCTCCCCGATGCTGATGGCTCTTCCCTGCCCATTGCCGAAGACCTGCACTTCGATGTGGTGACTATCCGGATAGTACCGTTCCAGGAAGACGCCCGCGTTTTTGAACAACGACTCTCCGCGGGATCTGGTCGACTGGAAATTCTGGCGCAGCTCTGCCTCGTTGGTGCAGGCCATCAGGCCCATGCCGCCCCCGCCCGCGGTGGCCTTGAGCATCACCGGATAGCCGAGCTGTTGAGCCATTTCCAAAGCGGCATCTTCCGACTGAACAAGGCCCGGGGATCCGGGCACTACGGGTACGCCCGCCGCCAGCGCCAGATCCCGGGCCGTGTGTTTGAGACCGAAGGACTCGATAGCCTCGGGCGAGGGTCCGACAAAGATCAGGCCCGCCGCGGCAACAGCCCGGGCAAAGGCGGCGTTCTCGGAGAGAAACCCATAGCCGGGGATAATGGCCTGCACATCTCGTGATTTAGCGATGGCGATAATCTGTTCACTGCCGGGATGCGATCATAATTTAGCTGGGTAGTGTGTAGAGCGTGGATTTGTGGTTACACACCCATCAATATACGCCGCTCTGGCCTCCCCGATCAGGAGAACTGCCTCATCAGCAGTGCCAACATGCCCCGATTGTGAATCCGATTCGGTGTAAATAGCGACCGTGCGAATGCCAAGCTTCCTGTGGCCCTTTAGCTATCAATGGACACAGTGGATACGCGGGGCGGCACTCACTTTGCGGCTACCAGAAGTCGACAGGCGATCTCGCCCCGGTTTGCTACAAGTAGGGCTTTGAGGTGTTTCATGCTGCAAGGATAAAAGAACGAGCCGGTGTAGGGATCGCTTGGGATAACCGAAACCACTTATCTGGGAAGTAGTGAGTACAGAAGTGGAATTCAAGCCCTTTTTCTGTGAACTGTCTTGATGGCCCCACGTTCCTTACGATAAGAGTCTCTACCTCGTTTTCTGATAACAGCTTCCCCTCTACTGCTAGAAGCGGGGTTCAGCTCGAAGGGAAGAGGGGCAATGCGGGCGCTGCACTGCATGCGACAATCATTTCCCAATGGGTCAACCCCTGTGAGTTGACGCAATATTGATTGGGCAGATTCTGCATGGACTTGCAACTCGCATCAGATTGACGTATCATCAGTTCAGAAGGGCAGAACTCGCTCCGAAAACCCTGACCCCGTCTTCCCCAAAAGACAGGATATTCCCGATTTGGCGCCCCGACAATTGCTTATCAATATCTATATCAATATATATATATCCTGTCTTATCTACAGTCCGCTGTCGTCGCATTGAAGCATGTAGTTCCAAGCTACAACCGTCGCACTACTTTTAAGGGGCATTCTCTTGGTGGTGCGATGGTTGTCCAGACAATAGAGAAAGTCTGTATTCACTATCATGCATGATTCCTGCATTGAATGAGTGCTTAAATAATTTGTTATTGTATCAATGGAGTAACACGATATATCATGCTGTTAGCCAGATTGACCTAAATGCACAAACCAAATAGAGGCGCCTAACAAGTGCGCCGGTGCCGGAATAAAAGTTTACATCTTCTCAGCCCCTCGGTTGATACGTTTGTTACAAGTATCTTAGACACCCTGCCTAGCACTCTGTATCGTAAGACAGGATACCTTGTACCATGACTTCTCAAGACTTCTCGTTGTCCATCAGCAAGATAGATTAGCCGCTGGGTACGAGCATGGTTATGAGGCGCCATCTTGGCGGCGGCGGCGGCGGCGGCTTTGACCTCTTCGTTCGCAACCTAGGCTACCTAGGCTGCGCATTCATCTTGCATCACGACACAATGGGCATGAATATATCAGTTTTGATAACCAGCCATTTGAGTGCCACGAACACAGTCTCCAACACATACCAGCATCAGTATCAAGACATAGAGCACCGCTCTTGGGTCGGCTCATAGGGCTGCGGAAATTCCCGCTGGCGCATAAGCAAGGACGGTTTCTCTCATCAGCTTATCAATTAGACTTCGACTGGTGGCCTGTCTTCTGCCGATGTCTCACTTGCATCTGACCAGATGACTTCTGCGACGGACAGAGATTGAATCAGGGCCGACATAAATATCCCTCCACGAGCGCCCCACGACTCTTTGCTTTTGGCCCTGCTCCATTCCTCACCGAAAGCATGGACAAATTGGAGATTGAAAGCCTGGCCGGCAAGGTCCAGCAAGCAGTTGCATCCTACGATCCCAGTGATTCCTCTAGCTGGATTCCGATTCAGGATGCCATCGAGGAATTGCGGCGGGCCACGGAACCCCCGCATGTGTTTCTCATGAAGCAGCGGTTTCACGTACGTGCGGCAGTTCCGAGTGTGCCTTCCACCATCGCTGATACTTCTGATAGACAGTGCAGAATATCTGTCTCGTCGCTGCGGTGGAGATGGGGCTATTTCACATTCTCTCCGCGGGGGCGGGTGAGAGCGTGACGGCATCCGACCTCGCGAAAGAGTCCGGTTACGATCAAACCCTAATCGGTACAGTGCATTGCCCCTCCCACCTTGGAGCACACCTCACATCTAACAACACCGAGCACGAACGTAGCCCGAATCATGCGCATGATGACTGCACTGGGGCTTGCCACCGAAGCCGGCTACCAGAGCTACCGCGCCAACGCGCGAACCATTTGTCAATCCGACCTGGGTTCTATAGGTGGCTTGGTGATTGCGTTGGCTCTTCTTTTACCTCCTCCCCTTCTCTTGTTTCAGAAACCACAAACTGACGCGACATCCTATGCCTTGAACCAGAAGCTCGATGTTGTACCCCCTCGCCAGCCATATCCACCAGTACCTCAACCAGCAGAAGCCCTGCGCCACCGACGAGTCCCCCGCTCCCTACACCTTCGCCATGCGAGAAACCCTCTGGGAGACCCTCTCCACAGACTTAGCCTGGAAACAAGCCTTTGATAATAACATGACCACTCGGAACAAGAGCTTCTCGGTGCCGTGGCACAGCAAGTATCCGGTGCGGGAGCGCCTCCCTCCCCCGTCTCCCATCAACCCGGAGCAACCCCTAAAGCCATTTACCATTGTCGACATTGGCGGCTCTCAGGGAGTGGATCTGCAGCGGTTCGCGACGGCATTTCCCGAGGTGCCCTGTGAGCTGATACTTCAGGATCTCCCAGAGACGGTGAACGGGATCCCTTCGGGGCTCGACTCGAGAATTCGACCGATGGTATATGATTTCTTTACGCCGCAGCCAGTCAAAGGTAAGAGTTGAATTTGCCCTGCTTCTGATCAGCCTCGAGTTTTGTTTCTGCTTCCCTGCTTTCTTCTTTTCTTCTGGAAATAACCATGAGAGAAATTCCAGGAGCGGACCTCTACTACCTCAAATCGATCCTGCACGATTGGAACGACGAAGCAGCCCAGAAGATCCTGTCGACCACGGCGCAGGTGATGGGTCCACACTCGCGGCTGTTGATCAATGAGATAGTTCTCGCAGAGACCGGGGAGACGCTGGCGCGGGCGGATATGGACATGTTGATGTGGTTGCTCTGTAACGGGATGGAGCGGACGAGGCGGCAGTGGGAGGAGTTACTGGGCCGGATCGAGCCGCCCTTGCGAATTGTGGCGGTGTGGCCCGGGGAAGGAGCCGATCCGCAATGCGTGATTGAGAGTTGTTTGGTGGGGTCTGAAGCATGAGTGAGGGGTCTGGCTGCAGGAAGTTTCATTTACGTCCTGACCTACTTAGTAAAATGAAGATGATAAAATTTGCTTAGCAAAAAACATACAACAGAAGGGATTCGCTGGTGGTCACCCACCCAACTACTAACCTCCCGGCGTGTGGCTTAAGTACGGCTGAGCGGACGGGAAGCCCTGTTTTCCACACCCTGTGGTCGTATGTACTGTGACTCAATAGGCATTGGATCATACCCATCCATTGTCAGCAAAATTTTAATATGAAATGAGAGCCAAGGCAGGTTTACCTAGGATAATACCCCAATGATTTTTTTTATTGATTTATTACTTTGTTCTTCGTGCGTTGTATCAGCGACCGGCAGGCAGGTAAAGAAGCAAACCGAGTCCACAGAACTACAACCTTCCAGAACACCCCCTCCAGGACTTCACCTCCAGGACTCATGCTGGCGTGCGTGATGCGCCGCGAACGCATCCCAAAATGCCGCAGTCACCCCGCATGGCCTGCCATCGGGCATACGGACAGTACACACATAGTCGTTCTCCGCGTTGCGCTGGTACTGGTACATGAACTGATAGTTCACTTTCTTTTTTCCGGGACTCGCAGACTTCCCGTGTTCCTCGGCAAGATGGTGCGGAGTCAACCACGGCGTGCCACAGCTCGGGCAGCCGTAGACCAGTCGGACATTCCGCTCCGACAGCTCGTAGATTCTCAGCTGCGCCACACAGTCCAGATGGAAGCAGCTGTAGCATTGCGAGCACTGGTGCAGCGCCCTCTCCGGATCCTCCTGGAGGCGGTGGCACAGCCCACACTTGAGATGCGTCATCCGCGGGCGCTGCACCGGTACCTGGAGGGGCCGGAGCTGCTCCGGCAGATAGTGCACGTAGTACGCGAGATTGAGGTGGTAAGGTGGCGGAGACATGTTGGTTGTAGGTCTGTCAGTTGAAGGGGTTGGCTGAGGGAGGGTTGCTGACGAAGTGTAGATGAAAGCATATCAGGGCTGATTATATACCTCACATCAAAACAAAGGGAACACTGATTGTAAGCAGGAGTATCTCAGTGTGGAACAGGTTCGCCTCTTTGAGGTATCGTGAGATGGCGGTATTCTTCGCGTTGGTCATTTGGTAGCGTTCTTTGTATGCAAGTACTTGGTCTGGGGCAAGCTTGCTTCGACTACTGCCATTGGGCTTGGCTCTGTCACCTGGTTAGGATCAATTGCATGGTCCAGATATTCTATCATTATTGTTCACTCAACCACCTGCTAATCCTATCCAACGGTCAATCAACATAGTCATCAAGAAAAAAAGCTTCATACACTTTGCCCGAAGTTCCTCTGAAGACTATGTCTTCTCCTTCGATCTTACGCCCGACTCATAGTCTCTCTCAGTGTTACCAGATCTATCCCCTCCACTCTATCGGAATGCTCCCATCGCGTCCGAAGATGCGGAACGGAGCGCTGGAATCCCAGCAACCTGCCTCCAGAAAATCTCCCGTGACGTTCCGCACGGCCGTCACGTTCCCAAACTCCAGAATCAACCCTCCAGATGGGGCACTGGCATTGAACGCCGGCCAGCCCACCGCCGCACTGACCGTCGCGGGATCCTTGAGAAAAGCCAGCAAATAATCCTGCATCGTCCGCGAGGTCGTGACCTCCAGCTCCGAGATCTCCCCGACATCCAGCATGTACGTACCAAAGATCATCAACAGATCGGACCAATGGAACGCGCCCAGCCAGGGAACGGGACTGATGTTGGTGAAATTGCCCGCCCACTCGTACCGGTACGTCTCGAGCCCCAGTGAGGCCCGCAAGAGCGCATCCTTGTACGACGCGCAGAGCCATTCTCCGGTTGTCTCCATGGTGGCGGTGTCATTACCGGGGGTGATGGGATCTTCGCGGGCGGCGTTGGAGCGGATCGCCGGCCCGGGGGCCACCCGACCCTGTCGGTAGCGCTCGGTTTCATCGGCAAAGATGTACTTCTCATCGGCTGTTAGAGTTATCCTCTTTCGTTAGCCATATCCTGACACACCAGACCAAGCAGAGGATGGGGATAGGGACAAAGGGAGAATTGGGAAGTGAGACAAACGGATATAGTTCGTGAACGCAATGGACGGGGTGCCATTATAGCGGTTGATATACTCCTCTATCTGAACCCAAGACACTTGGCGCATGCACTCCAGCTCCGCCTCGGCGTCGTCCCCGTAATTGCATCCCAGACCTTTGGCAACGATGTGGAAGTCCTCATAGACATCCTCCGTCTCCGTGAGGTTAATGGTCACCGACGGCGGCGCGGAGATCACGCCGAAGCGGGCCGCGAGAGGATCATCCGGGTAGGCGAGGGTGTAGAGGTGTGTCAATGCAGCACCCTGGGATTGGCCCCACAGCTGCCATGCGAAACAGATTGATCAGACTTGATCCTCAGACAGTTTTCAGGGGGCTTCGCATTGCAAACTTACCATGATGTTCTCTGGATCTCCCCCGAATGCCCGGATATTCTCCGACACCCACTCCACCGCCGCGCGCACATCCATTAGAGTCAAGGATGTCTCCTTCAAAGCTTTGGACTTGGGATCTAGAAGCGCGAAGCTCTGTCGTTAGAAATGTGCCGTCTGATGAGGGTTCGGGTTGAGTACTGACTGCCGAAAATATTCGCCCGATAGTTAATGGTCACCACAATATGTTCCTGGGAATTGGCAACCCAATTCGCAGGCAGCTGGGAGGGGATTGCGATGCCCCCAGTGGTCCCGCCTCCGCCCGTGACGAAGAGCGCGACGGGTAACTGGGAGGTCTCGTTGGCATAGGCCGGGGTCCAGATGGCCAGTGACAGGCAGTCTTCCGAAGATGACCACGCGACGGAGCCCTGGTTGTCGGATTCGCCGATACTCAGCAGGAGATTCGGTGGCTCATACTGAGCCCACATGGACTCGCCCGCAGCCACATACTGCGGACAGGCTAAAGAGGAAAGAGTCAGCTGTTGTTGTCAAGCAATAATCCCATCCTTGCCATGGCTGGTCAATGAGGCATTGACTTACCCGGGCCAAATCGAGTCGAGTCAATCCTTTTCGACGAGTGCGCCAGTTTTTGGGGTGGAAGCCAGCGGAGGTCGCCAACCGGAGGCTGCGCATAGGGTACCCGCAAGAACTGGCGCACATTGGGATAGGTATCATTGAACATGCCAATGAAGGTTCCGGTCCGGGTCTCAACGGTCAAATTCGACCAGTTGGACAAGGTCCGCGCAGGTTGCCAGCTCAGATCCGCATAATAAGGAGGGTTCAATTCTCCCAGAGTGAGGGAGGCAAGACAGAGCCACCCAAAGGTCGCCCACGGAGTCATGGCTCGCGAAAGTCTGTCCTTCTCCACTGAGTAGCTTTGATTCCCGATGCGAGGAGTACTTTCTCATCTCACATTGGTCTGGACGGGCTGGGTATGGGGCAACTTATAAACCCCAACTACATGCTGTGTCTGAAAGCTCCGAGTGCGGCGGATGACCGAGAACCCGAGAACGGAGACAGCCGTGAGCTTCCCTGACGGGACAAGGAGCGTGGGGAGTGTGGGGTAGTGAAGAAATAATAATCCGGGCAGCTGGAGTAAGCACCCCATTCGATATAGCCCGTACGTACGTATTTGAGCCGGTATCAGGCCATTTTTCCCGGCTTGACGGACTGTAGAGCAGGATTAGATTCCGTGCCAAGCCCAATAGCAACGTCCCGGCAAATTCATTATGCGGAAGAGAAAACCGACTGCTCCCGCCGAGATATCGTAAGAACCTTATATGGTCGCCTCATTTTCCCTGTCGTCTATACATGTAGGCATGGAGACTGCGCGTTGCACCGGGTACACTACCGGAGATGACGCTCTGAAGTCTCGCTTACGAGATTTATCGCCCTCCAGAATGGGGGATGTATTTTCCCAAGCAATTCGAACCGAAGTGTAGAACCTGTGGAATCAGCTGCGTCCCGGAATATGTGGCTCGGAGTAGTCGTCCTAAAGCAGTCAACACGGGCCGCCAATTTAATACCAAACAGGCAGTGTAAGGATCTGCTTCATCATTCAAACCTACTTCAGTTGTGTAATATACAAGAGGCTATATCAGAATTGGGTCCTTTTAGCAAAGATATCTACAAATAGCTAGCTTCCAAGTCGACCATATGACATCGGCCAGGGCAATGACAAGGTTAGGTATGGAAGGGATCCTGTTCTCCGAATCAGACAAAAAGTCGGGAATAAGTAATTTCAATCAAGTAGGTCAATACTGTACGTAGCTCTTGAACCATGGTATTTTATATCAAAAGAACCAAATATCGCCAACTAGGTTGTCAGGAAGCAAAGTTAGGCTCTACTAGCTTACAAGCCACCTTTTTTTATTAATGCTAAGGATGGGGTAGTTGGTGGGATATGATCGGATCTGGACCTGGTTATTTACTTATGATCTATTTTACTGGAACACAACAGTGTGAGTTCTGGCCACAGGTAAAAATTGCTTAAAACGGTGTCGACTGAAGCATGAGCTAATTTACAGGGCTAGTGGACAATTTGGGACTCGTGGTTTGTTAAGAGACGGGAGTGATCAAAAGTAAAAAAGAAATGCTGAGTGCATCATCCGTGAATCGAACACGGGCCTCATCGATGGCAACGATGAATTCTACCACTAGACCAATGATGCTTCTATGAAGGAATGCCTTTGGGTTTTGTTACATGGAGCAAATAAATCAGCAGAGAAATCTTAATCACAGTTTCCTATTACTCTGGTCCGCCCGCTACTCAATAGGCAGGGACCATGCATTTCTCATCTTATCTCTTCTATAGATGCGTCCACAACCAGACCCATACGATCATCTACTTGACCACCGCAGAGAGTTATGACTAGACAGAATATCACGGGAAGACAATTGGTCACTGGGGAAAGGCGATGTCCCAATTCAAAACATTCTTGATTGATCACACCCGACTCGGTACTGTACTTACACCGTTGACTATCTCTACCGCGAGGATACTCCCTCTCCTGCGGAGCGAATTACACAAGCCCCTTGCGAAAGGTGTTATCACACCATCTCTACCGCTTCTTACTAAACGGAGGAACTCTAGGGACGTGCCTCCCGAAC